GTAACAGCGCGGATTGAAATTCCATGTATCATTATCGGACCGTTCAGAAACGCGCGTTTCGATGCGAACGATCGAATTTTAATATAGTATTTTAATATACATTTTCATAGTGTCTAAAAACTAGTGTTTTTTTAAATATGGAAATCGAGATAGATACGTTATTTAACGAAGTAGAAAAAAGACCTGCTATATGGGACATGACAACGCATGAATACTCAAACTACTCAAATTTTTCCACCGTGCTCTCTAAGTTTAGGATACAAAGTGATATAAAGACTATCCGAAAGCCTTGTTTTTAAAATAAGATGAACCCAATATTTTCTTTCCCTCATTTCTCTACATCTTCTCATCCTTCAGTGGACGGCCCACAAACATACAGCATCTATCACATCCATTCTTGATGACAGTCTGACTTGTACTATACATCGTTTTTAAATATAGTTTTTGACTAGAACATTTCTGTACAACGCGCGTGTAAGCGCGTCCATGTGAACCTAGCCTTATTATACTAGATACGAGAACCAGCTAATCGAAATCCTGAGCGTTTCTGTTAATATATTGCATACCTATATATAACCTTAATTTATTCATTTTCTTACCAATTATTATAAAATTATAATACAGGTGTAATAAAGTATAATAACTGATGAGTATATTATATCTAAAATTTTAAAAAAAAAATTTATTATAATTACATATTGCCTATTGACATAATGAATTAAAAACATTTATTTTTCTTTTTTTTTGAGAGGGCATCGACACTCATCTCACTTGCCCTCACCGCACGCTACTGGTGCGTATACAATTTTAAACGCAACTGTGTACCGCCATAACTTAAAATGTATTAAATACCCTTCTTATGATGATTAATCTTTGATAGGAGACTTATTATCCCGGAACTTTTTATTTGGATCCATTATCATAAACATCTTACATTAAAAATTTCATATGTATGAATGAAGTTTTAGTTTAAATATATTTTGATGTTGAAATTTTTTATTTACGTCAAGTCTTTTACGAAACATTCCACTTTTAAGTATAGGTAGAGGGAGCAGTGGAAAGCAGTGGATCATCATTGTGTGATAGTGCGTCGATCGGTGTTTGCAGAATACTTGAATTTTCATTATAGATTACTATTAGAAAATCAAAAATGAGTACTGATTTCACTACCAAAATTAAGGATAACGAGAAATAATGGAACATTCAAAATCTGTTAATTGCTTAAATTATTAAAAAGAAAAAGAAATCTGAAAAAAGGTAATATCTTCTGAGGTAATGAATGTAGTATCGAGAATTGATTACTCTGTAATGAATACAGTGATCTTAGACAACGCACGTTTTCATAATATAAAAATCGTTGAGTGCCGTGAAAGTGAACGTAATCAAAATTCAAAATGACTATAAGTATGAGGTCTTGCAGTGTATACTTATAAAAAGAGTGCAGATATTTAATAAAATTATATTTTATCGTTTCATTTTTTTTCATGATGTGGTCTTGCAGCACTCCATGCGTGATCGATTGCACAGTATTTCACTATAGCCGCTAACCCATATATGCATAAGTACATACATACATACATACATACATAAAGATAAACGGTTATTTTTTTATTGTGTAATGAAATTAATTTTTTGATATTATTATCGCCATCCATATTGGTTGTTCTGCGGCTAATGGCACACGTAGCGATTGCTTGAATACCGGATTTCAGCCGGACAATAAGCTCGTCAAAGGTTGCAAAATGTACGGGGCGGCTCGAGGTAAAACACTGGTCTTGCAAGGCGGTAAATTTTACACCTGTTGCAACGCCGGTAGTAATCCGAAATCCGAAATATTTAAAAAAAAATAGATAAATTGACCTATTATAAATAAGGGCAGAAGGCTTGTAGGCATGTATACAACGACAATGAAATGATCGTACCAGTAGCGTTTGGTCAGTTTAAGGCAACCAATCCCAATAAACAAAGATGATTAAGAATGTAATACGATGGTCGTTATAGGTTGCACTTAGTAGTCAAAGAAAAAAAAATAGCTACTACTATGGACGGGTGTGCCAGAGTTGTAGGTAGGTAGTTGGGAAAATAGAATTTATAAAGTTATTTAATTTATACTTGTAACCAACAATAAATCATTGCTAACGAAAAATGATTTGGAGGGAAGTTAGGTTATACATGTTTTAAAGGCCGTAATATTTACGATTATCATCAAAAATTGATTTTGAAAATTATAAAATAAAAAATAAATTACATTCAATTGTTTTTTTCTTTTTTTACAACTAAATACAACATATAATGAACCTTTTGTCAAATTTTTAAGTGTTTCTGTTTAGTCTAACAGTTTTATCTACAGAATACCACAAGTAATATTACCAAATAACAATGATGTAAAAAACTTGCAAAATTTAAATATCTATAAATAGCTCAAAAATAGGTCTAACCATGGCTTTAACCACGTATAGAAAAGCATATATAAGTTTTCTATTAAAATTTCAAGTGTTTACAAAAACTCTTAACTGAATTTCGTTAAAAAAAAACAAAATTTAAATTAATAAAATAATTATTTTCGTAAATTTTTTCTACGTATTTTGGGGTTTTACTAAATTATTAAAAAAACTACAAAGAAAATCATAAAACAACTTTTTTACTTACCAACAAGATTACAAATTTAACAAAAAATATTTTTTGTTATTTTTCTAATAGAGCAATATTTCTAGTAGTAAACGGAAAGCGTAAAAATTTTAAATAATAAAATCATAACGTAGATTGTCAGTTTTCATTACCATAAGGGGAAATATACATTTATTGATAATACATAACAAAAATTAAATCATGTTTTGTAACTAGAAAAAAAAACCAAATCTTTACATAGGTTGCATTTTCGTTATACTCAGAATAAAATAAATAATTTTCACAATATAATAATAGACTTATATTGTGCTTATATTAGATATATTGAGTTATATTATTAACTCATAATGAGCAATAATACCTAAACTCTCTTCACAGTTTAACTTCATGCATTTGTCAAAAGCAACTCCTATTTTTAAACTTTTAATTCTTATTTTAAAACACGAAATAATATTATCAAGAATGCATTTATTTGTATGGATTGTAGAAAATAATGCTCAGATAATTATATTTTGTAATTTGTTAAAGAAACTGTAACAAGAAAATTATTTTCTGTATGCTCATTTTTCAGGAAAAGCTATATGAAATGTTGAGGGGGCTAGAAGAGATTTTGGTGGGAGGCAATAGTACCCTTAGCCCCCCGCATCCTATGCATATGAATATGATTATTAATAATAAGAAGGAATCATATTAATTAATAACATGAAAATGTTGTCTCTGCTTTTAAGCTCTTGCGTATTATGAAATTATCATATTAAGTAATTATTGCAAATTTATTTAAACTATACTAATAATACTAATAACTATAGCAATAATAATGCTCTTAAACATGGAGATGCACAATTTATTAATTATGTACCTACCTACATGTTATTTTAGATTCTGATTATAATAAAAAATAAATTGGTTTTACTAAGATGTTTATTATTTATTTATTTTTATCCTGTGTACAAAAATTTGATCATAAATCTTGCTCAGATATGTACGCACGGCATCATTTCTGAAAGGGAATGTTGTTCAGATGGTACTTTTGGAAAGTCATTTTTTGATTTTCAAAGTGGTTTAAAGTGGTTAAAGTCAGAATTGAGCGGACTGACTACGTTTCGAAGTTCTATCTTTTTACATGCTTGTGTTTAATAACTCCATATTGCTTATTTACTATATGTTTGTTGTAGTCGAATGGTCATAAATACGTGTTGTCATATTATGGGGTCGCGGGATTACAAACCCCGGGGTTTGAAAAGAAATTGTTGACACTTTTTTAAATCTTTTACCTAAATAAAGTGTACCTAGAGTACCGCTCGCTCGGATTAATAATCGAAAAATACCCCTCGATTTGTTGTGTAAACTTTTCTACCAGAAATCTAGCTTCCATATATCAAGTGAAGCTTATTTTCTGAAACGAAATTTTATCTCCATGGTTTATGGAGGTCAATCGTTTTTCATAATAACTAGGAAGAACAGGGATCAAATGTCAGAAAAACAAAAAAAAAAGTAAATGTAGGTGGTATTAGTAAAAAAATTGTATGGCCTTTTTTTTCTGTGTACAACTTTTTTAACAGCAATTTAGCTCCGATTTAAATTATAGCACTTTTTTTGAAAGTAAATCTGATTGGGAAAGTAATTTTTCGATTTTTTCTAGAGTTTCTTTAGCAAATATGATAATCCGGGAAAAAACATGGGAAAACCGGGAAAACGTAGAAAACACGGGAAAATTGATACAATATTAAACAAATATTAATAAAGAAAATATATAATGCCTATGTAATTATTTTACCATAATATGACATATATATGGTTATCAAAGCATCACTATCAACTGAACTGCTCTCAGAATCGTTTTTTCGTTAGCAATGTTTTTTCGTTGTTTACAGATATATATTAAATTACTTATAACATTGGCTGCACCCGTTTCCATTATCCTAGGACGTTTTTTTTAATTAGAGATTATCAAACAAAAAATACAAATCTCATTACAGAACATTTCCTACTTAATATGATAACCTAATATTTAACTATTATATATTTTGTTAAATCAATTATTATAAAACGTATTATTTATTTATTTTATAATTTAAACGGACTAAAACCCAGTGGCCATTTTAAAAAAGCATAATAACAAGGTGCGTTATTAGATTATTTAATCAATATTATGAACTGTATTATATTCTCGCTTTTTGAAAACCGATAAGAAATGTTATTGGTTGTATACTTAATACTCATGCTTACCTACTATAGTTAAAATGTATTATATTATATCGGGGTCATATTTTATTTGGTACCTATAGTGTTTAATTTAATCTCAAGGTCAGATACTGAAATATAGAATTTCGTTAAAACTAATCGGAATAAAGTACACCTCACATTTCATTTTCAACCAGTTAATGACCACAAATAAACGAAGTTAAACTTAAGAATATTATATTTATGCAGTTATGTTTCTCAAATTCAAATCAATAGCTATTGGGATTTTAGAAATCCTTTATATTCTAAATACCTGTAAGTATGCAATTTAAAAAGACACTTTTAGCTTTTTAGATTCTGAGTGTAGCAAAGAATGTATTGGTTTCACTAAGATGTTTATTGTTTTTTTATCCTGTGTACAAGAATTCAACCATAAATCTTGCTCAGATATGTACACACAGCACAATTTCTGAAAGGGAATTTTGTTCTGATGGTACTTTTGGAAGGTCATTTTTTGATTTGCTAAGTGGTTTTCATAATATCTTGGAAAAACCAAGATCCGTAAAAAAACGGGAAATGGACGAAATTAAAGTTTTTATTATTTTATCAATTTTGTGATTTGTTGTAATTTAGTTAAAAATATTTGTAAAGATTTAAAATTTAGACAGAAAATATATATTTGGCTTTTTTAGACGAGCTAAAATTTTCAAAAAATGTAAGCAATTTTTGAGCTATTTATAAACATTTTAAATTTGCTAGTTTTGTACGTAATTTTTATTCGGTTGGTACTCTGTGGTAAAATTGTTAGACTTAACAGAAATGTTTGAAAATTTAACAGGAGATTCAATAAATCTTACTTTGAAGTAAAAAAAAAAAATAAATTAAGTTTAATAAAGTATTTGTTTTTATAGAAGAATTTTAATACTACATTATGTATGAACATATGTGTATTGTCAATTTAAAAAGTATGGTAAAGTCAGAATTGAGCGGACTGACTACGTTTCGAAGTTCTACCTTTTTAAATTCAGATAGTATGAAGATATTACATGCTTGTGTTAAATAATTCCATATTGCTTATTTACTATATGTTTATTGAAGTCGAATGGTCATAAATACGTATTGTCATACTATGGGGTCGCGGGATCACAAACCCCGGGGTCTTGAAAAGAAATTGTTGGCACTTTTTAGATCCTTTACCTAAATAAAGAAAAAACAAATGCATTTTAAGTGTACCTAGAGTACCGCTCGCTCGGATAACTTTAATCAAAAAACACCCCTCGATTTGTTGTGTAAACTTTTCTACCAGAAATCTATTTTCCATGTATCAAGTGAAGTTTATTTTCTGAAACGAAATATAATTTCCATGGTTTATGGAGGTCAATCGTTTTTCATAATAACTAGGAAGAACAGGGATCAAATGTCAGAAAAACGGAAAAAAAAGAAATGTAGGTGGTATTAGTAAAAAAATTGTATCGCCTTTTTTTTCTGTGTACAACTTTTTTAACAGCAATTTAGCTCCGATTTAAATTATAGCACTTTTTTGAAAGTAAATCTGATTGGGAAAGTAATTTTTCGATTTTTTCTAGAGTTTCTTTAGCAAATATGATAATCCGGGAAAAAACATAGGAAAACCGGGAAAACGTAGGAAACACGGGAAAATTGATACAATATTAAACAAATATTAATAAAGAAAATATATAATGCCTATGCAATTATTTTACCATAATATGACATATATATGGTTATCAAAGCATCACTATTAACTGAACTGCGCTCAGAATCGTTTTTTCGTTAGCAATGATTTATCTTTGGTTATAGATATACATTAAATTACCTATAACAGTGGCTGTACCCGTCTTCATTATCCTAGGACGTCTTTTTTTTTCATATTAATTATATAATATGTATTTTTTTGTTTTTTTGACTAAATACTTTATTCAAATTATTATTAATATCTGTTACTTTCCCGGTAAGAAAATTATAGTAGGTCATGGAAAAACAAAAACAAAACATTAAAAGTACCAAGTGTACATATTGTTTTTTTTTCCGTACATTACTCATTAATTCATATTACAAACTTCAAATTAATGAAAATACATAAATAGCACTCGCTATTTTATTTTTTCTTTATCTAGCTCTCTAAGGGATATTAGCAGTTGTCAAAAAATACATAATAGATTTTTTTCTGACTCAGTTTGAAATAGTGCAAAATTCCTAAATACGGTCCTGCATTATTGTATTAACGGATTTTATTTCAAACAACCCATTGAAAAGATCTTCCACTTTTAAGTCTAGGTAGAAAGAGAATAGTGGAGCATTATTAAAATGCCGTGCTTCATGTCACCAAATAAATGACAATAAATTATTGTGTCTAAATTAAAACATGTATATCAAGTATCATTCCTTTGAAATAACATAATAATATAGTGTTCTTTTTTTGGCAGGTAATAGTCATGAACATAATTTCATAAAAAATTCTTGGGAAAAATTACCTGGAATAGTTAATAGTCAGGCGTCGTCTTTTATTAACAATTCCGGAAATTTCATTCACAGTGTTGGGCAAAATGCTTTTAAAATATCCATAACGGATGTCATAAATAAATCTAAATGTGTAATACCGTCAAATGCAAATAACATTGTCCGAGCTGCATTAATTCAACAGTGTGTTTCACCTAGTCTTGGTAAGTGATGTTTATATTATTAAAATAAATGAATCAAATAATTTTTCCTAAATCTTAAATAACTAAAATACTTTTTAATTCTTGCAATGTGATTTATCCAGTAAGTAGTTATAATAACCATTGGTATTTAAAATTTTGAATTATTAAGTTAAAATACAAATATATATTGTGTATAATATATAAAACAAAGTAATAAGAAACAATAAATATTTAATGAAATAATAAAGTAAAAACAAAATTAGTAAAATGGTTAATACTCTTAAATAAATATATAAATAAAAAATGTATACATACAAATAAAATAAATTAATTAATGAATGCGTCGTCTGGAGTATTACGGTAAGTGTATTATACGATCGGTTTCGAATTAAAAATTTATCATCAGTTATATCACATCAAAATTTAAAACGCTACTGAATACAAAAAATTAAATGAAGGAATACACGGAAAAAAAATTCTTCTAAAACTGAATTAATGTAAATGTTATTTTTATTAATATCTATTATTAATATCAAAACGTATATTATGGTTATTTTCTAAAACATGTTTAGTGAAATTTGAATTAGGGGCAGTCTTTTCAAATTTTATTTCAGAAATGTGTTCTTTATATCTTATTTTAAAATTTCTATTTGTCTTACCTATATAAAATTTATTACAGTTACATTTAAGTTGATATATAACAACATGTTCAAAAAAGAGGGATTTTTGTGAAGTTTTTAGTTCTATTGTTTATATGTTTGATTAAATTATTATTAGTCTTAAAAGCAATTTTTACATTATTTGTATTATTGTTTAGAATTTTAGCGAATCATTAAATATAATATTTTGATATTTCATACTACAATAGTTAACAACATTATTTGGTGAGTTGTGTATTATTTTTTCTTTAACACATTTATGCATTTTTTTAATAATATTTAAATTGAAATTATTTTTATGGGCTATATTATAAATAATATTGAGCTCGTGTTAATAATTATGTTTATTTAATGGAATACGTTCAAGTCTATAGAATATTAAATTATAAAATTATATTTTTTGAGAATAGGGGTGTGAATCATGTGAATCATAGAATCATGTGGTATTATAGAATTAGTTTATTCAGGATTTCTGTTTATACTAAAATCAAATTTTTTCTCGATTATGAAAACTGTAAGATCTAACAAATTTAATTAGTTATTTATTTGTATTTCGAGTGTAAATTGAATGTTTTTATTTATTTTGTTAAAGTAGTTAACTAAATTTTCTGCTTGTCTATTTGACAAGAATGAACAAAATGAACATGACATCAACATATCTATAATATGCTTTTATATATGGACTATATATTTTTTTGTTGATAATATTATTGGTTTCATAATTTTGCATGTAAATTTCAGATAAAAGAGTACTTAAAGGACCACCCATGACTAACCCATCTTTTTGCAAATATAATTTATTAATATATCGGAATTAAAATTTGGCTATCATTTCACTCCCAAAAATAAACCTGAAAAAAAATAATGGTGATGCAACATTTAAAATCTGCTTATTTCAACGATATAAGAATCGTCCTGTATAATGTACATCAATAGCTCTAAAAATAAAAAAAATTAATAAACTGTCATCATTATCCAACTGCAGTATTAATTACTATTACAACAATAGAATCAAATGAAAATGACAATGACCTGACCTTAGGTTAGGTTCTCCTTGCATCACACTATATCTATATTTATAGATACTTCATTCTTATAACATAAACTTATTGATAATAATATCTTACAAAACATTTTGTCTTTAACAAGTAAGTATAACATTGTATAACAATGAATGTGAAGTAATTGGTAACACGATTACAAATTATAACACTGAATAACTATTATCCATATTAAAATAAGAAAAAAAATTGAGTTTCTTGATGACCAAACAAATAATATAGAACCTCATTATAACATTTAAATTACCAATTTATTTTCATGTTATATATGGAATTTAAATTTGTAGGTTATGGAAATGAAACTAGATGTTTTGACGAACTTGGATGTTTTCCAATGGAATATCCTTGGACGTCTGTTTTAAGACCATTACCACAACCAATGAAACCTGAAGAAGTAGGAACCAAGATATTCTTATATACCAGGTACCTATGAATTTAATATCACATTTAAGATTAAAACAATTTTTAAATTATCTCTTTTTTAAAGCAAACATAAGGAACAGTACAATGTAACATTATGGCCAAATATTTCAATAGAAGGATCAGATTTTGATGCTGATAGGAATTACACAGTATTTTTAGTACATGGATTCCTTAATGACACTACAGATGTATGGATGGCTAATCTTAAAGATGCATATTTAAAAAAAGTAATAAATATAATTTAATTTGAGAAATATGAAGTTAACTCGTACACTAAATTTTATCTAGTAATTTAATTAGTTAAGTAATTTAATAAAGTTTAGTATTTTAAGAGTTAGTTAATAAATTAATTTTTAAAATTTGTTTAGTACCTAATTGTACTGAAAATGTTAAGAAATTAAGTAAAATTGAAGTATAAGCTATAAGAATTCAAATTTTTTTTGAGTTCTATTATATTCAAAATCATTATTCAAAGGAATAATTATTAATAATAATTATAATTACTTTAAATTGTAAATAACATTAAAATATAAGTTCAAATTCCGTGGTTTGTCTAACATGTATGAGAGTATTACAGAGAATTACAAGAATTACAGTTTTATAAAATTATATTATTATAATACCAACACATATAATTTTTAAATACTAAATTGTCCATTAAATGTTTTTGAAACTATTTGAACATAAATGTCTATTTTATAATATAATATAATATTTTTTGTTAGCGTGATGCCAATTTTTTCTTAGTGGACTGGGGTTTAGGAGCACATCAAATGAACTATCTACAAGTAGCTTCAAACACAAGAATTGTTGGTGCTGAATTAACTAGGTAAGTTTTTGTATTGTATTGTAAGTATATAATAAATATCAAATAATTAAAAAGTATTGATACAAGACTGGTACAGAATTATTTTATTAGTTACTTTTTTTTATAACACTATAGTAAGAGTACAATGTTGTATTTTCTTTTGAAAACGACATAAATTAAATGCCTGTATTATGAAAATGAATCAGAAAAATGTATTCTATTCATTCTATAATTAACATTTTAATTTTTGATTTTCAGATTAGGAAAATTTTTAATAGATCAATATAAATTGGATCCTAGTAAAATACATTTAATGGGTCATAGTTTAGGAGCTCAAGTATCTTCATACTTCGCTAAAACCTTCCCTGGTATATATAGAATAACAGCTTTTGACCCTGCTCAACCAGGATTTGAAGGATGCTCCAAAGAAGTACGACTTGATAAATCAGATGCAAAATTTGTTGATGTCATACATACAAGTGGTAGACCGTTCATTCCACTTTTAGGATGTGGGTTCGTAGGCCCAGTTGGTAATAACAATTAATATATATTTTGAAAATGTATTATTTAAAAATAGTAGATAATATTTACTGATAGTTAAGATTTATGAATATTTAACATTAATTGTTAGGTCACGTGGATATTTATGTAAATGGTGGTATGATGCAGCCTAAGTGTACTTGGCCCCAAATGGAAATAAATGGGCTGAAAGATATTTCGGATCTAGCTACTATCTCCATGAATGGTAAAAAAAATTATTCAATTTTAAAAAAATTTTATAGGTGGCTTAAAGAAACATTAAGACAAAGTTTAAATTATAAATTACTTACACGGAATCAAATTTTTTTGAAAAAATTTTCATTTTCATATGACTATAAAAATGTATAATCATTTAAAACTAACAAAGACAATTATTATTATTATGCTTCACAATTACAAATATGGATATTAATTAAATATTTTATTGTATTTTATATTTTTTTTTTTTTTTTATTTCTATTTTATACTTGTTAATCTTATTAATAACATATTGAATAAATAAAATATTAAATGAATACAAGATTTTTCGAATTTCATGTTACAGTAAAATTTTCCATGAATTACTTATTTTTCAAATTTATTTATTTTTTGCTGTGCTGCCACAAAAATGATGTTCCACTACTTATTAAACCAGAATTGTCCGGAAAATAATCAGACGGATTGTAAAAATTATAAATTAAAATTATACGAATAAGTTATACATTGACGAATGTCTCGTAAACAGATTGATGGAAATCAAAAATATCAACACCTAAATGTATTTTAACTAGATAATACTCCGTCTATTTATGGAATTTTTAATCAAAAATAGGTAACCTTTTCGACCCCAAAATAAGAGTAACAAAAATAAGAGGAACGTACAATTTTAAAATATACCTATAATTCCAAAAGGTTATATTTGAAAAAATAAATATTTCAAAGAAAATTTGACTGTAATATGAAATTTAGAAAATCCTGTATGTGTAACTAAGGAAAAGGTTGAAAATGATATTCAATTTGTGTCAGTAAAAATAAATAGTAGTTCCTTTGGGAATTTTTTATGAGTATTTAATATTAAATATGGCTTTTAGTAATGAGGGATTGGATTATATGCTCACATCAAAAAGCGATTTGGTATTTCCTCGAGTCATTAGATGATTCTTGCATAATATGGGCTAGAAAAATAAATACAATACCAATACCTCTTAGGTAAGGTTATTTTTAATATTCTAGTTCAATTAAATATAAAATTATTCATTTTAGATTCTGAGCGGAGCGAGGAATGTATTAGTTTCATAATCGTGTTTATTTTTTTATTATTATTATTATTATTTTTTTTTTTTGTGAACAACTTTTCACTCAATAATTTTACTCAAATTTTCAAGTATAGCACTTTTTTTGGAAATCCTGGAAGAAAATCTGAGTGGCGTGATACTAAAGGAGATAATTTTTGATTTTCCAAGGGGTTTTCATAATAAATGAGAAAACCAGGAAAACCATAGGAAAAACAAAAAAAATTTACAAAATATATTATTTTCAAAACATGTTTAATCAAACTCCACTCAGAATCATTTTTTATTAGTAATGATTAAACATTCAATAATTCTAAACTACTACTGTTGTTCACACATTGTGTGAAGTATCTACGTTTGTTTTTTAAACAATAAATGTTATATTCCACAGCAATGTGGCCATCGGCGTATTTAAACCATTTATTCCACCGCCTAAAAAATGTGCACCTGGTGAATGTTTACCAATAGGTTTAAATACCGACAAATATTCAGTACAAGGAATTTTTTATGCAGAAACTATGGATGTCGCGCCTTATTGTAGTAAGCATTTTTTCGATTCAAATTAAATACAACCTATATTTTAAGCGCATAAACAAAGTAAATAAAATAATAATAATAATAATTAAACGGGTTTCTTACTCGTGTACCACCAGATAGAAAAATATTAACTTTAATAGTTGTTAACTACGGCATTTTATAGAAATCTGGAATCCAGATTTGTTCATTCCGGTTTTTTACGCGTCTCTTCACTGCACGGCATAATTTAAATTGTATACTTTTGTTAATTTTCCAAAAATACTTATGTAGATAAATCTAAAATCAGACCTGGGGTGTATAATTTATAATTGTAATTATTAATTGTTAGGTTAAGGAATATATTATGATAATAATAAAATAAATTATAAATGTAAAAAGATATAATTATTAATGACACATTTAAAATGATAATGAGTTTTAATATATTTGTTGTTTCCTTACTTACAGAACTTGATTTGGAAACAAATCGATTAATGGGCATATTGTCTAATCTTCATCTCTGAGAACTAAATAAAAACATGAAATATGATATAGGTATGTACATTTTTATATGAGTGTACCATGTCTTTATGACTTTATAGAATTTTAAACTATCATTTATAGTCATTACCAGTATTATTTTATAGCTATAATTTAGGTACCTGCATTCATTATTTATATACTTACATATTATGACAAATAATTATTTAATTTTTACAGGAACAACAAAATCAATTAAATTGTATACATTTCCATGTATTTAAGAGAAGTAAAAGCAAATAATTTATGATATTTTCAAGTTTTTCTCATATTTTTGTCGATTATTGATTTTTTTTTTATATAGAAACAAATGCAATTAAATTAAATAGCAATGTATGTATGTTATATTATAATAATTTCATTTAACGAATATGTTTCTTACAAAAGTTTAGAAATTGTATTTAGTCTGTTAATTTAACTATTATCGTTTTTTGTTAATATAATAATTTTAGTTGTTGATAATTGTGTGTAATATATTTTAAAACAAAATTTAAATTAAAATGGTAATTTTTATTTAGTGTCAATTATCCTACTAAACAAATATGTCTATCCGAACAAATTTAATAATTTGCAATCACTACCTACTTTTGTTTAAATGGATATACAAATGAGGAATCAAATTATTGAAATAGTAAACTACCAAAATAGTAAAATTAACATTATTTGTCCTTATCAGTGGTGGCATGAACAAGGTTTAATTGACGCAGCTGCGTCATGAAAAAAAAGTGGGTAGGTGTTGAATGTTAATATTTATAGTTGAATAAATACAAGATACTTATTCATATTAATTATATTATACTTTACTTTTTATATTTTGTGTTGATATAAAAAGGAGGGTGGGTGGGTGTTAAAAAATTTGACTGTGTCGTCTGTTCATGCAACCACTGGTTTATATTACCTATTTTCGAAAAATTGATAGCTTCCCATACTTACCTACCTTATAATACACCTCAACATGTAATCAGTACCGGCATTACACATGCTAGCTCCCTGGGCGTAGGCCCTGTTTGCCCCCCACCCCTAACGCCAGCTCTGCGCGTCGGTAATCTCATAGTACCCGAATAGGGCTAACCGATAATTATATCCGAAACTATTAATCGGATATGATCCATATTATATGAATGTATGGTATACTCAAATTTTAAGAATAATATCTTTAACAAAATGGCTATTTTGAGAATGTAGAACAATGAAAAATAAAGTTACTTTTTTTAGTGATTAAGAGAGACAAAAAATATTTTTCTTTATATATGTGTCCCACTAACCCAAGACCCGATTGAAAAAATAAATAAATAATGAGAGTTATATAACATTCATACAACATTGTAAGACATTCTGTATATTTATAAAAATTAAAAACTATACTTCTGTAACCTTTGGGTTCAAAATACATCATTCTATCATCAATTCTTTTTCCTAATTCTATAGTTTGTTAGTATGCAACAGACATGACATGCACACATTGAATGCAAGACCTGACAAAATTAGTTTAAACAACCTAATTTCACTACACACATATTTAAATATAACTAATATAAGATTTAACTCTATATATGTAACAAAATATTAACTTGTTTAATAATGAAGGCAGTTAGCAAAAGACAAAAATAACAATAAATATGCAATTAAAAAAATGTTTTATTTAATACAGCTATAATATATTATTATGTTACTAAAATTAAAAATACAGACATACTCGCACGATGGGTGGGCCACTGTTGTAGATGAAAAGTTGGGAAGGTGGGATATAGAATGGCAATTAATCGTGATTAATCGTAGCGTGCAGATATCAACGATTAATTATAGCAAACAAAAAATAATTCTGAAAGGAGTTTGGTTATACATATTTTGAAAGGCCGTAATATGTACGGTTTTTGTCATAATTTGATATTAAAATTCTTAAAAAAAAATTCTAAATAACGCTTTTTTTTTTTTTTATTGCTATAAATTACGAATTATAATTATACCCTTTAGCACTTCCAAAGTGCTAAAGTCTAGTTGCTCCCATTCTCATCATTAGCTATTGTCCATAGATAATTGTATTGTAATTTCATACTTGTTAATACATAGCTATTAAATTAATTTATATTATTTTAATTGTAGGTATATTAATGTATTTTATTGTTTTGCTTTTTTTCTTGTAAATATCATTGTTAATGAACGATTGTTATTAAATTTCATGTAATTGGGCCCCTGGCCCCTTTAAAACTTAAATAAATAATAAAATAATTATCTATGTCTAAAATGTACGTAACTCTGGTCTACGTCAACGGAAATGAAAAAGATGGTAACCAAAACCCCAGAACTTTTTTATAGTATCTTTGGGGTCACGTGTTCAACGATGAATTCTATGATTTATTTGTTGAATGTTCATTTTTCACAAAGACTATTATTGTAAAATTGTATTTGTGTAATCGGTGCGGCGTCATCTTGTGACGAATATTTTATTATTTATTATTTTTATTCTTAACGATTTAAACTGTTTTAAATTTTGTCGTTAATTGTGGATAAATCTAATTTTTCCATTTATATCAGAAATATTTTCCCAAATATGATGGATACCTATAGTTTATTATTGCCTATATTTTAAATTTTGCCCTAAACAGGTAATTTTCCATTACGCTGTAATAAATTTACTCCAGGTATTTAGAATAGTATCGGTGTCTAAATACATTTATTAGTAAGTATCTACTATTACTAATAACAGATATAAGTTATTAATATTGTTTTAACTTACTACATATTATTATAAATATTTATTATATTAAATAAGGTTCAAAAAAATAAGTATTGGGTATCTTTTCTATGATATATGTAAATAGCTTTATATAAACCTACGTCATTGGTATAATTATTATTTAATTACTTGTGTACTAACATTATTTAAAAACTTAAGAAATTTGGATTGTTTTAAAATAACTAATTTAACTGATACTTAATTACCTACCTAGGTACTAAAAAATAATTTTAATACTTCTACCGGTAATTGTTACCTATATTTTCTATTTTTAATAGTATTTATAATGCCTATAAGTAGGTACCTAATATAAGTACATAATTTTTTAAATATTGTCAATATTATCATCAACATCTAATTATAAATAATACAAATGTGTAATATTATTATTTTTATTTACTTAAGTAGTTTAATATTATATTAAATTCATAAGTAGGTATGTATCTATTTATTTTATAATTATTTTTAATAATACAGTTTTTATATTGTATTTGGATGGATAATTTTCTGAACACTGCTTCAAAGTTTTAGTTTAGGTATTAATTAGGCAAGTATGTTAAGATCACACAGTATATCTTAGTTTCGGTTCTAGGCATAGATGCAGATTTTATTGTGTACATTTTTTAGATTTTTTCTTTGATTTTTAATGGTCATTGATGACCATTATTGCAACTCACCCTTGCTTCAATCTATCCCTATTCTGAGCTAATAATTCTCTGCCTTTTATTTCAATTGAAATTAGATTCTACCTGACTGTCTATCTACCTTTGTTTTGTCTTACCTAGTGGTTGTTTGCCATTGAGTTTCCATTTAAGAATATGTTTTATTATTCCGCCAGATTATCATGTGTGAACCGCCCTTGTAATTCTTTTGCATTTTAGTACTGCTCCTATATTTGGTTCCTTCAATAATTATCATGATACCACATTACTCCTTATTTCATATTGATGAATGAAATTCTTTTTTAGTCCATATATTTATCAAGGTTTATGTACCTATTTTATTAATGTTGATATATATATATATTAGGGTGCTAGTTATTTATATAGTAAAAATATTTTTATTCAAATTTTAAAGAATATTGGCCAAAAATTTATTTCAATACACTTAAAAATAAGTTTTCTAAATTTTAAGCTCAATTAAAAATATTTAACAGGTACTGACTTAGGCTCAAAGTTCTATGAAAAAGGATAAAATTGTAATTTTTAACTTATACTTGGTCAATTTTTAAATTAACGAAAAAATCTTATAGAACCATTATTGTAAATCTAGTAATTATACACAAACAAGTATCGTAAGGAATATTTTCGTTATGCTAACTCTTTCTTGTGAATTAAAGAAAAATATACAGAATATATCTTTAAATTATTAAGATACCTTTCTAACTATTATTTTAGTTCTGTGTGTTTTCTTAAAATATTTCTAATATTTTTTCAAAATAATAACTCTTTCTTCTAAAATTATTAAAAATCAATTTTCAAATTTTTAAATTAAAAAAAAAAAAAAGGACAAATTATGTACTTATTTTATTTTGTAATAGAAAAAAAAATATTATAAAAATATAACTTATACTTTATTAAAATATTTTTTTAAGTACATAAGATATTTTCGTCAATTGAAAAATTGACCAAGTATAAGCCAAATAATTACAATTTTACCTTTTTTCATAGACTTATTTTTAGATGTATTGAAACAAATTTCCAGCCAGTACTACTTAAATTTTACAACTTCACAATTAACTGGCACCCTAATATGTATACATAATTTAATTATTATTTTACTTACTTTTACCTAACTTTTGTTAGCTATGGTTAAACATTATACAGATATACATTCAATTTTCCTTCTATTACCTTCCCAAATTCTCACCTTTAACAGTTGGCCACCCATGTGCGAAGTATGTCCATCTTTTTCATCTATGGTGCCTTGAAAAGAAAATGTTTCAAAGACTCCTGGCATACCAGGCCAATACTGGGTATACCTATTATAAAAAAAACCTTGTTAAAAACATTAAAATACAAGATATTTCATTTATTAAGGAGCTTATTTTGGCTCCGATAGTTGGGAGATAAAAATTAATTTTTGAATTATTGTTACTAGGTAGGTCCTAAACCTATTATACATTTTTAACTTTATTTTTACAGACAATATGGAAAAAATAGTCAAGATTTTTGTCCACCAAAGTTATTTCCTAGAAAATGATTTAGTTGTTGACTATAATGTGGAACCTGGAGTAATGCTAGTCTAACAATCTTAATGTACAATTTTTAAAATCGCTAAACTAAAATTAATTTTAGGCCCATTTAAATGTATCATCTAAAGATTGGATAGCACTTATACCTAAAGGATGGTCTGGAGTAGATGAACAAGTGGTTTTTAAAATGGTCAAAATTGATAGTGATGTAGCAAATTTAGCAATTAAATCTGTCATTATGGAAAAGAATTGTTTTCAGAATGTTGTGGAATGTGAAAAACCGTATCAACTTATGTATATTAGTCAATATTTAGAGGTGAGAATTTAATTATATTTGTATATTATTATTATGTTATAGAATTATTCAATTTATATCTGTTTAATATTTACAGATATTAGGCAGAAGTGAGTATTTTACATTTCTTCATCAATCTGGTATTTGTAATTGTCCGTCATCCTTAACAAAAACAGAAAGTAAAGAAAATTCTAGGCAATTTAGAACTGTAAGTATACACATAAATATAGGTATCACAAAAATGAATATACCCACTATAAAACCTGCCTATAATGGATACTTATAGGTTCATCAAAAATGGCCTTATAGTGAAATGCATAGGTACATATTTAAAGAAAATGTTGTATTTAAATGTATTATAATTTATTTTTAACACAGGTCTATATTCCTATTTAAATATAGGTACATGATTATTTTTCAAAGTTGAAAGTACATAGATATTATTTTATACATTTTTGTGTTACATACACGCAAATAAACAATTAATTTTCTTCAATAAAAAATAGAATTGATGTTAGTTTTGGTTTCGTCAGCATATTTTGTCACTAATTTTGAAATGTTTGATTGTCACTCATTCATAATTGTAATAAATATTAATTCTCCACAAATTGTTTTAAAAACAATTTTATGTTGAGCCTTTGAAGTACTGCATTCATCCATTTGACATTTTAAAACTATTACCACTCTATTTGATTAGCAACTTCCAATGGTTTTTTTTGAAGCATTTGTCCACTTACAGGTACATTCTTATTTATAACACGGACAAATTATTATAAAATAATTTTATCAATCAACTCACTTTGCTCATTCCTCTGAAATCATTGAGATTTTTCATTTCTAATAATCTTATTGTCCTATGTAAAATCGCTTCTTTATTATTCAAAATTTCGGCAACTTTGTTATCCCAATTTAAAATTGTTCAGTGTGTTTACATGTTTTAAATTGATTGATTTCCAGAGTACAGGAGGTGAAAAGAAGCTACTCAATAATTTAATAATATGGTTTTCTGGTTATAATAGAATAATAGGATATAATATTTTATCTATATAGACTATGCAATAAATATTATCGTTCTCGGCAATATTAAAGTGTAAAGTAAAATTTTTTTTATTACATTTTCCTTTTTTAACTGTAAAATTGTTATCTTGTTATTTTGCCAACGAGGAGAAATATTACATAGATAGGTTGAAACTTAAAATACTTATCTTTTTACTTAGTATTCATTATTTACTTGTTAAGATAGATTCCTCTCTCTCTCTCTTTCTATATGTATATATATCTACATATATAATAATTATTATAATTTACACAAGTGTTAGGTAGGGATGGAGTGGGGACCAAATTCATGTTGGTAGATTAAAATTTACCCAGGCCACCCAATATAATGTATACCTACTAATAAAAATTTGTTCGCATTTTAATTTGAATTAGTGGTAAAACCAAGATTTTGAACTATGGTGAGTTAAATACGTTTTTTTTTAAATTGAGATAAAAGCGAACTAAGCGAGGATTAGATTTGAGGGGTTTTGACACATCAAGAAATGTATAAAAGTGATCTCATCAATGTATGTACATTTTAATGTAATACTTAAACAAAAATGTATTTAAAAAAAAACTTAATAGGTATTCAAATAAGAATATAATATGTGTTATGGTATACATTTTTACTGAGTTTCTGAATTATGCAAGTATAAAGTAAAATCTTAGTCCTTTAAAGTAGATAGTGATATTAATTAATATTATATTACATTTTAAATTTTACTAGTTTATAACCTATTAAAAATAATATTTTGACATTTTGACAAAAAAAACATATTAATTTATTGCATTTTCAAACAAATCTAAAATATGTTTTATATCTTTTACTTGTTGAGCCAACTTATAAATAGGTTCCATTTCTTTAGAAAGTTCTTCACATTTAGCCATTAATTGATACATAGATTTTATATTGGCATCAATGGAATCACATGTTTTACAAACGACATCTCTATATATTTCTAAACATTCAACAGTTAATGCAGACATATTATGTAATACACCTGAAAGAGATTCAGATAATGTATCTACGGAAGCAGCAATATTTCTAGCTTCAAACTCTAGATCATTCAGCAAATTTGCATCCAGAATAAATCTTCCTAAAGGTCTAACAGGCATTGTCGGGCTTGTCTGTTTGAGTTTGCTTTCCAAATCTTCAGCAACAAATGTTACCATGTCTCCATTTTTAGTGACTACGCCTTCAAGGTTGTTTAAAAAATCCATTTCTTTAGATTCTCAATATTTCATCTGAAATAAATAATTAATAATATATTAAATTGCAATTAGATAGTTAACAAATATGTTTGTACCTAACTATTATCAATATATTAAAAGAAAATTAGTAACCATATTAATCTATCAAACCAAAAACATAAAGGTATGTTTGGTCATAGAATTGGAATACTTTTGTATTTTTTTGGTTATTTAATTATTTCTATTACACAAATTTAAATGCACCTATACATTCCATTAATCTTAAACTATAAAATTTTATGTATTTATGTTCTTTAACTTTGTTGTCAGTCGGTCTTTAACCGTAAACCACTTCGTAGACAATCACCGACACCACGTGAATTTTACAAAAATCGACCTCAATCACAAAATACTGGAGAAAAGGATGATAAATTAAAATCAAAACCATTATCTATAAATAACTGTATTAAATGTAATGCCCCAAGCAATTTTATAGTACTTGAACATGCATATCTTTCAAAAGTATAAACAATTATTATCTATTTAATGGTAGAACAAACTAATTTTATATTTATTTAGATTCAAGAGTTAACAGTAAATAATGAAATTATGGAAAAACGTTTATTACAAATAGAAAAAGATTTGGTGCATACATTCGAAATAGTTAATAAACAATTTAAAATAAGCCAAGTAATTTCTCAACAAAAAGATAATATTGAACAATTTGTTGACGATATAGTTCATGGCTTATTGAATGATGGCAAAATAACTTTTTGGGCCCATGCTCAAGAAGTAAATACTGATTATTTTTTACTTAAGAAATTATATTTGAAATAATAGTAATAAATTATAAGTTAACATAATTTGTATATTTTTTTTATAATTTAGTTTTCAGTGGTTAGAGAATTCCCAGGTAAAAACCGAACCTCTCTTCCACCAGATGATTGTACTACAGTGTCGGTTAATATGTCAATAAATTCATCTAAAGAAGCACATATGAAAGCTATAATTGGTCAACAAGAACAAACTATTCAACTTCTTGTCAATAAAATAAGGGACTCTTTTGATATTTTTTTCAAAGTATTTAATATTATAAAATGTACAAATTTTAAAACAGCCAAATTTAATAACTAATTATGAATACAATTATTTTAGGCTAATATACCATCTGAACAAAATAGTTCAATTTTAACTTCGCCTAGAAATAAAATGAGTAATTTAGGTTACATGGACAGCTCAGGAACTACATATTTTTCTCCTTTGGGATGTATTACTGATACAAATTTATATCATCCACAGGATATGGATACGGTGGATGATATAAATTTGTATTTATCAAATAATATTAAACATAACAATACTATTGAAAAAAAATTTGGAAATGTTTGTAAATGGAGAAAAAACATTACTTCTAATAGTGAATTCTTTAATAGTCCGGTAAGCAAAATTCATAGTATTGTTTTATAATTTATATATTATACTACAAATTAATGTTTTAATTTAACTTTAAATTTAAACCAAATTAGTTAATTATTTTAATTAATCATTAATTATTTTAGGAATTTAAAGTGATAACTATGTCAAACAAAGAAGCCAAAGATGAAATATCAACTCTTGAAGAATTGAAAGACAATGATAATTCAATATACCCGTTATATTCACAATTGTCGGAATTCAGTGAAAACTGTTCGAATGAATTGTTGGATAGTAATGAAATGAAAAAAAATTATGATTCAGAAAGAAGTAAAGATTTTGTTTAAGTAAATTTATTATTTTGGTACCTATTAGTATCAAAATAATTTTGAATTATAATATCATTCAATAAACCTATATATTTGTATGAATATTATGTGGGTACAAAATTACTTACATTTATATCTTTGAAAATGATTTTACTATTCAGTATTCTAGTGATAAAATTGTATGAAATATTTATCAATGAAAAGTGTGAATTCTCTGTGTTTTGATACCTAGATTTAATAACATTTTACCAAATAATATTATTTCTTCCTACAAGTTTAATTGTTTTCTTAAATTTAAAAGTATTAGATAGTGTAGTATATAAATATATAAATGCACACAGATATATTAGATATATTCATTATTATATACTAGCTGTCTATCATGGCTTTGTCAGTGCAATAAATGCTTATATTTATGTTATGTTAGGTTACTACAGGCTAATAATAAAAATTGTTATTGTCGTTTTTCTTCCCATTTTAACCCAGACTTAGAACTCCGCAAGTTACTGTTAAAAACTTTTTAGCTTTTTATTTAGCTACCCAGTGATAGTTTAATCGTCGTTAGGTTAAGTTTACTACTTCCACTGGCAGATCAAGAATTTGAATACTTTAAAACTTTCTCTAGACAATGCAGATAATGTTGCGAATAACCAAAAAAAAATTGGTCTTGTATTTTAGAGAACATGCATGACTTTTTCCATTTTCACATTTACATATATACAGATTCACCCCATTCAATTTGGACAATTATAAAATTAAGATTTTTAATTAGATAACCTTTTATTTAACCGAAAGCATAAGTAAAGTGTAAATGTTACGGTCAAAAGTCGAAATCTAGCAAAATTTGAATACTATACTTTATACTTGGGCAAAATGTCATATTTCGGCCTTGCCCAGACAAACCTAATAGTGACCAACCTCATTTACACAAAATTGTAATTACAATTACGCATCCATACATTTCAATTTTTCACAGTAGTTAAGTACCATATTATTTTTTAATATTACACATAAATAACAGTTAAATAAATATTATTGTTCCTGTATAGTTAAATATGATTAAATAAGTTTAGATGAATAATAATAAAATTGATTTGGTATATATGTTGACAAAGTTATTCAAAATTAAAAAAATATATTAGAATTATTATTAGGTATCTTGACATAATTATATATTCATTGATTTGTTGTTTACATTATTTGCACCATCTTGTAGTACACTTAATTTTGCAAGTTCAAAAAACTAATCCTTGCCCTCCAAGTTAACTAGTCAAAATACATAATATGTAATAATTTATGACATTTTGTCCTAGTACCATGGACACTTCTTGGTTTGCCCAGTGATTTCTGAGATTTGCCCGTAACATAAATATTATTAACAATTATTTATAACTTAAGTCAATGAGATTATATACAGGAATAAGATTCCATTCTTTTTAATTGTCAATATAGAAATTAAAACAATTTTTTTTTTTTTAACAATTTGAAAAATTAAATCAAACTGCTCAACATAATTTTTTGTTAGCAATGATTTATCATATACACATAATAAATTAAATAACTTTTAATATCATAAGTACTTTTCTGTAAATTGTTTTAAAGGAAAATTTGTATTGGTTTGTAATAGGTATCTAATTAAAAAGCGTTTAAATATCAAATGAAAAATAATACTTAACAATTTGTCTTTATATTGTATGTTATTAAATTGTACATTATAGTTTTTTATTAACTGTGTCAAAATTGACATAATACCTTTAATTTATTATTTAAATATTAACTAGAAACAAAATAGTGTTGTTAGAACCCACAATGCATTCAAATGTGTGACACATAGATTATCGTCAATTGTCAAATATTAACTAACTTCCTGGACTGTTATACGACTAGTGTATAATATTATTGTGCAATAAAAACAGTATTAATAAAATGAATGTACAATGTGAAAAATCTGTATAGAATGATGTCTCTACACATACATGGTCAATGAAAATAAAAATTATATTTAATATAATATTTTAAATAGAAACAATAAAAGTTCAATGGTTTTGTAAGTGGAATGGAAAAAGAAAAAATATCCTTTATTTATAAGAAATATATTTTAGAATATTTTTTTAATAATTTTAATTTTCTAATACATGTCTATTTATTTTAGATGGTTTCTGAAATTGCTGTTTAATGATTTTATGCCATGTCATTGAAGTTCAGTTTTACTTTTGAAGAATTTGTTTTACCTTTTTGTTTGTTATAATTATTTTGTTTTATTTCTTAATCAAGAATTAGTTAAATAAAATTATTACATTATAATAATATTTGTTGCAAGTATACCAAAAATTTAATTAAATAAATACATTTTTTTTTTTTACATAATAATATATGGATATTAGAGTATATTAAAATATTATTCTAAAATTATTTCAAAATGGCAAGCTTTAAAATAATATTTGTTTAAAATTAATATTAACAGATAAATTTGTCCTTTTTAGTTAACCATAAAACTTCAAGTTATAAAAGTTTATGTTATATATAAAATAATATAATGTGTGAATCTCTTAATACTATGTACCCAATTTATTTTGAATTAAAAAAACAAATTTCAATGTATAAATAATATATGAAATATAACTGAACAATAATAAGTAGTTTTTATTTAATGTGAAGCAAAAGAATCCATAAACTTGACATAAGGTATTTCTATGTTGGTAATAAATGGATAAATACTAATTTTTCAATATACCTATATTATTCTTATATATCAGGTCTGTTTAGTAAATTTCTGAATGAGTATTATAATCTTATCTAATATTTACTTGGCACAATATTATATTGAAATAATATTTAATATTTGTGTTCATGAGTAAAATCAGAGTAGCCAAGTAAAATTTTTTCAAAAATAACTATTGGACATATGCCTTGATATTTTGTGAATGATAAATTTCCAGGTATTATACATAATGATTTTGGTGAAAACAATATAATATTTTAGTATAAATTACTCTTTATTAATTATAAATTGATTATTAAAATGCAGAAAACACTATATAGACTATACTACAAAATAATATCAATTAAAATGATTTGTATATATGTACCAATGTGCATTAAGATGCTCTGGCTATATTGACTAACTAGTACTCAATCGCAAGAAAGCCTGATGGAATCACTGATCAAGTGGATTCCAAAAGTCTGAACGTTTCGACAGTCACGTAGACCAGACATTGACATTACAGATAAAATCTATAACATACAAGTACTCACACAACACAAACAACAACTATAGGTGAAATATAACCCCTCTTAACATTATATATTTTAACCTATTACAGTAGGTTTTTTTTCATAGATCCAGTTTAAAATTAAAAGTACATGATAATTATAAACTAAGTAAAAATTTGCTGTTGAAATTATTTTGTATAATTTACAGTTAATTTAGGTATCAATTTAATGAAAATATCAGTTCTTTGTGATTATTGATTTGATGATTCAACGAGAAAAAACTGGTTTGGTGAACGTAGTATGAAACAGGTTTCGGTTCGATTTCTTGTACAACGATTTTATAAATTGCAACTTCTCTCAATAACAACAATAGTTCATCCAAAATCTGTAACCAATTCGAAGGTATTGTTGTCCTTGAATAAAATATTTGACCTTTGACACGGTCAAATAAAACAATATATCAAGTTCATAGTTAGTTACCATGAAAATAAAAATAGGGTGAGGCAAGTGAGATGACTTATTTATAAAGTAGTTTTTAGAATTTCTCGGAATATGAAGTATACAAAATAAAAGTAAGTAAATGATTAATAAAATAAAATAAATGGTATGGTATGCTATGCTATGCTACTGAAAAACGTTTGCTGATACTGCTGACATTAATGTGAACATTAGGAATAAGTGTTGTAAAGTGGTAATGATAGCTGGGGGCAAACAAACAAATTCTTAAAATGCATACTAAATAAATGAAAATATCTAACATAACTAATGTAGTAGTTAATGTTTATTTTAGATAGGGGGGGCAAATATCCCATCTTCTTTCCCCTTTTTGGGCGTCAATTTTTGAACATAAATTCGCTTCTTACTCCCCTAGGAAATTGATAAAAACTGCCTCTGACTATAGTAAAAATAATCGTTGAGTTTGTACCTTCAGGACAAACATAATACAAAATATTATACTTATTATTAAAATTCGTTTAGACGTAATAATATTAAAGTAGATACTACGCCGCATGTGTTACGCGCGTTTTTTTTTTTTAAAAACATTCCCATATTATATACAGTCATCGGAATCCGGGTATAAATAATCGAACATAACTAAAATATAACCTAAAATATTTTTATCTGCAACAAAATCGCTTATTAACGATAATGTTATTTAAACATATGTATTTACAAGTAGGTTTCCCTATAATATATATAGTATACATTTTATTTTGTATTCGCGTGATTAATAATAAATACGATTCTATAATAAACCGGGCGGACCAATAAATTGTGCCAATAAAAATGATATTTTCTAAACGGACTTTCTTTTATAAACGGCCGATGAATTTATAATAATAATGTTATTATTATTATTATTATTATTATGCGATGGTTCGGTTCGAACTTCCGAGACGATGACGCGACGGCGACTGTACTCGCAACAACGAAAGTTTTCAAATTTTTTTTATCAAGTAGTGTTATAAAAAAAAAAAAAAACAGAAAGTGCGTAGTTGCGTCAAATATAGCGAGCGCGCTGCAGTTCGTATCCACAGTTGACGTTCAATATAACGAATAATAGTATTGCAAATAAATTAACACGGCGACGTTATGTATAATTTATATTATCGTTATTATTATATTGGCAATACAATACCTATATAAGTATCCACCGGCCTTATAAATCGACTTTTTAATACCGTGTTGATAGTCATATTGTCGATATTATTTGCATCGAAAAAAAAAACCGCACGCGTTAATCGTCAGTCATTAGACGACTACGTTTCGAAGTCCACAAAAGAAATAACATTGCGAAAAATAATAAAAAAAAATCTTCGATACCTATTAAACATTATATTAGGTACCTACTTATAATACACCTAACCTAACCTATCTAATACTATAATAGGTACGCAGCAATCGTTCCAATAATCGTCGCCGGTTATATTCAAATGTATTACATACAGATAAATATCATCGTCGCCATCGTGATGTTTTTTTTTCACGTTGGATTATATTATAATATTATGTATGAAAATCCTCGGGTAAAATATTATTATATTGTAAGCAGTTTTTTTTTTTTTTATCGTCGTTTAATTTAATCGTATTATTAAACGCGAAAAAAAAATAAACTAAAATTTGCACGACGGGATCGCGCAAAAAAGCTTTGCCTACTATATAATACCAACGGCGGTGTCTGTGTGCATTGCACGGTCTATTCGTACGTGTCAAAATACCGGTTGAGAACTGATGTATTTTTAACTTGAGCGTATAAAAAAGTAGGGCGCAATATTGTCGACGGTTATATTAGCGCGGTCCAAGAGAGCTGCACAGTGTACGTTTTATACGACGAATTCAAAAAATTAGCAACAAGTCCCGCATTATTTTAATACGTAGGTACCTACATAATGTAATACATTAGTGCTGGGAATAATTTAATAACCCACACTGTTTTAATTCTTAACAAATTCGCCGAAACACTTGAAATTTAAAAGAAAAAAAAAACGGTATCGTGTTAATTGCTTATTATGTTCAACAGTAAACATAGTATATTATATGCGTTTGGTTTTTTTTAGACTCCCACTGGCCATTCGGTTTAAAAATACACCTATGTATGGGTAGGTATATCTATTTAGTCATTTAATATTATGTTTAAATTTGTATGTTTTAGATGACTTAACTTTAAAACGTTTGCATTGTTGGATTATGTAAATATTTATTATAGAACATCAGACTACGATTTATATTCACGATTATTATTTACTATATATTGCCTTTCGTTAAAAATTCCCGGGCACGCCGATCGAATAGAAACAAATATCAGTTAATACTATTGTACTTATTGGTAAAATGCAATCGACAGGTTGTTTATAAAATACTATTAAACACGGTGCAGTAATGCACAATACAAAATATGTACAGATAAGATAATAATAATATTACTATTTATTGTATTATATTTAAATACGAAAATATCGAAAAGTAAACATTTATTCAAGACTGGTGTTTCGTCGATTTGGCGGTAGGGTATAAGTACCTACTCGTACATTACATAGGTACTCAATCAACAACAAATAAACCCAATGTACCTACTAGCGTTTGTTGTCAGTTTTTTTTTTTAATCGTTTAGTAAAAATGTAGGAATCTAGTAAAAAGTTTAAAATAAAGTAAGTACCACCCGGAAAAAATTCGGAACATCTTTACAAACCGAAAAAGTGTTTTTGGATGGACAAAAAAACATCTTGGTAAAATTAATATATTAGTTACTCTCTAGTCTTCACTCAGTTCTTTATAACGTATTTTTTTTTATTACATAAATATATTCTAAAAAATATATATTCTCGTAATAATTATCACCGCATACTGTTCGGTAAATATATTTGTATGTCGTTTGTATTGTAGACTGTAGTAGTTTGGTAGGTAAATATTTAGACGAATCCGATATGATATCCGATTATTAGAACTTAACTATCTATCAATTTGCAAATGTTGAGATGTTACGTAAATGTTAAAATGTAATGACAAACAAAAGACGGAACACCGAACATTATTTATTTATTTACCGAATATTGACTCATTTCTTTTGGTATTTATAAACCGAATACATTTTTTCCTAATCGAGCGGTTTTCTTTTTTTTTTTTACGGTATAGTAATTTGTATTTATTATCAACATATGATCTGCATAAAATATTATTTACAAATTACCTAGGTATCTACTGGTACTATCGTATTTCATAATTATTGTTACCCGCATAATACGGGTAGTTTCTGGTACATATTCATATATCATAATACGGGATGAGTTTTTTTTGTTTAAAATAAAACAAAATCAGTATCATATAGTGGCGTACCCATCTGGTAAGTACTTATTATTAAACCGGTTTTGTAAAAAATTATTCGCTTCTAATATTACTATGGGTAGTAATATATATATATATATTTTTTTTCTAGATTCTGAGCGTATGGCGAGGAATGCTGGAACTGGTGATTGTACTATAATATATGATGTGTAATTGTATAAAGTTTTATTCGTTTTAGATTCGGAGCGTAACGATTCTATTTTACAACAATATTTATTTATTATTATTTTTATCTGTAAATAACTTTTCTATCAGGAATTTTGCTCCGATTTTCAAGCGTAGTACTTTTTCCGAAAGGAAAGTTTTACTGAATGATACTTTAGGGAGGTCATTTTTTGATTTTCCAAGTAATTTTCATAATAATTGTAAAAACGGGAATATTTACGTACATATATAAAAGAAACTTCGCTCCGAAAAGTTTTTCGTAAGTACTGATTAGTTGTGTACAGATATAAACTAAATTTCTCATCATAGATATCGTATTTTTTCAACTTTTCACAGTGACCCACCCATCATATGTGAAGAATGTCCGTCTTTTTTTTAAATTTTTGTGTTAGACGTTTCTAAGCAAGTTTTCAACCAGAAATCGTACTCCAATCAAAAATTGTATACACATTTTCTGATAGAAAATGTATTTATAATTTATTCGATGAAAAGCCATTTTTTTGATTTTCCTTGAAGTTTTCTTAATAATCGGGAAAAACGATAGATAAACGAGATATTTACGTAATAATGGTTACTGTTAATTTCGATTTTGTTTTTTTTTCGCTTTTCACGTGAGCCGTAAATTGTAGTTTTTTTTTTTTAAATAGTAGTCAGCGTTTTAAGATATACTTCTGTAACAACAATATAATAAAAATATGTTATAGGTGTAATATTATAGGAAAAATTTCGGTACCTGCGTGCTGATTTTGCCAACCCGCACATATTTCGCTCCCAGCCAACATAATATATTTTAACCACCCCTCCAAACACATTATTCTTCAACGTGTAAAATATTTAACTATCTATATATTTTATATTTTCAGACTGCAGTGGTGTTTTAGTTAGTGGTTCAATATCAAAATGCACTTATAATCTAAATATAGGTACATATTGTGATATAAATTATATAATTTTTTTTTTTATTTGTGTAGGTTCAATTATTCTGTAATAAGTAAATGCCAATATAAATTTACCGCCCCCTTAATAGAAAACCCATAGAAAAAAAATTCCCGCTCCGGGCAACAACAGGTAGTTATTACACCTTATCCCCTCTTCTCCCTCTTCCCCTCCACTCAAATACGACCAGGACGAATACATACATACACGACACGAACGTATAACGTATATAGAAAATAATATATATGTATATAATATATTAGATGTGCGTACGACACACGTATATATACACGAGTCGACTGCCGTCGCCGACAAAAACCAAAGGTAAATCTTATTTCGTGTTTCGCTCTCGGGAAGGGAGACTCGCGTTTGGTTGTTTTTTTTTTTTACTATACGCTCAAGACGAAACGTATTTTCTTTTTTCAGTGTTATACGGGCGATACAACCTACCAGAGATCCGGTGTATTTATATTACTATTATAAATTAATATTACTAAAAATCTATACATGCACAGCATCGCACACCGCACAACGTTCTGATGATTTCTTTTATGCCCGTCGACGTGCACAATCGTCGTCGTCGTCGTAGCGGTCCGAACCGTCCGTTTTGAAAATTGTATAATACACGTATACCAGTGCACGCTACATCGTATAGTATTATTATTATACATACAATCAAATAAAGTACGGTAAGTGTACTGATAATTTTTTTAAATTATTAATTATAATATATCAATATATTATAAATATTATTTTTATCGATGGTGGGCATTATTATTATCTATTAGTTGACAAATTAAAATTAACTTGGAAAGTAAATTGTTTAGTTTAGACATCATACGAGCAGTTTGGGAGGCTAACTCCCAAAATGTATCCAAATCCCCCCTAAAACTATAAAAAAAAAAAATAAACGAATTATTATTCTAGCCCCCTCAATTGACCATTGGCCCAGAAATTAGAATGACCTTTAATACGTTTTATCTGTGGCAATGAAATTGGTTTACAGGTACAATACAAGTCATAATCTTTTCTTTTTTGTTGCTCATCACTAAAATAGCCCTTTCCCTAAAATTCAATCAAATCTCCGCCTATACCAGACATCCGGTTAATAGTTGACGAGTTGAAAAACTAATGATTTCTCTTATCTTCAAATGATTTTAATTGGCTTTTCTTAGTATTACAATATTATAATAACAGTATTTAAAATTATTAACTGTGATATATTTTGATTCAGTTTATTTCAATATAAATGCAAAAAATATAATATAAATATTGTGAATTTTTAATTTTTTTTAAGCGAGTAAAATAATTTTTGCATTTGAAATTTTAACTAAAGACTTTATTAAAATTTAACTTTATTGAATAAATGATTATACATTAACTTACCCACTTTTGAACTCCTTAACCCCCTCCCTCCGACTCGGCTCCGTTGTACACCTATTTATATTAGATACAGGTATAATAGGTATTATTATGATTTCACGTATTATTGTTGGATTACTGTTTTTCTTTGTTTAAATAAACTTCAATAATTTTATAGATCGACATGGATATCGTAATACGTCTCGCTTTAGAGACGTGTTACGATTTTTTTTCTATTTATTGGATTGCGTTTGATGATTTCGTATTAGAAACGTGAAAATCGCATATAGATATTTAATTAATACTCCAGCTATTTGTTCAGTTATATATTATACATGCAATTAGTATTTATTATTCATTATATATTATAGCATATTGTATACACCTATAATAAATATACATTCATTTACATAATTAATCAAAACAAGTTATTTATATAGGTACGTGTATTAATAGTACGACGCATATATATTGTGTATACATAATATGCATAGAAATTAACATTTTATTTTTCTACTATATACCTACTTATATTAATGTACCTAATTAACTTGTACTAAGCATAGGTATAATAATATAACTGGAGAAAAGTTAAAGAATTTATTTTTATGATATTTGACCAGTGATAATAATACGCTGTACAATAATTTAGCGACCAGATTTTTTTTTTCTGTTTAAAGATTTTTCATCATCTTTGTCTCTGAAATCTGCACATTCTTTGCATCGCGTTTGACGCGCTATAATAATAACACGGGTGAAGGTTACGATACAAGCCAAAATACAAATTATTAATAATAAACAACGGTCGCAAATTCGCAATAATTATTCGTACGCGTGTTATTAATAAAATAAGATGCAGTTAACAAACGATAGATAATTTCGTTTATGTAGTAACCGCCGAATGAACGATACTACATTCTATTTTTGAAAAATGTATTCGTTCGTATCAATTTATGTCCAAATAATATTATAAAAAAAAAAAAAAATGATTTTATCAAATTATTAAATAATACTTATATAATTATATATAAATATTATATCTGTATAATTTGCGTACAAACAGACACACATTTTTAACAAAGTTTCATTTTTATTTATAAACATATTTATTTGTTTAGTAACAATAATTTTTTGCGCACCGAGAAACTAAAGTACATATTAATAATTTTTACAATTTATAATATAGACTGATATAGTGAAACATTTGGCTGAAAACCATAGGTAGGTATGCTTCATATGAATAAACAATAACTTTTGTTAATCTTTGGACTTATTATAATGTTATGTTATAAGAAAAATAAATACAATTTAGTAACAAATTACAAGGTACAAATTATTTTATAGATTTGGAGCAAAACACTGAAGTTATTAGTTTTATTAAATACCAGTATTAAAACAGCCTACTTATATATTATAACTGGTAGGCACCTATCTTAATTTTGAGTATATATTTAAATATTTTATTTTATTTTTGAAGTAAATTAAAGTAGGTTTTACCTAATAGATAAAAGTTATAAATGTATAAAATCTAGCTAGAGCTATGTTAGAGGGGGGTAATTTGCCCCGGGGCACCAAACCTTTTTTATAATCGTATAGGGCACCCGGTTCAATATAAAACTCGAAATAAAATTTACAATGTCGCCTATATTTAATAACAATAACCTGTCACTTGTTATTTGTTTTATTTTCAAATTATATACTTAAACAACGATTATTGTTTGGAAATGAAAAGAACATAAGTACAATCTATAGTGGCGGTTTTGAACTTTTTCCAGGGGGGATGGGGGTATTTAGAAATTAACTTACAATATATTTAACATAAAAAAAATATTTACCCAATATGTATTAATTTATTTTAACTAACTTACATACCTACCTATTATATTTTACTTATCTATATGAATGTAAGTACCTATGTTTTATTCAACAACAAAGTATAAGATTAATTTAAAAATTATAACACAAAATCTACGTTTCGTAGACTAAATTCGGAATCTGGGGGATTCAGGCTTCTTGGACCTCTTCCCCATAAAACCTCCACTGGTAACGAAATATGTGTAAGTACTTAGAAAAAAAATTAGCAATAGGTACAAAACAATTCTATTTAATACAAAAAATCAGGTATGAACCTTTCAAATCATCCCTAAGTAAGACAATAAGAAGGGACATTTAAAAATTAATGACCCTGGGCTTTGTTAACATTCAAATTAATCTGGATAATAAATTGATTTTTACCTTTTATCCATTTATTTAAATGAATAGATAATGTAAATTTGTAATAATTGATGACATAAGTTAGGTAGTAGGTATCTAATATAATATTAATCGATCTTAATTGTTAAAAATATTGAAAGATTAATATTATAGCATTAATTTTTCTTGGGTTACCACATCCGACTTACGTACTTAAAAAAAATCTTTGATAACAATATTTTTATTATTACATAATATTTCGGCATAATATAAACAAAAACAAATGACTAATCTCAGACATAAGATTACATATTATATATTATTAGAAAAAAACCGTTAAGTATCTCACTTTACTTAAAATTTAACAACTAAACAATACCATAACCTTAACCGTATTTTGATAATAATTTAATATTATGAAAGTGTTTTTTTTATTTATTCATATTTCATACATAATTACTATTTATTGTAAGTCCACAGGATGGTTTTAACTTATAAGGTTGCATCCGAATTGGAACCCTAGTAGTTTTTATAAGTGGTAGTACACTAGTTGGGTCCCAATGAATTTTGGGTACTATCATGATTAAAGATATACTGGTTTCACAGTGAGGCACAAAACGAGACCCCGAAGTGTCTTTTACATTTAACTGATAAGAAATGTCTCACGACGAGCTCTATAGCAACTGTAAAATGCAGAACTAATGCAATGACGGTAAATAGTAATAATCACGAACCCCTAAGATATCTTAGTTCGTTATGATTGAAGACATTTCGGGAATCAAATTTTGTTTTATAATCATAGCTCGTTGTGTAACCGGGATATTATCTTTAATCTTTTTTTAGTTCAGTCCCAGTTTCAGTAGATAATAAACTAGCTGGGTACGAACGTTCAAAAGTAATAGAAAACATTTTCCTTCTTATTTTGATAAACTTCTATTTGGCCAATCCCTTCGTTTTTTTTAAACTTCTAATTTTTGGTAAGTATCTATTTGAGTAATTTTTAAAACTTTTATAAACTGGTAAATATTAGAATGATTACTTACTGCGTTTGGTTAAGTTAGATAACCTAAACATACGTTTTACTTTCTAAACTTCCAAACTACGTACGAAAACCCACGACACAACTATTATATTACCCTGATAAATTCGAGACCAAACTAGTGTATATTTTTAGTCACAGGACCCAACTCGTATGCGTTGTTTTTAGTTTAACAGTAATTAATCGGTCATATTGAAAAAAAATTGTATTTGTAATTTATTTATTTCACTTATTAACTTTGATTGTGTCAGCATACAAAGCACTTTTACGGTGTTACAATATTAGTTTAAAAAAAAGATTATAGGATGTTATATAGTTTCGGTTAGGTATATAAAGATAAGTAGGCGTGGTTTTAGTTTAGGACTGAGTCTTTTTCCTAATTTTGTAGAGGAGAGCTTCTTCAATTTTGTTGGGCTTGTTAATTGTTATGAACATTTCCAAGTCAATAGGTACCTATTTGGAAGGTAATTCCGTGTCGTGAAGTTGTTTATGTTTCACATAAGTATTTATAAATTTTATAAAAATGAAAATAAATACAAACGTTAAATCTCTCTTTTCATATAAAATTACTAGAATACCTATTTAATTTCATTAAAACATAATATTATGAACAACAAATAATTTATACAATTGTATTGTCAATCTATATTGGGTAGTTGTAATTTTAAAAGATTTTATAGGCGTATAATATAGCCACTTAGTAATAATATATCAATTCAAGTATTTTTTAATACATTTAAGGAGTGTACGTGTCTATGTATTATATTATTAATATTATTATTATTGAAGTACGTTATAAAGAATACAATAAATCTTTATATGGTCACGGATTATGCCAAGTATTTTATACTATTTAAACCAATCAGGCCGCTATTATTAACCAATTGGCAATTACTATATAAAACGGAAACATTTTTAAGTATTATAATTATATAGTACTTATAAATATGAAGGTACCTACCAATTTAAATTCTGTAGTGTCAATTTTTAAATGTTTAGACGTTTGTTATTATTCGGTTTTATTTATTAGATTAAAAGATCGGTCAGGGTGAGATTTGATAGCATTGACTCATATGCATAACAAAGAAAAGAGAAAAATATCACGTGCTGTTAATAATAATACTCTAAAATGATAGACTTTGGAACGATATTTAATACACCTATTAGGTCAATGTTATAAAATATTATCATATTACGCAATTTATTTAGAGGGAAATATTTTTTTTGTAATCATACGGAGTTAACACTTATCTTAACACTTATACCTACATTTAGTTTCCATTGTATATTATGTTATAATTGCAAAAATCGCCTTGGACTTGTAATTTTTTTTTAACTGATTTTTCTTTTTCATAACTATCAGCTTTTAAATTGAATATTATTTTTGAAATATATAATGTACATAAATACCCAATGAATTGTTGATATTATGTTTAAAAACAAAATTTTGTTGAAATCCTTTTAAAAAGGCATTCAAAAATATGTTTGATTAAAACATCTTGTCTATTATTCATTCTTTATAATTTATAACAATTAAAAATATAACCATACATTTGAAATATAAAAAAAAAAAAAAAAAACCGAGAATTTTTGAAAACGAATACTTTCTAAATTAAGGAACCGTTTACTTACCAACGTAAAATGTTACCGAATGTTATTTTTATTGGATATGTTTACTATCACCAAAATGTAATTTTCGAGAAAAACAATATACAAATAATACCACCTGTGTACTACTCAGAATTTAATCAATTTAATGATAAACTAATTATGTCCCGTAATAATACATGCATATTGTATTTACTATAACATAATAATATATTCTAACATATACACTGTGTAACATTAAAATGGACTAATTTTCAAAAAATTCCATTTCAGAATTAACTTTTCATATCAGTTCTTTTACTACACTACTTTTAATATCTACAACACTATTATAATTTAAAAATATTATAGTTTTCACATTAGGTAGAGATATCCTAACAATTATTATAGCAATGAACTCATTATTAGCTAATTACGAAATAGGTATTTGTTAGATTATGGATATGTGAACTTTTACAAATTATTTTAACTTTAAATACAATAATTCTTAAAATAACTATAAATATAACGATTTATAATGTGTACAATTATTGCAGTTAATGATAAAGAAGATGAATCCATTGATGTCCATTCAATTATTGATTTATACTGTGATATTCTTATTGACGTGTTGTAGAGGTGAAAATGAAATAACAAATATAGAAGGTGAATTATCATATTTGTTTAACTCTTAATTGTTTAGTGTTTCTTATTCGAAATTAATGTTATAACGGTTCTTATACAATATGATATATAATTATCATGATCACAGATACAGATTCGTCAAAACAGTTCCTAAGTCTTAGAAAAGAAGATCTAGAAAATGCGATTCAATATGGTGCGCAACAAATTAGCATGCTCTCTCGCCACGAAGATTCACTGTCGTATGCCAATATCAACGTAAAAACCGGAAGTCCTTCTCACGGGCAGCTAATTGATTCTCAGCCGTCCATGGACGGACATGTAGCATCTCGTAATGCCGAAATAGTCATTAAAGCTTCGCATTACATCATGAACAAACATTGTTTGGGGTATAATAAATAAGTCAAACATAATATTGTTAACGTAAAGCAAAAACAAACTAAAATTACAAAATCAACCATTAATCGTGTTTATATAGCATCGGAATTAGCCAAATGGACTGTGCCAAAGAATTGGCAAAAGTAAAATTGGACCATACTTCTTTGGGTAAAACGTGTTTATCCAAGTATCAAAATGAGAGCTTGTGTGAAGGAATGAATTTAAAATATCGCAGTGCAGACGGTTCTTGTAATAATTTAAAACATTCCTTTTGGGGAAAAGCGAATACGGCTTACAAACGTTTATTATTTCCGGCGTACAAAGACGGTAAACATGAATAATAATAATATAATCTTTTGTAGGTATACCTACTAAGTACATTTTTTTCCATTTATGCAGGTTTGAGTTCGATTAGAGAACTACCGAATTCCAGAGAACTGAGCACCGGTCTGGTAAACGACGAAAACTCGCCGGATAGTACGAAAACCATCGCGATGGCGTTTTGGACGATTTTCATAGGACACGATCTGTCTCATACGGCGGTTTCTAGCATGCGTAAATACTAAATACACAATATAATAATATATGCCGAGTAATAGGTAGTTTTGATAACAAATTCTAATATGCTCCTGTAAAATTTACAGTGAAAACCAACAAGTCGGTAGACTGTTGTAACGAACACGGAATGAAACAATCACCCAGGCACACGCACTCGTCGTGCGCGCCCATAATAATATCTAAAGAAGACAGGTTTTTCTCGCCATTGCGTCGTACGTGTATGAACTACGTACGCTCGATGCCGGCTATGCGAACAGACTGTACATTTGGACCCAGAGAACAAGTAAATAATAATATAGCGACTGGTGTAAACTTTTTTTACATCGATTACCTATTTACTGCACTTATAAAATGATCGCATTTTTAATATCTGGTTCGTTTCATATTATATAGTTGAATCAAGCCACTCACTATTTAGACGCATCAATGGTGTACGGTTCGTCGGGAAAACAAATGTTATCCTTGAGGAAAAAATCACGAGGTCTACTGCTGACGTACACTAGCGACGAACACATGGATTATATGCCGCTGACCAACGGTTCGAGCGCGTGCCAGTCTGGGGCTACGTGTTATAAGGCCGGTGACATTCGGGTCAACGCACAACCACACTTGACGGCCATGCACACCCTATGGATGAGGGAACACAATAGGGTCGCCAATCAGCTGGCTATCATCAATCCCCACTGGGACGACGAGCGGGCTTTTCAAGAAACGAAAAAAATTATAACGGCCTCGATCCAACACATAACGTACAACGAATGGTTACCAACATTACTGGGCAAAAAATACACCAAAAAAAATGAATTGGAATTATCTATGAAAGGGTACAGTAACCTATACAACGAAACTGTAGACCCGACGGTCAGCAACAGTTTTGCTACTGCAATTCTGCCATTTGCTAATTCAATGTTCAACGAGACCCTGAGGTTTGTGCAGAAGATTCTATTTAGAATATGCGTATAAAAATACTATTTTAATTTCTGAGGGTATTCTTTAGCTTATATTCTGAAAACCGAGTGACCAATAAGAGTTTATCGCTAAAGGAACATTATAATCGGCCATCCGATTTACAAATGAATTACATGGACCATCTCGTAAGAGGACTCTCAATGCAAAATACACAAAAAATTGATATGTTGTTTACTAAAACAGTGAGTTGGTTAAAATAAAATATTTTTAACAATTTTATCATAATATTAAATTATAGGTACTATATTTTAGGGATGAGTTGAAACGTAAATCGATATTTTCAGAAAAAAATGTCTAGAATATGAAGACAGTATTAAAAAAGATACGGACATACTTCGCACGATAGGTGGGCCACTGTTATAGGTGATAAGTAAAGAAAGTAGGATATAGAGGGGAATTTAATATATAGCTGTATGATACGATTAATCTTAGCTAATAAAAAACGATTCTAAGCGAAATTAGATTATACATATTATGAAAGGCCATAACATTTACGATTTTCATCAAAATTTGATACTCAAATTCTTATAAAAAAGTCTACATTGCACATATTTTTTTTTATTTGATCACAAAGTGCGACTTTACTGAACTTCCTGTTAAATTTTCAAGCATTTTTGTTTGGTCTAACAATTTTATCCACTGAGTACCTACCGAATAAATATTAAGTATGCTACGTAAAAAACTCACAATATTAAAATGTCTATAAATAGCTCAAAAATGGGTAAAATGTTTTGAAAATATTACCACGTCATATATAACGTTTTGTCCAAATTTCAAGTCTCTACGAATATTTTAAACTGAGTCACAACAAAATTGAAAATAATATAATTCGTAAATTGTTCAGGTTTTTTCCAATTATGAAAACTGCTTGGAAAATCAAAAAATTATATATTTTTAATACAACTCGGATAACAATTCCTTTCAAAAAGGGTGCTCTTGAAAATCGGAGCAAAATTTCTGACAGAAAAGTTGTAAAACCAATACATTCTTCACTTCACTCAGAATCTAAAAATCGGGGTTTCAATCAATATGTTGGTTAATTTCGATATTAACTTATAATTTTCAATTTCAAACATCAAATATCAGTAGCATATTTCAGAAAATCGGACACCAGTAAAATGTGGTATTGGCCCATCCCTACTATATGTATTTATACTTATTATTTACTGTCATTTAAAGTACATTTTGATTTTTGGTTTTTATTTAATATCTTAATTTCCTTTATTGATTTGTATAGATTACAGATTACTTGTACAGTCATTCAGATAATAATACATTCGGAATGGACATTGTCAGTTTAGATATACAACGTAGCCGTGATCATGGAATTCCCAGCTACACACAATTTAGAAAATACTGTGGATTAAAAGACATACACAGTATTCAAGATTTAGCTCAAATCATGGTTAAAGGAGTAAGTTTAAAAATATAAAATAATACAATAATGTAATACATACAACTTATAGTTATTTTTTGTTTATTATGTTTTTAGTCAACTAACAAATTATTAAAGCAATACAAAACATGGGATGATATAGATCTCTTAATAGGTGCACTATTTGAGAAACATTCAGAGGATGCAATGGTGGGACCAACAATGAGATGTATCATTAGAGAGCAATTTATTAGAACTAGACTAGCAGATAGATATTTTTATGATTTGCCGAAAATCTTTAAAAAACGTTAGTATAGCATATTAATTATTTACATTAAATCCATATACTTTTAATTTGTTTATTATGAATTGTATTAATTTAAAATGTTTAATGTAATATGTAACATAGATCAACTGGCAGAAATCAGAAAGGTAACACTTGCCAGAGTATTCTGTGATAACAGTGATAGTGTTACAAAGATGCAGCAACGAGTTTTCTTTAAACCTATATCTGACGATGATTTGCTACCTTGCAGTTCACAATTAATTCCAAAAATCAATCTCAAACATTGGACGGATAATGTTGATACAAATCAAAAATAATATGAATATATAATATAATTGGATATAAGGTCACTAACACGGATGACTATTATCTAGCTCACAATTGAATTGTATGATCACTGCTAAATTATTATTATTATTATTATTTCAATTGTTAGTATTATAACTAACAGTTAAAATCACCTATGAAGATGGCCTACATATAGGCTTTTATGATTATAACTATAAGTTAAATATACTACCTATACAATTTAAATAACCAAGTCCTTAAAATATTATAGACAAATTAGATTTTAATATGTTGAGTAAGTTAAAACTATAAACATTTATAATTTGTATTTTATAAGTATTATTTTGCGTTTTCAAGTTGTACTTGAATAAAAATAAAACTATATGGATTGTTATCCAAATTTCCTATTACACCACTGTAACTTATTAATAAAAACATAATATATTATTAGGTATCACCTAGTGAACATTTATTTTCATTTGTCATGTTTATTATCATATTACCTTCACTTACATTTTGACATAGCTAAGAAAAATAATCTAGATATTAAATAATTTTTTTTAATTTGGGTTAACATTGTTATGGGTAAAACATAAAAAGCATAAAAGTGTGCACATTTTTGTAATAAGGGAATTATTATTTTAAAATTGTTCACTATTCAATCGAAAATTGTCTTTTTTTTTTTAAACATCTGTGGTAAATTATTGTTTCCAATAAGTAATTTAAAAAATTATATAGTTAATAAATATTGGTTAAATAATTATTTCAATACATAGTCTAGTGCCGTAATAAGAGGTTAGCAAAATGAGCGGTTGCCAAGGGCGCAGAAAAATAAGAGGGCACATTTGAGTTAAATTAAAAATTGGGTTTTTTGTAAAAAAGTTATTTTTCTCATAAATTATTTCAAGTTTTATTAAAATCAAGCGTTAATGTGTAATGTACAAAAATTACATATGTTCAATGTTGTATTAAAGAAAGTTTTATTGATTTCATTGCATCCAAGGAAAAACTGGTCATGGACTAGCGACCGCTATAATAAATACTATTTTGCAGCAACAAAAGCTAGAAATTTAAAATTTTAATATTAATGACAATGATTTATTGTAATATTGTATTATATTATTACATTGCATGTAATTACGTAAAATAAGAAAGTAACATTGTGCTTTTTTATTTGTTTTTAATTTATTGTAATAGAGTTACATATTAATAATCTATTATAACTCATGAACTTTAATGACTCAATTATTTTAAAAAATGTACAGTATTTTGATTAACACATAAGAATGTAATATAATAATATTATACAAATTATACCTATAAAATGAGATAAAAATAAATGCCAAAATAAAATTTGCCAAGGGCGCCACGGAGAGTAGTTACGGCACTGACCTAGTCAATTTAATAATGAAATTAATTTTATAATATTGTCTACTATATAATCTTTGTATGATAAATGATAATATGACACAGGAGTATAATATTAAAGCCTTAAGTGCAATAACGAACTAAGGCACACATTTTTCATGTTCATGACATTAATAGCAACCATTCACCAACAAATTGATAAACATTGATAGACTGAGTCACCTTTACTTAATATTCATTAGATAATACCTATAATGCATTATTATGTTATAAATATTTTTAAGGACAAGAATGGACTATTTCTCCTATAATTCAATAGTACTATTTTTGGGTTAGTCCATTATTGCACTGAAAACCTCAATTGCATTTTTATAATAGATAAAAAAAAAATGGAATCGATCTCATAGAACCCTGTGAACTTTTTATGGACTATTTATAAGCAATAAAGAGTTTTAAATCATTAGATTACTATCAAATATACTAAATAGAAATTACAATTTAGCATACCGTAAATTCATTTTTTTTTTTTTTTGTAATCTGAAAAAAATTATTTTAATTGTGAATTTACCCTAAAGAAAAATCATTATTTTGTATTTAAAACTATTTATTGTCATAAAGATTTTAAAATGTATCTATCACATCCATTTTTGTATTTAAACTAATTTTAATTTAACAAACAAAAAAAAGGTTCTTTGAATATCAGTAAACTGACAAAGTAAAATTGTAAAAAATTATATGAGAATAATGGTTAGCATAAAATATAACAAAATATGGTACATTCATAAAATGTCCGAGATTATTAATGATTTAAAACTATATAAATGCATTTTGTAGGTATTAGACAATTTGTTCAGTAATAAGGCATTTAGTTTAATCATATAGGAAAATACTTTTTAATCTTACTTATAGAATTAATTTAGATATTTGGCTGTTTTAAAATATAAAGATTGAAGTAAAATTAAATGTTTCAAACACTAAATTATAATACATATTGACAAGGTAATGAAAAATAATTTTAGCATTGGAACATAAAAAATATGCCAAAGGAATTTATTTTGAATTGAACAAATCATTATAAATACATTTTATAATTCAAATATGAACTATTTACATGATAATTTTAGAATATTTTTTTTAAAACAATAATTATTTAGATAGGTAGGTATAGAGTCGAGAAGTAATAATTTTCTTCAAATTAATATTAAACTTTGTACTTAAAAACACACTGTAGGTACTTAGAAAATGGCCATACAATATAATAAAGAATTTAATGTAGCAGTCTACTTTGTTGTATATATACAATAGACTCATAAAATAGAATTTCACCTGTCTAACCATTAATCGGATGATCATTAGGAACATCAATTAAAAAAACAGTATCAGTTTTTTCCAGCTTTTGTCTAATATTCTTTTCAAATTGCTTTCGGTAAGTTGTGAATTCCATAAGGTCTTTTGGTTTTTTGTCCAACCAAAATTTGTCAAACTCCCAAAATAAATAACAATAGAATTCATGGAAATCTTCATATTCAGGCGCGTTCCGTTTATTATAAAAATGAGTCTTGGCTGAGCCATCAACAACCAGTCCTAATGCAAAACTTGTTAAATTTATTCCAACAATTGCAAATTCATACCCATGTTCTGGATGCATTGAGTGTGATAATGCATTTCGAGCTAAACAAGTGTATTTGGATGCAAAATAGACCAAATTATCCAGCCCTAACAGTCCCATACCACGAAAATCAGTTTTCGGGTCATCTCCTTGAAATCCAATGTCTTGCCACTGTTTGGTCACTCTATTTTCCAGTCGATCGTTTGGCATCAATTCATCCCACAAAAATAACAATGATTTTTCATGTACATCATTAGTACAATCATATTGAATGCTTGCATTATGTTTAATCTCCTCTATCAGTTGCATATATGACCATATCTTATCCACACATTGTTCAAGAGCATTAAGTGCACGCTCAGATTTGTCAATGCGTTTAACATGTGCAATCGTTGACATAGCATTTGGCAACAGTATAGTTCGTCCAAAGTAAAAAGTTCGTTCGGATGATCGAGCATCCAACACAGTCAACAAGCCACATATTTGAGGTATAATGGAATCGCGCAATGATCGCTCTACATTCAACGTTCTGGGTGCACCTACAGACAGCGTGTAACATATGCGTTGCAGTTCACAGAGCTTGGTGATCTTGTGCAAGAACCATTTTATCATTTTTCTCACATACCAATAAACCGAACTTCGTATTAAGTAAAGCCACATGACTATGAATGGATAAACTTTGAATAATATTGGGTTTTGCCTTAGTTCGTTATATAGGTAGGTAATAGATTTGAGTCTGGGTAACTTACCAGTAGATTGTGCATATCGGGCGAGGCCGGGTGGATTGGTGTTTATCAATCAGTGATGGACGTCGACTATGTTTGGCTGAAAATTGAAATCCATTTACGATGAGTAAGTTACGTATAGTTAAGAAAACTTTCTGTTAAACCCGAAAAGCACATAACGATTCTGGCATAATTAAAATAATTGGTATTTAAAGATGGAATATTATTATATCATAAGTGGCAAAATAATAAATATGAAGACGTAAACACGTTATCAACTATATAATTGATATTTCATAATATTGTGTTCAGTGTTACCAAATTTTGAAACTGTTAAGACCGTATAGTCTTATCAAAGTTAGTGTTTGTTTTATTTAATAACCACGATTTAAGACTTAAATCATATACCATGGATAAATCTACTGCATGATAAACGCGTAATACGAGTTGAAGACATCATTAATACTGAGTGCTGAGACTGATATCTATTACACTTGCGTATCAGTACTCGTCGCGTATTTATCGTATATTCGTATAATCATTACCACCAGCATAGATATAGATAATAATTATAATTATTAATATCTATGTATTCAATAGGCTGATTACGTATTAATAGAATACATAGACCTGTGGTGGATACCACAATACTTCTCTCTCGAGGAGATTCGCACTGCCCGAATACCAACCAGTGTCTATTAATATCCGCCACAGATCTATAAACTAGTTAATAATTAAGTTAAATCACGAATTAAGATATATCTTGATTAAACCTAACTATTTTTTTTCATATATATTATAGATCTACGGTAGAAATGTAGAATCATATACTAAAATTTGTTATCGAAGCCGCGGCAGCCATAATATGTCTAAACCATAGAGTAACACAGAGGAGCTGTACCGTATCTCGCTTGTATACTATATTAAAGCCAAACTACCAGCCATTGACCCGAAAACGTTGACTATTCACAATATGTTTCTCCATCAGATGACGGTATAACGTTGATATCATTTTATATGATTACATCATTACAAAAATAGTATAAAGTTGTCATTCAGATATTTAGGTAATTAATTTTATTTTTATACTTTTACTTATATTTAATATTAATACATTATATTACATCCAGCATTATGCTTACAAACAATACGTTTCACGAAACTAGCGACTCCGCAGTGACGCTTCTGGTGACGAAATTTTGGTGTTCCGCGGTTTCTCAAACTTGCACACAATACGCGACAATTTGGAATACTGCACGGTTTTTAAAAAATATGAATGAAAATAATTATTGAATTTATTATATAATATATATGGTGGTTATAAAATGTTTAGTAATGGAAGGTAAAATTCATATCAACAGGGTCAGCTGTTTGATGGTTGGTTGCCGTGTCATTTTTAAATTACCGCGCTTTTTTAGTCACACGTTTAGAAAATCCTCACGAAAATCTGCCACCGGAAACGCTAGTTTCATGAATCGTCCTGTAGTTGCTATGCATGCGGTAGGTCTAGAAATGAACCATACCAAACAATATGTACATTATTTTTACCCATTCAAAGTAGCAGCACTGGTCCAAGTCGATTCTCGCCTCAACGTCAATCTAGTGTTGTCGCCTCTATGTTACTCTATGGTCAAACAGCAATATTTACATTTGGATCTGATAATACTATTTGATGAGAAAAATAATTTGAATATCTAAGCTTTTTTTGTAAGTTTGTGAAACTAATTATTGTTTGTACAACAAATTTTGGTAAATCTAGTGGTTTTGGATTTGGTTACAGTTTGCAGTGGTAATCTGAAAAAAAATCCCCAAAACAACTATACTATTAATAATAATAATATTTAAACAATTTTAAAGACATACATACTTCAATTTAATTATAAATTGTCGTCTAATCATTAGCATTCGTATGGTTTTTTAGTCTATAGATTACAAACGAAATAGCAAATATTCAGAAAAAATAATTTATTGAATATAACTGCTATTTACTCTCTCAAGGGATTGGCCCGCATAACTAATTTTAGTTGCCAAATATCTAAAATCAATTGTTTACAGCGATAAATTATGGAATTAGGAAAAAAAGTAATAAAAAGTATTTAGACATACAGATTTAGTATCTATATGTTATTAGTTATTACATAGGTATTACGGTTAGTACTTTTTCAGTTCCTGTCGGGTAATTTTGAACTGTGCAGCTGTGCAACTATCTATAAATCCACACAAGGAAAAAATAAAATATACATACATACAATATTATATTTTTTTAAAAATTATTTATTATTATTATTTTTGACAACTGTGTGCACAATATATACACTCAAACCGTTGATGATTAAACTATTATATTCAAATTTTTTTTATATATATACCTAATTTTTACAGTATAATTGGATTTATTTACAGATTTTTCTTTTTCTGGGGATTCGTTCATAATTAGACTATTGTGAACTGACCCGTAATACTCAAATCTTGGGTATCAGGGCTCACCACATGCAAATGGGAATGGTATTTCATTCAGTAAATGACACCCAACACGTAAATCAAATTATTATTATAATAATTAAATATTATCTAGGGAATAGGTATACTTGCATTAAATTTAATAGATAGAAAACAAATTACCAAATTTCCGAGCCTTATATATATTATATTTGAGTAGAATTTTTTATCTCACATGAAAATAACAATATTATTACAAAGTCAATAAAAAAATAGGTCGTTATATTTACTAAAACATTTTATATATTTTCTGGTTTTCCACATTTATTGTCAAAAATCCTGGAAGATCAATAAATGACCTCCTTAAAGTACGTCCTTTCAGAAAAAGTACTAACATTGTAAACCCTAGCAAAATTGCTGATAGAAAAATTGTTCACAGAAAAAAAAAAAATAAACATCATTGTAAAACCAATACATTCCTTGCTCCATTCAGAATCTAAAATATATAAACAGGACAATGTACATTTGGATTTCAGACTTTAGTAACTAATAAATTTGATTATTGTAATATTAAATTTAATAATTTCTAAGTATTCAATATTCACAATTCCAAATAGTTAAATAAAAAAGTAATGTGTAAGTATCTACTATTTAGTGTAGATATGTGTGTAAAATGTTTTACATTCAACTCATTCAAGAAGACTATATCCAGAGTGTTATCAGTTTTCATATGTTTCCAAAATAAAATCAGAATTATATTAAGTTGATAAATTCTAATGAAGTTAAGAAATTCCAGATCAATGTAAAACACATGTTATAAAATTACAAATGGATATATAAATTTTAAAAAAATTGACAGTTAAAAGTGTGCTATAAACATTTAAAATAATTTTACAATTACTTTATTAAGTATATTAAGAAAATGTATTGTTTCTTCTTATAGACAAGGATCTATATAGAAAGAGTTAACTCTGGAGTTATCCAAAGAATAAGAACATTCACAATTTTCTACTAAATTTCCCATGAATTCATGCGCATTTAGTTTCTGATATTGTGATTCTTAAATCAAAAATATTATATTACTATTTAGTTAATATTTATAATTATTAAAATGAGTGAAACAATATAAATAATAAAAAAATAATTAAAAGATTATTTAGTTATTAAATATTATCAATTTATTAATGAAAAAAAAAAAAAATGAAAAAATAACAAAATAACATTTATATTGCACTGTATAAATAAATAAGGTACAACAATTCTTAAATTATAGTACATACATATTGTAATTAAATATTTTATGATATGAGTTAATAGTTTACTTTGGCACATTTTGATCAAACAATACTTTCCATGTTATTATTGTCAGGTAATACACTTAATGATTTTGGGATTTTATTGCTATCTATAACTGGTACTGTGCCATTTTCCATCAGATCTATAAATATAAAAAAAAATTATATATGATTAAATTCAGGGAAGCATCATGTGTTTTATGTTATAGTTTTACAAATTTTCTTTAATTTTTAAAAATTTAAAAATTATTTTAAACATTTCATTTACCACCTTAAAGATAGGATTTTCCAATTGATCTTCTACCTGATACCCATCTATTTGGCCGTTTTTACTGACAAAATTGACTTCATGCAAATAATTGTGAATTTAATATTTACATAAAAAATTTGTTTTTGATCAACAAAATTCTACAGTCCACAATGAACTCAGATTTAAAATAATGGAGAAAAAATTTAAAATTTTTTAAAGACATTATAAATTTTGAGAATAAAATATTGAAAGTAATTTTTTTTTGGATTATGTTTTATAGAAAATTTAGTAAACTAGCAGCTCTTATTACCCACTTTTGATTTTCAAATGATAACCTATATTAAAAATTCCATAAATAGAAGACGTATTACTTAAAATACATTTTGGTGTTGCAATTTTTGATTTCTGTAAATCCGTTGAAGAGATATTTCACTTTTAATTTTTGGTCAAGGAAGAGTAGTGGAACAACATTTGTGTGGCGGCATGGAACGCAGCGTGTTAATAATGCACCACTTCTTTTATCCAAACTTAAAAGTAGATTATCTCGTCAATGGATTGGCGGAAATCAGCATTACAATCTATTATAACGATTACTGCATCTATTTATGGAATTTTTAATATAGGTTACCATTTGAAAATCAAAAGTATTTAGTGGTTTTACCCTTAAATAAAAGAATGGCAAAAAATAAAATAAATTAAAATTTTAGAGCTGCTTGTTTCTGAAATGTTCTATAAAACAAATTTTGAAAAAAAATTAATACTTTCCGAGATAATAAGTGAACCTACTTTGGATCACTTTGTATTAATTAAAAAACAAAAAAATTAAATTTATTTGATTCTATTAAACAGTATTACTATTTCCAAAACGTGTATTTTTGTGGGCAAAATGATATTGGTACCGGGGGCCTTAAAGGTAAATTCTAGAAAAGGTGGTGAGACTTGCTACATTGTATGGGTCAGTGTTGGGTGGTAGACAGAAAAATAGAAAGTGTGTGGTAGATATGAAAATGCTTAGATGGATAATTGGAGTGATGAGAGAAGATAGGATAAGGAATGAATACATAAGAGGTAGCTTAGTTGTGGCTTCGATAGTAAACAAAATGAGAGCAAATAGACTGAGAAGGTTTGGGTCATGTAATGAGAAAAGATGAATCTGAAGCAGTGAGAGTTGTAATAAAAATAAATATAGGAGAGAAGAGGAAGACTAAAAAAGAGGTGGTTGAATGCAATTGAGAATGATAAAAGGATGGCAAGTGTGTGCGAGTAGGATTGGGTCAAATGGAAGTTTAGGACGAGGGTAGCCAACCCCAAATAGTTGCGAGGATACAGGTGAAGGAGAAGTAGAAGATATTATAAGTAGGTAGTATTGTTAGTACAGATCCTCCACTACTGTTAGTTAAAAAAAAAAAGTATATTATAGGTGCACATAAATAAATAAAGAGTATTATATTTACAAGTAAATTTGTCAGAATAGTTTTGCATTAGCAATGATTGATTGTTGTGTACAGACATAAATTTAATTACTTATATCCTACATTCCCAACTACTAAGCTACAACAGTGGCCTATCCATGATCAGTATCCTGTCCAAGGAGAGTAGGAATAATATACTAAATATGTTAAGTGTAAATTCAAACAGAAATACTCTAAGATAAATGCAATTTAAGAAATCGGTGGAATCACCGTGCATGTCCATTTTTATGCAAAATTATTTTTTTCACAGTTTTTGTAAAGAAAACATTAATAAACAGTTAAATATAAAAATTAAATTTATTGTACTTTTTCCTGTTTATACTAATTATAGAAATTTTAATGAAGTGGTCTAGTCATTCCATTTTATTTTGATAAAAAGCACTTTCCGTATTAATTCATTTTATATTAGTATTATGTGTTAATCTGTACTAAAATAATATTGTCATTGAAGAAATATTTAACTTTTAATCTTGGGTAAGATGAGAGAAATCTAGCACTATTCAAATGCCCTAAAAATTATACTCTACTACTCTTCTATTAAAAGTGGAATATCTTGTTAATAGGTAAAAGTAAAGCAATAATTTCAACATAAAAATTTATTTAAACTAATATTCAATCTATTTATGGAAAATGTAATATAGGTTATCAATTAAAAACTAAAATAGGCACATGTTTTACATGTTATACTTTGAACGTAACACATACAGACATATTAAAAACAGAGCTGATACTGAGGATGAGAGCTACCACTATTGTAAGTGGGTAGTGGGGAAAGTGGGATACATAAGGTTATTTCATTTATATCTGTAAGCAACAATAAACCATTGCTACGAAAGACAAATTTGAGCGCAGTTCGGTAAAACATAATTTGAAGTGCCGTAATTTTTTTTACCCCTAACCTTTCAACTTTTTTTCTGATTATTGATACTAATTCGAAAATCAAAAAAAAAAAACTGCATCATTTATAACAAGATTAATAATTCAACAAAAAAGATCTCTTGTCGTTTTTCAGTTGGAGCCATATTTGTACTAGAAAACGTGGGTAGGCACTTATTTAAAATAACGAAATTGTGAAAAAATAGTATTTTTTTGCCGGTTAATTCATATTATTTTAAACACCATTTTGAAAATCATAAAATGGTCTATGTATTTACTACTGTTTATCTACTAAGTAGATAAAATTTCAGAAATGGTGCTATACTTATATTGGAGCAAGTTTTTTAAGATAAAAGTGGTCTACAGTATATATATAAAAAAAAGTACCATAGTAACAAATTAAAAAGATGAAAGAAAATTTTTCCACGTCTAATCAAGTCTAATATAAGTATTATTACCAAGTTTTAAATCTCTACATGTATTTATAATCAAATTACATAAAAAAACTTCCAAAAATTAATAATTCCTTTAAATCTTAAAAGTTTTGGGGATGAAACCCTAAGAACATAAATCAAAAAAGATGTCTAGTGATTTTTCAATTACATCATTTTTTTTTTTTTTGGTGGAAAACGTCCGTGATTTTATTTAAAAAATGGTATTAAAAATCAAAAAATGACCTCTTTAAAGTATTATCTCAGACAATTTGAGCTTTCAGAAAAGGTGCTACACGTAAAACTCAGAACAAGTTTATTAAGAAAAAACGTGTCCACAGGCTAGAACAAAGAAAAAAAAGGAAACATCTTAATAAAACCAATAGCTTCCTCGCTACACTCAGAATCTAAAATTTAAAGTTCATTATAACTACTTTTACACTCGTCTTAACTTCTGAATTAATGATATATGACTTTTTTCTCTCATATACCTATCTATAATTTGGTATTTATGTATTAAGTGTAGCTGTAGCTTTTAAATTATTGATCTATCTAATATTTTGAAAATAAGATATATTTAAATTTTATAATGTATTTATTATTTAGGAATTTTTGAGAGATTATTACTAAGAGAAAAACTTATTTATCTTTGTAAACTCCGGGTGCTTTATTTTATGATTAATAATAATAATTTTGAACAAACTATGCTTACTGGACAATGAAGGTGAGGGGCCTTGAGAGTTACTAAACATTTTGGTACTATAACCAGAATCGTTGCATGGTATATCATCATGACGCCGGGCTGTCAGATAATCTAATCGCCATCGCAAGTTTGGATCCATAACTGTGGTATCAATAGCACATTCAGTTCTAAACCGGTTATCAAGTTCACTGTCATTTCCACTCAATTCTTCGGTCACCTGTAAAAAAAAGTTTTTGGTCTAATATTAGTTATTAATAGTTATTTGCCATGTGAAAATTGAAATTTTTTTTTGTTACCCATGTGTCTACAATTTAATAAATTAAATATTTATAAAATAAAAAATATTGTTCAATTTAGAGAGCTTTCTAGTTAGATGAATTTTATCAAACATAAAAATGAATACAATATAATAAATTAATGTAATATAAATGTAATAACATTTTTATTTAATATAATTTAAACTATTACAATGAGAATATGGGATACATACTATATAAAATATTAAAAAAAGAATATAAGTTAAGTTCAAAACAGCAATTTTGATCATTCATTTTCTAGTTATTTTTTGTGATTTCATAATTTCAAAAAAAAAAAATTGAATAATTAAAATATACTTTTAATCAATTATTCAATTGTTCATTATAGTACTAATTATTATTAAAATGTCTGGATGATTATTATTGCATACATTTTAATGTCATTTAAAAATACACTAGTCACTTGCTAGTTAAAAACTATAAAACACGCACAACAGGATACCAATAATTAAGTTCTTTATTTAATTTCTTAGTTCACTAACCTGTATTCAGCATTGTATTGTTATCTAAAATTGGTAAATCTTGGAAATCAATATATAAAAAAGATCGACATACTTTTCACAATTGGTACACTGTTGTAGGTAAGAAGTCAGGAAGGTAGAATATAGAGAGGAATTTAATTTATATCTGTACACAATAATAAACCATTGCTAACGAATGATGATTCGGACCAAAGTTTCTTTATACATGTACTTTTCCCGTTTTTCATACCTTTTTATCCAATTATTATGAAAACCACTTGGAAAATCTAAAACTTACCCCCCTAAATAACAACCTATATAAAATTTCTTTTCAGAAAAAGTACTTAACCTGGAAATCAGAGAGGGGTTTCTTGTAGAAAAATTGTTCACGAGTATAAAGAAGAAAAAGAATAAAATTATAAGCATTGTAAAACTAATAGGTTCCTCACTACAGTACAGATCTAAAAATAAGAAGTAAAATTGTGAAATATTGAGACATTTGAATACCCAATTAAATTTGATTAATCAATTAATTAAAAAAAAAAAATTAATTGATTTGTATTATATTATATTATTTGTTCAAAATAACACTACTTTAAATTTTATAGGAAAAATTAAAATTATAGAAATGACCTATGTTATACAATGAAATAATTTTTTGTATATAAATATCTAGCTTATAGTGAATATGTAACATGATTTACAGGTATAATCAAAAGTAAATTAACTAAATATATTATATATTGTATACCTACATACTAATTATACATATATTATTATTTAATTATTAAAGCTGATTACCTGTTGAAGTTTTTCATTTGACTGTTTCAGCTGTTTCTCTACAGAACATAGCCTTCGATTAATATTATCTTCAGTTCGACAAATTTGCCGTTTTAATTTTTTTGTGTTGTGATCCAACCGAGCTTCTAATTCTTTGAAAAATGGTGCACAATAACACGTGTATCCAACTCCAACTGGTCCTTTTCTAATATTTCCAGCCAAGTCTAAATAATATTGTTCACCAGCATGTAAGGGTTCTTCAGGTAAAGAGTTCAACTTTGGTTTCGGAAACTCTTTGGTATCCGGGAAATAATGGCATCCATAAGGAGACCATTGTTGTTTAATATTTGTGTCAGTACGTTTTTTACTCTAACACCGATTTTATTAAATTAATTAAATTATTTTAATCATTATTATTATCTAAATAAAATATACACATACATCCTTCGAATTTTTTTTAGTTTTAGAACTGCTATTCTTCTTTTTGTTTGTGGGATCATTTAAAATGTCTAAAATATCAGTCAAATTTTTACGTTCTGCTATGTCTCTAGCTGTTTCATTTTGCTGAAATAAATATTGTAAAATAATAAAGTAAACATTGATTTGATAACATATTTAAAAAAACCTCAATTGTGTTTTTTATGGATTTTAGATTTGAACTCTTTTAGTGCTATTTAATAATAATAATTTTCACTAACCTTTGTAATTTTATACAAATTGAATCAGATATAACTATTTATATATTATATATTATATTTTACATAAATACTTAAATATAGTACCTACTTACATAATACATTATCTACATGTTATACAAAATTAATACTATTTAGTAAAGTATAAAAATACCTTATTTTTTAATGTAGTATTACATTTTGCTTGCAAAATAATTTTTGTTAATTTTTTCCTGGCCATAGCAGCAGCAATATGAAGAACTGTATCACCATTCTGCTCATATTTAAAAAAAAATATATAAATATTAATTTACTTCCATTACTTCACACGCCAAATTTAAAAAATATATATTTGTTTAAATATAATTATTTTTAAAACTAACTTTATTTTGTTCTGAAACTTTACACTGTGCACTAATTAATATCCTTAGTACTCCGGCATGTCCATATCTTGCGCTTGTATGAAGTGGTGTATCACCATACTATAAAAACATTCAGAAATATCAAAATAATAAAAAAATAAAAATATTTCTAAAATAACACCATCTCAAAAATTGATAATTATATGGTACTATAACTACATGAGTTCCACTACATACACAATTATTACATATATCTTAATATACAAAACATACATTTTAGATAAAAAAAAAAATACTTCACATGATAGGTGGGCTTATGTTTGTCCCACCCATAGTCGCTATAGGTTGTAGATGAGAAGTTGGGAAGGAAAAAGAAAATTTAATGTATATCTTGCCAAAAATTAACCGTTATTAACAAAAAACGATTCTCAACACAGTTCAATAGTATTGTTTTGTAATATTTATGAATTTCGCCAAAATGTCATATGAAAATTCTTATAATAAACAAAATACTACATTATACTCTATATTTTTTTTTTTACCACAAAGTGACACTTAAAATGAACCCTTTACTAATTTTTCTAGTATTTCTGTTTGGTCTAAAAATTGTATCCACAGAGTACCTATCAAACAAAAATTTCTGTAATAGTTTAAAAATGGCAACAGTGTTTTTAAAATTTAACCACGTATATAAAAGTCAAATACAGTGAATTCTGCTTAATGTGATCACTGGTTTAAAGAATCAACTGTTTATTGGAATTATTTTATTTTTTTTATAGTATTGTATGTTTTTATTATAGTTACATGTATTTATATTGTATTTTTTTTATTGTATGTTCCAAAAGTTACAGATAAAACATACATACATTATTATGTTATTAGTTTTAATTATATGTACATTAATTGAATATAAGTTTTAATTTCAGGATTAAATGAAATTAGTAAATTCCCGAGTACAATTGAAAATAAATAACTTAACCTCCTCAGTCAGATTTCTTTGAGAAACAGTGTTATCATTGTAAATCGGAGCAAAAAATTGCTGATAGAAAAATTGTCGACAGAAAAAAAAAATCAACACCATTGTAAAATCAATACATTCCTTGCTCTGATAAGAATCTAAAAATGCATTATTGTTATTAAATCTTCACGATTAAGTCATCCATGAAAACACTAGCACCTATTGAAACTCAAAAAAATTAATAAATTCTAAAACTAAAACCTACATCTATTATTTAAAAATTATAATAAAAATTAAAAATGGAAATAATTATAAGTGTAGTTTAATATCACGATTGTGGAAGTCAATCATATATATAGGTAATTATTAGCTACCATCCCACAATAATTTTATACCTAATACTTTTTTCTGGTAATACTTTAGTAAAAAATTATCTACTTAGCTTACATTATTTTGGACATCTGGGTCACATCCGGCGAGTAGGAGTTCTCGGCAGCTTTGATTATGGCCATTCTGGCAACATAAATGCAACGCAGATGAACCCCCATAATTCTTACGATCTAAATCACTGCCAGAAGATGCGAGCAACGCTACCGTTTTGCTATAGCCTTTCCAGCTTGCTTCGTGTAAAGCCGTATTGCCGTGCTATAAATATTAAATTATTATTATTATTATTATTATTATTATTATTACTATTTTATAAATGCAAAGCCTTTAAACTCTTGGGATTCATAAGCCGAACCTCTCAGCAGTTCCATCTTTTTTCTTCATTTAAATTTTTTTTCTGTTTTCTTTTTCGCCCTATCTTAAAATACGGTTCTGTCCTCTGGGACCCTTCTACGTCTTATGGAAAGGCCGCTATTAAGCGTGTTCAACGTACATTTTTCTATTTAATCGCCTTCAATTTAATATCTCCCACCCACCTTATTACTACTCCATTCTCAATTGATTTAAGGCTATCTAGCCTAGCTTATCACAAACACTTTTTAATATTATCTCTCTCTAATATCATTTCCGGCAAAATAGATTCTCCTTCTCTATTATTTCATCAACTCTCTTATAAAATACTTCATCTTATACGTTCCTTTCCGCCATTTCTAAAATACTAATTCCATGGTCTTCTAGTTACTCTCTCAACTCTCCTCTCCCTCGCTTTATGCATGCTGTCAACTAGGATCCTTCATTTAACCTCTAACGTTTTACTTGTTTTCTTGAATTGCTATTGTCTAATTTGTATTTTTAGGCTTGTCCAGTACTATTGATAAATAAAATATTAAATAACTAGTTATGGGTTATATAATTCTAGTTTAGATCTCGAACAAATTTTTTTTTTTCAAAATGTATATTCAAGTAGGTATAGGTACAATAAGAATGTGAAAAAAGGCGGACATACTTCGCACCTGGGTGGGTCACTGTAGTAGGTGAGAAGTTGGTAAGGAGAAATTTAATGCATATATTTGTACGTAACATTTAACCATTCAACCTAACGAAAAACAATCCTCAGAGGAGTTCGATTAATAAAGTAAAATTACGTAAAAAACACCCGTAAATTAAAATGTCTATAAATAAATAAAATAAATAAATATAAATAGCTCAAAAATGGCTACAATGTTTTGAAAATTTTATCACACCTAGAAAAGGCAAATAAAAGTTTTTTGTTCAAACCTCAAATCTCTACAAATATTTTTAACTGAATCGAAAAAAAAAAAAATTAAGACATAATACATTTCGTACATTTTCCCGTTTTTCCGGACTTTACAATTTGTTGGGAAACCTCCTGGAAAATCAAAAAATGACCTCCTTAAAGTACCAACTAAGTTAGATATTCTTTCAGAAAAAGTACTATACTTGAAAATCAGAGCAAATTGCTGGTAGAAAAGTTGTTCACAGAAAAAAAATGATTTAAATATAAACATCGTTGTAAAACCAATACATTCCTTGCTCCGTTCAAAATCTAAAATCGCTTAAGAGCTAAATTAGAACAGTTCTTATATAATATTATAAATATAATAATAAACCTCTAACGGTATATCGATACAGTTTGTTTTCTAGTTGCCTAGATATCAGATAAAAATTATTCAGAGATTATGATATAATATTTTCTATCTCTATTGGTTGCTTTAGTACAGTTTGAAGGGGACATTTGCGTGGTACAGAATTTAACTAACTAAGTTGTCGTGTAGGTTGACATTAGCGTTTTGCTGTAACAACAGTCGTAGTACATCCAGATGGCCTTCAGCCGCAGCGATTTGTAAGGCTGAATAACCGACTGCATCTTGCGCGTTGGCGTCTATAGATTTGGCAGCCAGCAATTCGGCAACGGAGCCGCAATCACCTGTCGACGCGGCATAATGCAGGGCAGTTCGGCCATCTTCTAGCATCGGTTCCTTAACCGGGTTCAGATCCACCATCCCAAGTCTTTGGCATTATCTGCAACTCTGCAAGGAAAAATATAACATGTAATCATACAAGTTATGATTGAGCAGAAATACGATTGTTAAGGTGGATGTGTTCTGTAACCGGGTTAGATAGGGTTAGAAATGAATAATAAAAAATAAGTAAGAAGTAATAGTATAGATTGACATGAGATGACAATGTTAAATGTGTTTGAGAATGAAAAACGATGACGTAGATATGATATAAAGTTGGTGACAGTAGCGCACACAGAAGGGAGGGGGAGGGGGAGGGGGTCAAACCTCCCCCCAAAATGTTTTCCTTGACTACATTTTATAGAACAATGTTTTACAATCAACAACATAATATCTTATACCACAGAATAAAATAAAATTTAATTTCATCAAAAATCATTTAGTCAGTAATAATAATGATAGTATTCTACTTACATGTGCTAGGAAATAATAATAAACAAAATCCCTCCTGAAAAAAAATTGCGTATGCTACTGGTTGATGAGTTATGCTTAGATAGAAATCAAGAAACAGATAAGCCAAAAAAATAGCAGTTATAGACAGGACCGAATTTACCTACAAGCAAAATAATTTTTGCTACGTTCCTAAAAAGAAATTTCTCCCGAAAACGGCTGAGAAATGATATTTATGTATAAAAAAAATATATTTATTAATGTTGCCTGTAATGTTTTAAATAAATAAATATATAATATGATATAATACATTATATTTACAATAATTGTATACTACAATTACCGCAGGTCATTGATTACTTATGGACTTATCGTCCGTTCATATAAAAGTTACGTACAATCTATAAAGATGGTTTATTTCTATTTTTTATAAAATTATTTCAATCTCACATTATTAATGATATAATTATTATATTTAGTAAAATTTATGATTCGTGATATTTTTTAATTTGTATACAGATCGTACAAGAAGAGCCTTTTCTCCTAAGGTGATACACTTCTTGAATAAAATGTAATTAGTTTAATATTATGTTTACCTATATATTTAAATTATTAGGCTCATCTGAGTTATTCGTTTATGATCCGCAAAACACTTAACCTGGCTATGACTATAAGATATGGTTATAAGATGTGACAAGCAAAGTTTAAAAATAAGAGTTGGTGGTCCCATTTGCATGGAATATAGACGAAGAGGAAGAAGATTGTGTAAATATGGTCAAAATATCAGCAGTGGATATATTTTCTAAGACAAAATTTTACATGTAAAAAATTTCTCTAAATAATTTGTATAAAATAATAAAACAATTTAATAAAATTCTAACCTAAAATTGAATATATGAACAAACATTATTTATACATTATACAAATATCAATATTAATATTATTTAATACAATATTTAAATACTATATGACATAATATTTCTACAGTAGAGATTTTGACTAAGAAATATTTCCATTGGATATAATATTTTGTACAGATATTTTGACCGGTCACCGTAAATAATATACACAGGTACATGCATTGCACCTACACTAAGTATCATATGTATCTTTAGATTTACACACAAATACATAATAATAATCGATTGGAAGAATAGGAGTATCTATATAGAATTAAATATTTTATTTTAATTTCATAAAATATCTACATCTTTGAAATATACGGTAAATGCATAGGCAGGTAAATGAATTGTTTAAAACCTAATAATTGATTTTAAAGAATATATCTAGCCATCTAAGATATATCTGTCGTAGGTAGTTGAGAAAGAAATAATATACCTTTCAATATATTATATAGGTATATATTTGTGCATTTGTGACAACCAAATTAACTAATAATAATTTTTTTCTTCATCCGTGTCATAAAAAAATCAAAAGAAATTACATTTTCGTTCCAAAAATACCAAAAGCTCTGCAGCGTGAGTCATCGCCTTCTTAAAGAGTTGAATTTCAGTATAACGAAAAGCTTATTCTTCATTGCACTTCGAATTTAAAAACCCCCACATTATATGGCCCAACAAAATTTTCTACCAAAGACCAAATACTGAAATTAAAAAAAAAGTCGACATATTTCGCACTGACTTAAAGGCTAGCCCGGATTAAGCGTGATTAGGTTAATTGTACTTTTCAAACAACCTTTAAAATGGCTAAAAATAGCCGTAAGAACGTTTTGAAAATGTATTTAAAATATTTGGTCTCTCTATAATTATTCTTTTCTGAATAACAATAGAAAAAAAAAAAAAAAAAATAGAAATCACCGTTATTGTGAAAATTGTTTCGGTTTTCTGATAGTTATTTTTTTAATTATTAAGAAAATTATCAAGGAAAATAAATTATCGAACCGCCTCTATACTTATACTGGGTTTTAGACAAAGTTTGCTACTAAAAACCACCGCTAAAGTTAATGATTAGAGCAAGTTTATAAAAAAATTAATAAATATCCCTCACAAAGCTCCAAATTTAAAAAAACTGTCCTAGGATAATGGGGACGGGTGCAGCCACTGTTATGGGTACTTTAATATATATCTGTAGTAAGTAACGATTAACCATTGCTAACGAAAATACGATTCTAAGCGGAGTTTGGTTGATAGTGTTGCTTTGACAACAATATATATGTCATACATTATGGTAAAATAATTATTATGGGCGATTCATTAAGAGGTACTTTTTTTAAATGGAATTTTATGACAGATAACGAATGAGTCGTATCAAACTGTCGTGTTATTTTTGTTTAGTGTTGTTTGACATTTTATCATGGAAAGACTTAGCCCGGCACAGCGTCTACAAATTCAACTTTATTACGAAAATCAGCATTCTACAAGAATTGTTTTTCGCAAGCTTAGAGAAACTTATGATCCGCATGATTGGTCTACCGAACATACAATTCGCTATACAATTGTAAAATTTGAAACTCAATTTTCATTATTAGATAACACATAACCAAATAGGCCGCATCCAACACGTAGTGAAGAAAATTTAGCGGCGGTAGCTGGAAGTGTACACGATGACCGTGATGAATCGATTCGGCGCCGTTCTTAACAGCTTGACTTGTCGTATGCAACAACTTAGCGTATTTTACGTAAGGACCTTGGTTTAAAAGCATACAAAATTCAACTCGTTCGAGAATTAAAGTCGGCCGACCTTCCGAATCGTCACCGTTTTAGTGAATGGGTTCTTGAAAAGATTGAAGAAAATCCACTGTTTTCGACCAACATTTTTTTCAGCGATGAGACTCATTTTTGGCTTAATGGTTATGTCAATAAGCAAAATTACCGTATTTGGGCTGAAGAGCAGCCCGAAGAGGTTCAAGAGCTGCCATTACATCCAAACAAAACAACCGTTTGATGTGGTTTATGGGCTGGTGGAATCATCGGTCCATATTTCTTTAAAAATGAGGCCGAGCAGAACGTAACTGTAAATGGCGCTCGCTATCGCGACATGATAACAGACTATTTGTTGCCTGAAATTGAAGCCCGTGATCTCGATGACATTTGGTTTCAACAAGATGGTGCTACATGTCTTACAGCTCGTGAAACCCTGGTTTATTGCGAGAACAANTTCACGATTCGGACCGATTAGTTGGCCAGTTAGATCATGCGATATCACACCTCTCGACTTTTTTTCTTTGGGGCTACGTGAAGTTTAAAATCTACATAACCAAGTCGACTACGATAGATAAATTGAAAGTCAATATCAAACATGTCATTGGCCAAATACCAGTCGAAATGCTTAGATGGGTCATTGAAAATTGGAACTTTCGAATAGATCATGTTAGGCGCAGTTACGGCCAACATTTAAAAGATATAATATTTAAAAAATAAATGTAAATAAAAGTTTTTTTTATAATAATAAAGTTTACCCAATAAAATTGAATAATTTTATTGTTTTTTTAATTCTTGAAAAAAGTACATTTAAATGAATCACTCTTTACATGCATTAAATATTTTCTTTAACAATATTTTTATAATATTGTAGGGACCTATTTTCCCGTTTTCCAATTTATTTAGAAAACTTTTGAGAAAATCAAAAAAAGACCTCCCTAAAGTACCTCCCCAATCATATTTCCTTTTAGAAAAAGTGCTATCATTGTATATCGGAGTAAAATTGCTAGTAGAAAAGTTGTCCACAGAAAAAAAAATAAACATTATTGTAAAACCAATACATTTATTGCTCCACTCAGAATTTAAAATACAAGGATCACGATAAAAAAAATGTTAAAAATCGGAGAGAAATCAGCGAAACGCTAGTTCTTCGGTTTTTGAAAGGACTAGCACAAATTAAATTTTAAATTTACAATTTTGTTTTAATACTTTTCATACAATTAATAAAATGTGTCACTAAAATAAGTAATTATAATCGTAATATAAATTAAATAAATATTATGAATCAAATATTCATAAATAAGTACCTACTATTGAAATATTAATTTATTTTGTCAGAGATATTTTCATGGATCACCGATGAAAAATAGCCTATATCACTAGTCCACTATCCCAGTCCTGAAACTATCCTTTTTAATATTATATTAGATGTCTGTCTGGGCCAGTTTTAAAATCAAAATGTCCACACCGTAATGCCCGTAATTGTGTTCCGTGTGTAGAATTCTGTATTTTTATTATCCAGGAAACCTACGTCTACGTGCCTTATTATCATTCAAACTCATCGTAACTTGACTATCATAATGGTAATATCGCATTTCCTGTTGAAGGTACATACAGGAATATTCCATCTGGAACGAATACATCAGATTATTATGAACTAGAACAATTTTTTCCCCCTCGTTCTATAATTAATAAACAATGCTTCTTATATATTTAACGGATTTCTACAAGCGAAACGCGATCTGTTACATGAACATTTTTTCTATACATATTTTATTATAGGTATGTATACGGACATGATGCAGTTACGCGCGTTCCCATTTATATAATATTTGCGCGTTCGCGTTTATATAAAATGAAATATAGGTATACATTTTTTTTTCACATATGTATAGGTAAACTTCTACAGGTATATGGAAGCAGTACTATAATACCCATACTTTTAGATATTTTTTATGGTTTGGTTGTATTTTTTCTAGTGTTGATACGCAATATCTGTATGGGTGTTCAGGCAATGTTTTTATTATATTATATACGTATTATTATTATTATTTGCAGGATGAAGTATCCATACAATATATTATATACTTGAATATATGCGCACGGTTGATGTACCGTGACAAATTGGAGATAGCATTTATGTTCGTCCGTTGTAAGTGTACCTATTCTACCTAGTATATAGGTATTATTTCTGTATATCCAGGGCACTCGGTGTCTCTTTAAATTACATAACGGATATGCAGATGATGTGTTCTATACGGGTCGTAGATAATATATATAATAACGAGACTACTAGAGAAAAAAAACCTTTTTTTTTTCGAACAAATATTGACACGACGACGTGCGTCGTTCGCGTGTGCGCTCATTTGTTATTATTTTTTTTAATATATAGGTAACATACAAAAAATGAATACATCAACCTACTGTATACATTTATATATATTATATATTACAATACTTAACATAAGAAAAAAATTAATCGAATTTACGATAGATTAACTCGAGTGACTGGCAAATTCGATTAGTTTATTTATAAAAGAAGGACGTGATCGATAATACATTTGGATAAGCGTTACAGCTAAATGTATGTTTTTTAGTATACCTATGACCACTCCCTATTATAATTTATAGGTAAGCCTATATCAAGTATACTAACTACCTATAATATATAATATAACGATGGCGATTTTATTTAAACGTTATAAATTATGTTTTCGAATCTTCCCAAATAGTTTAGTTAGGTCCTGGTCAAAATATCGATAGTTCAAAATCCAAACGGTTTAAGAGACTTAGTGCTATCGCCAGTGGTGTAGTTGAACGTATACCCACTTCTATGTTTTTTTCTTGGTGCGTATATTTAAAGAACGAGATTTGATACGCGAGTATACGGATGTATTTCTTACATAAATCTACCAATTTGATATATAATATTTAGTTAATAAATACAAATGTTGAACAAACCTTATCAGTTATCAGTTTCCATAACCGAAATCAATGAAAATACATATTAATAATAGAGTTATTTATAAAGATTGTCGGAAAACTAATTACATGTAACTAATAAGACGCTACAGAGCACCACTACCAGAGGGCAGTGACCAGTGCAAGTGTGCAACTATGTATCTCCGTGTTGAGGTATGTTGCTTAATCATTTTTAGTCTTTATAATAACCTTAGATCACGATTACTAGAAATAAACGAGGAAGAATCTAATATTTTAAACGATATGTAAATTTTAAATAAATGTACATGGCCGTTTGCAGATGAAAATAATATACGATTTGGCGAAGATAAAATAAAAAGATTAACAAATAAATTTCAGTTAAATACAGATAATTCAGGGCTTTCAAAAATATATAGACAATACAATTGTTAAAGAGGAATTAAAGGAATTGAACATTTTAGTAAAAACATTGCCGGTTTCCACAGCGGAATGTGAAAGAGGAAATGACCAAATGAATTTGATAAGTTCAGATCTCTTAGTAACATTTCTAATTTAATGTTTATCAATTTAATGGACCAGTTGCAGTATGGAATCCAACAAATTATGTAAGAAGTTGGCTGCTCAAACATAGATCTACAAATGATAATAGATCTCGAAAAGTTGCACAGGAAAAGTTAAATAAAGAAAAAGATAATTTATGGAAAATGTTATAGTTTATTAATTTGTTCATGTTTTGTTAATTATTTCGTGTTTGTATATACATTATTTTATAAATTCAATACTTATATTAGATAAATAAATACCAAATTTAACAGTATAATCTCAAAGAAAATGAGATATTTATTTTATATTTTAATATTTTATAATTTTTTCTTATTTGTATTAATTTATGTTATTAAGATTTAAAAATCTATTTGATTATTTGATTAAAATTAAAAGTATTATGTATTACTCAATGATTATTACTTATTATTTATCCAAATAGTGTCATATATTTATATGATTATTTATTTCTGCGAGTATGATTGTGTATGGGGTTTGATTGAGGCAGGATAGTGTAGTAATATAGTGTATGCAACTACTAATTATAAATATGAAAATAATATTAACGGTGTTTATAGGGGGGTGAGGGAGGTTCACCTATCAAGCAAATTTCAGCATACACCACTAAAAAATTTACGACTACATCACTGGCTATCACTTTTTTGCTTAAAAACATATTTTATTGGAATAACTTTCATGCCTCGTAGAGTGGTTTAATTTCAATGATTATTATTTTTTTTGGAAAGAGGAAGACTTCCTGCAGACGTCGTCCTTATATCATTCTCAATCGCATCCAAGCGCCTCTTTTTAGGTCTTCTTCATCATCTCTTTCCTCTTACGTTTATTTTCATTTTCAAAAACCGGATCCTAAAAGAGGCCAATTTCTAATAAATATGTCAAGTTTTTCCTCGTAACTCGGCTGAAATACATTAATTTCAACATTAGATTACTCATATTTGTTTGCATTTAAAACCAATGGGAGGGAAATAACTCCTACCCCCTGCGCACGCCACAGCTTATACTGCTTCCGATTCCTATCTCCTCATGACACGCTCAAGCCACCTTAGTCTTACTACGAATATATAATAAGTATTACGATAATTAAGCACTCAAAGTACCTAATATAATCCACTATACACATAGTATAAATTATTGTTTTTAAAAAAAATGAATGTTAATCATCATACGTCTATTACGAGAAGTATATTTATCTAATATAGATTATAAATTGATAACAAAAAGAAAGTGATTCATCAAGTGAGAACATTTTGAATAACAGATAGTCCAGTCAATGGGGAGTTTTACCTTTCAAAAAATACTAAAGTTTTGAAATTTTGCAAAAAGTTTCGTTTTGGGTCCTTGATTATCCAAAAAAAAACCGCCATTCCTCCGAGGTCCGCAAATGTCCACCATCTTGGATTTTATGTCACATTTTATAGTATTTAGATAATTTCTTCAAAAATATTATCTTAACGATAAAAATAGTTCTAAACAAAAATATAGATAGGAAAATGTTATTTTTATAATATTTATCAACCATTTAATTAACATTAACTAAATAATCTATTATATTTTTTGTATTAATTATTCACAGTACATGTCTGAAATGTCAAAAATATGGTAAGTAATAAAGAAAGATTTCAGCCATCTTTTACTGTGGAGAAACACACAATAATAAACATCAACTCTACGTTTATCGGTTCGTTCACCGACTATCACCAGTCACAATAGCGCGTGGCGTAACATTATACGACGGGCGGATGGATTTTATTGTTTATCTATTACACTTACGCTAAAAACTTACTAAAACTTATTTATTGGAAATTTTCCAATCTACATTTTTGTCTAGAACTACTTTTATTGTCAAGTTAATATTTTTGAAGACATTATCAAAAACCTATAAAATATGACATAAAATCTAAGATGGTGGACACTAGCGAACCTCGGAGGGATGGCGACTTTTTTTTGGTTAATCAGGGTCCTAGGACGAAACTTTTTTCCAAGTTTCAAAACTTTAGTATTTTTTTTCAAGCTAACGCCAATTTTGAATCCTCATTGACTGGACCAAGATTTCAGATAATAAAAATATGAACTTAATGTAGACTTGCACGCGTGGGTAGTATTGTCACCAGCAGTCAGTAAATTTGATAAAAGACAAACGTAGGTTTATAGATTCTCATATTTGAGATATACTCGAAATCAAAAACAACTTTTATACTACCTATTATTATTACAAATACTTAATACCTATCCCTATACCTGTTTACCTAAACTTAACAAACAAATAATTTACGTATCACACGCATATAAATTATAAATATTATAAGAATAGTTTTTGTTCTAAAATAAATTACAGAATTCAAAACGGGATAGAAACTGGTTATGAAATCAAAATAATTTTTTAGAAATAATGAGATTTTCGTCGTATTAAATGGTCAAGACATAAAGCACTTTAGGCACAGTAATTAAAAATTATTATAATTAGGTATCAAAATATATATTGATAAATGTGATTTTCATAAAATGTATTTTGTAGGATGAAAAACTAAAAAGTATATACAAATGGACAATAATATTTGTGGAATTTTATGAATAGAAATATCGTTATAATAATACGGTTATTATATAATTTTAAAAAAATAATAATAAATGGATAATATGTGTGAAAAAGTAAATATTCCTCGCTCAATTTCTATAATATTTTAACGATAACAACATGGTAATTTGTTATTATATTATTGTACCTAAGAATTTGTATAAGTATAATATGTACGTCGTTTTCAATTTTTCCAGGACGCCTATATATCGATGGAGTTTGACTGGCGGAACAGATAAGCAAAATGATAACATTTAACATTATTATAGATAGGCTGTTATAGTTATTCATTTCCATCCATTCAGTATTTAATTATAATCTGAGCATACCCAATATCTATTAAAAATATCCTTTGTTTTTAGCGCTTGACAACATAAGACTAGAGACGTTAATTTAAATTTTTTTCACGGGTGGCAAAACAAATATTAAAAAAGCCATTTTTTAGCCATTGTACAATTTTTACTCTTGAATACCTCCGTTTTAATCACCAAGTCCAAAATACTTTTATTTTAAGCAGCGTTTTTCAAGCGGTTTGATCAACAATATTTTCTATGCCAATTAATGTTTTCATTTCGATGAATACCTATTTAAAAGTGATAAGCCAGTTAGCCTTTGCTAAAAATTATTTTTTTAACTATATAGTACGATTTTTAATGAACTTCATGTTAAATTCTCAAGCATTTCTCTTTGGTCTAATAATTGTATCCACAGAGTACCTACCGAATAAAAATTACGTACAAAACTCGCAAAATTAAAATGACTTTTAATTGCTCAAAAATGTTACCACGTCAAGAAAAGACAAATATAAGAAACTTATATAGAAACTTTTCTGTCCAAATGTCAAGTCTCTACGAATATTTTAAACTGAATTACAACAAATAACAGAATTGAAAGTAATAAAAGCAATATTTTCGTACATTTTTTCGTTTTTCTTACATTTTATCCTGAGTTTTCCTGATATTATGAAAACTGCTAGGAAAATCAAAAAATCACCTTCCTAAAAGGGTTTTCAAAGGCATAAGTGTTTGCAATAATTGTTTTATTCTTTTAAATTTTGTTTTTTTTTTAATGTATTTCAGTTTAAAATATTCGTAGACTTAAAATGTTTATAGAAAAATCATATTTACTTTTTCTAGATGTTGTAAAACTTGAGCTATTTTTGAACTATTTATAGACATTTTAATTTTGCAAGTTTTTTACTTCGTAGATACATTGTTAGACTTAACAGAAATGCTTGACAATGTGATAGGAAGTTCATAAGAGTTTTAAAATCAAATTTTGACGAAAATTGTTAATATTTTTCAAAATATGTACAACCGAACTTTGTTTCGAATCGTTTTTTATCAATGTTTTATCGTTGGTTACAGGGATAAATTAAGTAACTTTATGTATCCCACCTTGCATACTACCCACCTTAAACAGTGGTCTGTATCACTGTATCAGTATCACTGTATCAGCTCTTTATTAAATTTACGCTAATGTATTTATTAGGTGACGTTAAAAAAAATATATAACTAGTACCTAGTCAAAAGTCTCAGCGCAACGTAATATCTATAGTCATTAAATAATAAACATAAAATAAAAAGGTAAAACACATTTTCACGAATGAAGACAAATTTTTAAAATAATATTATGGAGTTAAAATGTAACATGAATACGTCATGCTTTACAAATTATGCTATTAATAATTTATAATTCACGTATGTACACTATTCACATTAGATGTCGAACGAACAGATTTTTAATAATTTCGTATAGATATCAAATATAGCAATATTACTAGGTATATATTTTGTATAATATGTTCGATGTGTATTATAATGAACCATTATTAATGGTTAATATACTCTCAGTTAATAATTGTATCAAATCTACTTGGGTGGTATTGAATATTATTTTTCAATAAAACAACTAAAAAATACCTACATGGAAGATAGAAATAAAAAAATTACTAGATTAAATTAAAATTATAAACATTATAACTTGTAACGTTTTAAAACACCGTTTAATTATTATAGGTATAGACAAATTATAGGTAACATGATACATCTGTGTAACTAAATTATAGTAGATTACGTGATGAATTAATTCATCTATATTACCTACCTATATACTATTATATTCGTATGATTTTTTGTTGAAAAAGATTTAAAGGAGATTAAAAAAAAATTTAGATTATTTTCTATTCCCACTCAGTGGCGTACGCAGGGGTGGGGTTCTAGGGTTTTAACCCCCCTTCTCAAAATGTCTTCATCTTGTCGAATTTTTCTTTTACGTTTTAACAATGAAAATATTTGTTATCAACTAATTTTAGTACAATTAAAAAAAAAAAGAATATACTTCGCACATGGGTGGGCTACTGTTGTAGGTGAAAAGTTGAGAAAGTGGTATAGAGGAGACATTGCTAACGAAAAAACGATTATAGCGTAGTTCGGTTAATAGTGATGCTTTAACTTTTATCAACAATGCGTATATCATATCATGGTAAAATAATTATGTATGAATTATATATTTTCTTTAATAATATTTGTTTAATATAGTACCTTTTTACCATTTTCAATGTTTTTCTCATTTACTGGGTAAACTCTTAGAGAAATTAAAATATTACCTCTCTGAAGTACCTCTCCAGTCAGATTTTCTTTCAAAAAAGGTGTTATCGTTGTAAATCGGAGCAAAATTGTTGGTAGAGGAGTTGATCATAGAAAAAAAAATTAAACCATTGTAAAACCAATATAGGTACATTCCTCTCTGCACTCACAGTGGCGTAATTGAGAATGTTTTAAAGAGAGGGGGGTGTATCAAAATAAATCTCCATGGCAATCTCATGAGAGATTAGTCCCACACAACCTCCCCTCCTTACCAACATTTAACAAGTCATCACCAGGGCTCGGAAGTTTTCTATTAAATACAACGTCACAGTGTTTTTAAAATCGCAACATCTTAATCACGTTCGAACGCGTAGTAAGTAAAGCTTAGTGTGAAATTTACCATTTATTTTGACATAAGCTATTAAGAATATTATTTACCTAGTATAATAGTAAAATAAGCATATTTTGGTACCTACCAATACAATTAAACATTTAAAATTTAAGATTCCGAACGTAGCGAGGGAGCTATTGATTTTACTAAGATGTTTATTTCTTTTTTTTTTCTATTTTCTTTGTTCTAGTCTGTGGACACGTTTTTTCCTAGTAAACTTGCTCCGATTTTTACGTGTAGCAAGTTTTCTGAAAGATCAAGTTGTCTAGATTGTACTTAAGATTTTTTGATTTTCGATACCAATTTTTTTTAAATAAAAGCACTTAAGTAGAAAAAAACGTAAGAAAACATACAATTTCAAGATTTCATTATTTATAAAAAAACACGGATAACGTTTTAAACCAGAAAAAATGATTTAATCGAAAAGTTACAAGATATCTTTTTTGGTGCTTTTTTGATTTACTTTCTTACGGTATAATCGCCAAAACTTTTAAGCTTTTAAGGAATTCTAATTTTTGGGAGTTTTGTTGCTGTGATTCGGTTATAAATATACGTATTTGAAACTTGGTAATAATACTTATATTGAACTTACCTGGACGTGGTAAAATTTCCAAAATCATTGGACAACTATTTTTTATTAAGCGTTTTGAAGTCAAATTTAAACGAAATTGCAAAAAACGGTACTTCATATTATGTAACACCGAACTTCACTCGGAATCGTCAAGCAATGGTTTATCGTTGCTTACAGATGTAAATAAAATAACCTTATGTATTCCACCTTTCCTACTTCTCATCTACAACAGTGGCCGCTTCCATCCCCAGTATCAGCTCTTTTTTAATAACATAATAGTTTTAAAAATTTGCATTTAAAATTCCAATTTGTTCAAAATATTAATTTACTATATAAATACGGCTCATGGGGGGATCTATCCCCCATGTCCTTCCATCCTCCCCGTAATTACGCCCCTGTGCACCCAGTATCTAAAACATCTGTGGTAACCATTGGCTAAGATAAGTATAGGTATGTATCACAGTTATCTAAATGTTTGGATAACCTTAGTATGTAAAAGATAGAAGAGAAAGTTAGGTATATGTTTAATATTTCTATTTTGTGAAATATATGCATTTATATAGGTATTTATTTATAGAGGAAAATATGCCTCTATGGAATATCGATATGTTACTTTTAAATATACTCTATTGAATTCTGGGATGATACGCGACAGCTGAGGATATGTTTATTGTAAGTGTAAATAAATATACATTTTTTGCTGTTAACTTTTAAAACTATGTATATTGTTTAATTATTTTATTATTTGTGTTTATGATACGTATTTTAATACCAAATATTTTATATAACTATCAAATTAAGTACAAGATTTTAAGAATTAAGACAAATATAAAAATAGGAATTTGGAATAATTATTTTGTTTTAATGTTGGTATTATTTACTAGTTCAGTTATATAATAGGTCTATGATAAATCTGTAGTAAAAACCCTAACCCAACTAAAATCCTAAGTACGCTACTGTTCCCACCTTACCGTTTTATACATTACATAGCTATTTAATATAAAATTATAACAAGTACAATAGTAACCTAACTATATATAATAATAATATACTGTAAACAGTGGCATAGCCAGAAAATTTTGTTAATAATTTCATGTTTTTTTAAATGCCATTAATTATCGCGAATATTTTTAATATTTAACTAAAATTCTAAAATAAAATTGTAGGTTTTAGCCAGACTTTAAGGTCATGGTTATTATTATTAAACATGTAAGCTATGTCTATCTATAAAAATAATTATTTAAGTGAATGTCTATTAATATATTTAATTATAATAGGTTTTTAAACTTAAATTTAGAATAATACGGAATAAAGGATATACAAATATAATGTATCGTTGGTAAACGGTATTTATATATAATAGAAACTTAATATAGGTACCTACATATTATATATTTTAAATCAAATCAGAACAATTTTTAACCTATATACTTGTATAGTTCGATAACAATAGAATATTGATCAGTTATAAGCACTTGGCGCCAGAAAAATGATCAGACGTCATAATATGAAAGGGATGCATAAGTGTGTAGGTTTATTGTCACGCGGTTGTTATAAGATTGGAAAGATTATTATTAAGATCTTATGAAGAAGTAGTTTGAAACCTATATAATGGTCTCCATAACAATGTGGCAAATACATATTAGGTAGGTATAACAAAAAACTAAAAAGTACGAGCTCTGGCGTTATACATAAAATTATAATTTATTACTATTATTGTTCTCAATATATATGTTTAAACGAATTTTTAATTTATGCAAATTGTTGAACAAATGAACATTTGCGTAAATATTGTTGATTTTAAATCATATTTAAACGTGTAAAATAATACAATTATTTTATAATATGTACCTAATATTTAACTAAAACAAATTAAATTGTCAGGTAATTGTCTTAAATATTATTTTTTTACTAGTGATGGAAACAATCGAGAGATATTACTGGAAATACCTACTCGTTTGTTAGATTTACTTGATTAATTTGGTTGTTTGAAAATTCTCGAGTGATTCTCTTGGTATCGAAATCGACAGATTTTGAGGGATAAATAAATCGGCGAGTGATTCTTACGAAATTAAATCAACTGATATCTTAATCTAAAACATTTGAAAATAATTGAATGAAAATTAGTAATTTTAGTTCTTATACACGTTATTATATTTCTTTTCTAAAATGTTTAATAAATAATAGTAATTAATTGAAGTAATTAATTAATTGAAGAGCTAATTATTAAGCCTCTAGCGAGTATTGAATAATGCGAGTTCTAAAGAGTATCGAGAAATTGAGTGTAATGGAACACCTCGTGAAATACTAAATTGACCGAGAGATTTTTTCGAGTGAATCTCTCGATTGTTCCCATCACTATTTTTACAAAGGATTAATTTGAACTATGATAGAAAACTTTAATATGTTTTTAGGTACTTATCTAAATAGGCTAAATGTCAAATTGCATTAGAAAGAATATTTAGCATTTAGATTATTTATTTAAATTATGCTAGATTTACAATTATATAAATTATGACCTTATTTATTACGACCCAAAATCATTAAAAATAACACTGAAAATAACAAAAACTAGTTTTCAAATAGGTATTATCTTTACTTGTCGTTGGGCTTGTATTTAAATATGTTGTTTTACTTCTCTAGGTCAACCTTATTTCATTGCACCTCTAATTTTGTTTGCTAATGATAAAATTACACACTACTTTTGTAATTGATTCTAACGAGTACTAATTTTTAGGATATAAGGTCATGCTTAAAAAAAGAAGGTACATTTATCTACTAATATTCTATATTCATAATTCCTACATAACATAGGTATGTATTGATCATTCAGCATCAGTGACGGATTTAGTTCTTTGCCTATATGGGGGGGAGTATTATTTAATAATTATATATTACCTATATATAATTAGGTAGAAAAAAAGTATTTACGCGTACAGTTAAACAAAATGTCTAAAAGACATGGTCTCTATGCCCTCCCCCCCTAAATGCCTCCTCTGTTCAGCATACAAATAACATGTTCCTATATGTTTATAGATAAACTGCAGTTCATAAACAAATGTTATACTAATGACTACCTACTCAAAATCGTACAAAATATTGTTTCACACATAATCTAAAATTACTATATGAATACACTATTTTTAATGGTCTGAAATAATTATACTTATTGTTATTAACACAATTAGTTCCATATAATTAATTGATTTGTTAGAGTTTATCAATTATCATAATTTTATTCTTCAAGATTGGAACTATAGTTCTGTAATCAGTAGCATAGCTGTAATGAAATTAAAAGGCAACTGTCTTAAGACAACAAAATTATAACTTATCATTTATTTGATATAATTTGTATCATTTGTAGCAGTATTCAACATATTTTAAACAGAAATTATTATCTATATACCTAATACACATTTTAAACATGAAGCATGTGATACCTCAGGGGGTATTATTTAGCCAACCCGGGGCCGCGGCGATGGCGGATTTACATTGGGGGGTCTAGAGATCTGGACAAAAAAGAGGCATCTACAAATAGATACCTTTTAAATACATATGATCTTTCAAGACCCTTCTCAGAAAATGTTGAAAATCCACTACTGGACCTCAGGTTTCTACTGGTGAAAAGCCCAGATTTGTGATTCCAGTAGGCATATGGTATTGTTTCTGTAGGGTATAAGAATAGGCTCACAGTACCTTTATTTATTATAAGTGGTGACAAATAACATTGCGTATGGTCGACAATGGTTTAAAATTCTGTCAAACAATATAAATAGTTCTAAACAAGACTTTTGGTGGATGGATAATCTGTTCTGGAATACATATCGGATATACGTGTGGGAACAAAAAATGAGAAGAAGTACCATTGTGCATACATTTTTCCGATGATGTAGCTTTTATAACAGAAAATCTGTTATAAGTTAACAGAAGAATATTTAAGGAAAGGGAATAAGGATAACTAGAAATGAAACAGAGTATGAATTTGGAGGAACAGAACAAGACGGCTAACAAAAATTAGCGGTTATAGGCGATGTTGAAACTTTTAAGTACTTAGAATCTTTTTATACAAAAGAACGGCGATTCTCACGAGGATGTGAACATAGTATTAGTAGTACGGTTAGATAAACTGAAAAGAAGCGAAACGACGGCTAGTAAAAAAAAAAAAAAACAGTATTTTAATTAAATGTAATTTATTATTACATTTTGGCTTAACCACAATCTTTATAAGAGCATTTAAGACGATGCACTGGGTCATGCTGTAAGAATTAAATATTATTGTGATTGTCCATTGGTATCTTATTATAGTTATGTTTAATAAATTATTTTCGTATTAATAATTAATATTTACAAATGAATAGTAATTGGTACGGTATATTATATACACAGTTTCAAAGTATAACATACACTTAATAAACATTTTTTTTTAAAAGTACCTACCTGTAATATGAAACTCAATTTTTTCAATCAGTATAGAGCCTACGGATGGCTCAATCCAGACCCGAGAGCCTGGCTACAGCAGGTATTATGCTTATTTATTACTGTTTCTATGTACCTATTTAATCATCAATGTCTAATCTTATTTTTTTTTAGAAAGTTCGGTACCTATACCTAAATGCTATAGTTTTGTTTTGAAATAATTAAGTACTTAAGCTTCTGAAAACAAAAGGAGAAACTCAGGTGTTACAGTCATGGATTGAGTATTATATTATGCGGAATGTGTACATACCTGTCAAAGAATAATCCAAATGCGCGGAGCACTATATACACGTTCGTCGGCGGGCGGCGTCGTTAGAGGTCGATGATAGATCACTTTTATTTATTGTTCAAGTACGAAAACGTTAAATATTATTCAATGGAAAATATTAAAATAATAGATACTGAATGTATCGTGACTGTCATTTGGAGACTCTGACTGCTTTTTTCATCGGCCGACGTTTTTCGATCGAAAAACGATTACTATTATAATGTATTGAACTATAGGTAAATCGCGTAGAGCAACCAATAATACAGTTACGACAAGACTCGAACCACAGTATAAACGTGGTAACTAACCTACATGGACTGCGGCATAGAGTTGAGCATAGTAACCAGTAAGTAAAAACCGCACCTGGGGCCTAACAGTATTCACTATTCACTGTTGGAATGGTGATGGCGGGCGGTTTATTTGGTTGGGCAACAGGTGCCGATGGTGGAAAATAGGTGGGGGAAACAGGTAAAAAGCAAATAAAGAATTTCGGTGAGGGAACGGCGCGTTTAACTCCAGAGTGCTGTTGATACACACGCTATACAGTACACATCCTGTATATAGGTATATTAGAAATGTACATAACACACATCTAGCGTATAGAGAAGGGAACTGGTTATATATTAATACTTACTACTCATATTTTATGGACGCGCAGTATTTTCACAATTATTGCTGGTAATTATTAAATAAAAAAATAATTATTTTTAATTCATGTTCTATAATGCAACAAATATTTATATTATATCGGAAAAAATATAAGTATATAATAATATTATTAAATAACATTTACCTACTATACATTTACAATTTCTTATAAATTGAGAATCACAATGGATTTTAATATAATTTTTTTGAAAATTATTATTGCATATTAGCGTTATGAATTATAATTTAAATATAGGTTGGTCTTATTTGCTAAACTGTTGAACTAAAGCTACACACGGATTATTTTGTACTACCAGTAGTTTTATTTGGAGTCACGAATTAAACCATAATAATATTTATTATATTATTTACCGCCAAAATAATATATTTTAAATATTGAAATTCACCCAACTATTAAAACCTTATATGTATTTATCATTAAATAAATTTTAATTTAAAATTATAAAAAAATTTAGGAAATTTAAATGTCTATAAATAGCTCAAAAATGGCTTAGCTGTTTTAAATATTTTACCACGGCTAGAAAAGCCAAATATTTATTTTTAACTGAATAACAACAAAAAAAACAAAATTTAAAATAACAAACGGCAATATTTTCATACATTTTCCTGATATTTCTAGATTTTTTTTTTTTTTGGTTTTTCATAATTACTATGAAAACTACTTTGAAAATCAAAAAATGAGTTACATGAACTATTCAAAATTCAACAAAAAAAGGTCTCTAGGCATTTTTTGATTAGAGCAATACTTCTAGTAAAAAACACAGTTCGTTAAAATTAAAAACAATGAAATTGTTAACCCTGCAACGCGCTGAAATATTTGCAGTTTTAGTTATAATTTTGTTCTTGATTTTTCCTAATTATTTTGAAAACCACTGGAAAATCAAAAAAAAAACCTTTATAATACTTCAATTAAATAAAAAATTGTTTAAAGTTGTTTACAAATAGAAAAACAGATCATAGTAAACCAATAGATCTTTCACTTTGCTCCAAATCTAAAGTTATTTCATGCATTAAATAATCCTGATATACTTTGTATACCTACTGTAGCAGCATTACTACCCTTACAAATTTATATGGACACACAACTAAGCTATAAGTGGTCTAATATATTGAATAGGCAGATAGGTACCTACGTTGAATATTTTAATAACTAAAACATTGAATTTTGCATTGAATGATTGAAAATGTTTCTTATAACATTTTTTATTATTTTAGTAATTTTATACCAGCACTATTAATATATTCAAACATGGTAATGAATGGAATTGTTTGCATTTATTTGGTATACATATATAATCATTGGTAAAACAGTATTCTTCATTTTCCTCAATAAATAAATTAAAATTTTAATATAGGTATGTATTTATTATTTATTACTAATTATATAAGATAAATTTGTAATTGTTTAACTCTTTGCAGCACAGGTCAAAACTAAATATTAACCCCTTAATTGTACAGGAGCTTTTTGAAAAAAAGTTTAGACTTTTTGCAAAATACTTATAATACTGTTTTAGTAAATGATTTTTGTGCCATAAATTTACTAAAATCTAAAATTGTATTTGCAAATAAAGTTATTTAAGTTTAAATGGTGGTTATCTACAGTAACCACCATGCACGAATCAACATATTCTTTTTTTAATAACTCGTACCTTTATTAGAGAAAAAAAAAAATTATTTATAATGTATTAATTATTTTATAATAATATTATAATGGTATCTTATATTGTCTTAGTACAGATCAATAATCAACTATTTAAAAATATAAATTTATATTTAAAATAAATTTAATAAAAAAAACTAATATTAAAATTTAAAAAAAAATACACATTCTACAGATAAACACACCAGTTTAGTAGCAAAACACAAAACAACATTATAAGGTAACATTGATCACATTAAATAATTACCATATAATGCATATATTTATATATTACACTTGTATAATATATAATAAACCATATCAGACTATAGGTTCTCAAACTATAGGTTGCGACTCACTGATGAGTTTCTAGTTAATTTTAAGTGGGCTGCGAAAATTGTTGAAAAATGTGAAAACACAATGAAATATGGGAAGGCTAGGTGCAATAAGTAAGTTGTGATTACACTAATGAATTAAAAATCACACAATTTTAATGAAAAAAAAATTGAAAATGTTTAATTCTCACTAAGAAATAAACGAAATGGAAAATTCAAACTTCATGAAGTTTTCCCTCATAATTTTCAAACGAAGTTCATCAAACTTTTTTTTTAGATTCTTAATATACAAGTAAAAACACACATTTTGAAAAATGAGCTTTGGTTGTAAATTAGATTTATACCAATATTTCTACATATAACAACTATGTAGTTCCAAAGGAATTTAATTTTTGATAATAGAAAACACTAAAATATAATAGTTAACATCTTAACTTGAAGATAATGTAAGTATGGTTATATAATTAGTAGAGCTTGCATTTAAAAGTGCTTAAAAACGTCAAAAAGCCTTGAAAAAAACACTTCAAGTAAATATTATTAAAACAAATGGTAGAAATGGGGTTTAAAAGTCCCCCGTTTAACAAAACTAAATTACTAAATATTTTTTTTTAACACAACACAAATGATTAACAAAAAATTATTTTGTTTAACGTATTATGAGAAATATAACTTTGGGTTAATAATTTGTATAACGTTAAAAAATTGTATTTGATTAATTAAAGCCATTAGAGGGAGAACATTTAAACCCTTCTACCATTGTTGCATTCTTTAGACATTTTTAAGGAATTTTTTTTTAGATTTTAAGTGCAATAAGTTTCGAGCCCTAATAAATAAATAAATAAATAAATAACTACTAGTATTGCATAAATAATTAACATTTCACATTTAAATTTGTCTTACAGTTGTATTAAAATAATTATGATAATATACAATATAAGTATGAAGGCACTTAATTTGAATAAATTGTCTCCTAAATTATTTTGGACTGGAACTGATACTATTGTTATAGCATAATAAATTAAATTTCATAAACACAACAGTTAATAATAATGTTTTGTATGTACCTATCAGTTTTTACTAATATTTGTTTTTATCTCAAGTAAAAACATTAAACACTTAAATTATAAACAATTTAATGAATTTTCAGTTTTCACATAAAATTACAAATTTGCATCATTAAACATAAATATTCAAACTTTACAAAATAATAAAATATGGAAGGTAAATAGTTATACTTATTTAAATTTAAATATTAATAATTTTTAACATTCTGAACTGTTTTTCTATAATATAGTACAAGATCTTAACAAATGGCATAAGAACAAAAAAATATTAACATATATTTATAAATTAGTTGTTTAATATTTGTATCATAGTGGGTAAGAAAATATATGAATTTGTTTCTTCAATTTTAATATTATTAAACCCATGTTTTAAAATGGATTGGCATTCAAATACTTCGTCATCAGTTAAAACTTTTGTAGTTTCTCCATGATTTAATATTATTTTTATATTGTCTTTACTAAAAAATTCACCTACATTTTTATATTTCGAAATTAAATTATTTAAAGTAACAAAACCTTTTAAACATATAACAGGAGTATTATTTCCAAGTTCTAAAAATATTAATAACCAAAAGTCAATAGCAAAATTACTTATAAATGAACTATTACTTAGCACTTGTAAACATTCAAAAATTAGAATTATTTCTTCATTAGATAATGTTTTAATGCAAATACTTAATGTCACCATTAAACTTGTAGCCCATTGGCCAGTACCTCCATTAGTTGCAGGTTCAATTGAAAATACTGATTTCATAATTTCTAATATTATTATCTATTATAAAAATAATATAATATATTATTATAGCTGATACTGATAGATAAAAATAATTTGAATATATATATATATATATATTTTAAAAATTACCCGATCCTTTAAAACGCCGCATCTGTAAACTATCATGAATAAATTTAATAAATCCATTTCCTTTAGAATTAGCCAATCACTTCTAGAATGTAAACCATCTCGAATTATTTCGAAAAACCAGTGCATTTGAAGTTGTTTTTCTTTAGGACATGTACTATGGAACACAAATTTTTTTTTATTGTTTATTTTATGGCTAGCTCCAAATAATTAAAAAAATTAGTATATAATATTACAATATAAAAAACTAACATTAATGATAAAAATGATTTTAATTCTGGAATATGCTGGAGTTGAGCTACTGGACGAGCCAAAAGTAGTTTACAACAAGTTGTATCAATGGGTTTTTCATGATTAGCTATAGCTAATACAACTCTACTTAAAAACAATGCTTGAATCATAGGTAACTGAGGCGGTTCTGATTTAGTATTCAAATGTTGTATACCACCCGAAACCCAGTTAAGAACATGATCCCAAAACAAGTTTTCAGCTCTTCTACTGCAAATAAATGTTAAATCATAGAAATAAAATTAAAACAAAATAGTATTTATTTATTATTTACCAAAATAAATGAGATCGTAATAATATTAAAATATGATATGCAGCTAATCGCATAGATACATCATTACTGCCTAAACAAGCAAATACCATTGATAAACATCCGCTTCTATTAAATTTTTCTATACTCAATGGTGCTTCTGTGGCCAATAAACTGCTTATCATTGGCAAAAAAAATGCAGGATCAAACATTTTACTAGGATTGAATGAGTTTTTTGTCTTGCTAGGTATGATAATTTTTTGTTTCTAAAAATAAAGTTACATAATATTTTGTTGTGTTGAGAAATTGAATGCTTACTTGTATATGTAAAATTCTATCAACAGGAAACTTTGATATAGTAGCTTTTATTCTTTTTAATGGTACATAAGAAAGCACTTCAGTTGTAGAAGGAAAACTATTTAATGTTTTTGATATTAAGTGATTTTTTACTTGATAGTGTGAAATAGCAAATGATCCCCATAAATAAGGTCTATAATTAGACACAGGTACTGAACTTTCTTCATAATGAAACAGAATCTAAAATAAAAATATTAAAACCATTATCATTGGTAATCTTGAATTATAAAATAAAAACATACCCTTAATAATATTTGATCAGTAGTTGATAATGATGCATTGTATGAACATAAGTAGAGTGGAACATGACTCAAAACCATCACAGATGGTTCTTTCTTAACTAATGTTTCAATTAGTTTTAATACTTCTTCTATATATTATAAAATTTGAATATTTAAAACTAAAAACGTATATGATTAATACATAATAAAACTTAATTACCTTTTTGAACTTGATTAGAGTCACGATTTAACATTATATTACTGAACTGTGAATAACCAGCAAGTAGTTCAAATGATTTTTTTACAATACATACATCCACATTAGCTTTTTTAATCAATGATTTAAAAACTCTAATAAAACTATAATCAGGATTTTCTTCTTTCAAACCGTACTTGACAGCTTTCATAGCCAAAGTATCCCAATCACTTATTTGTATTGGACAGTTAGTGCCTTCTAACAATTTCAAATTACTGATAATTTGATTAGACAACCAAGTAATATTGTCACTAAAATAAAAAATAATTTTATTAAAATATTAAACAGATAATAATTAAATTTATAAATAAAAAACTCTCACGTTTTACATTTTGACTATGATATACCTAATAATGAATTTTTAATTCAAAACCGGTCATATAATATACTTATAATACTCCAGGTGACACATTCATTAGTTCATTATTTGTATTTATATATTTATTTACGAGTATTAACTATTGTAATAATTATGTTTTTACTTTATTATTTTAATAATAATTAAGGTAGGATTTTCATAAAAATAACTGATATTTATAAACAACTAAACTACAATATATTAGTTGGGCTTCATTTTAGTTATTTAATCAACACTTAAAAATAATTTTATTTATATTCTGACAAAATTTCCACTCTTATCTATTCAAGTCAAACATCCAATAATAATAATATTAAAGTATAACTGATCACAATTAAGTTTCATGTAGTTTTATTACTTTTTAGCTAGTGAGAACAATTACAATACAATTGTGTGTTGATTTGATGAGAACCTCTTCATTGGTATGTATTGACAGTTAATACAGTACACCATAATTAATATAAGTCTTAAAAAATCGTATGATTAGGTTTTTTTTAAAGCCAATTGAGCCAAGTGAAATAATTAATTTTATTAATAGGTATATAGAACATTCATTGTTCTTTGAAAGATTTGTATCCAACATATATCACTACTGCTATTAATTATAAATAACAAATGTTTGACAGTAGGGGGATTTCAATTGAGTTTTAACTCTTCCAAAAAAATTTTAATAATAAAAATTGTTTAACTATAGATCAATAACTTTAATGTTAACATTATCTAAAATTGTTTAAAAATATGTCAAATTACAATCAACAAAGTTTTTAACTGAAAATATATTTTTTGATGAAAATCAATTTGAGTTTAGGAATAATGTATTAATCTACAAAAATAGTTAGGAAATTGATATACATTAAGTTATTTAACTTATACTTGTAACCAACGATAAACCATTGCTAAAAAAAAAAGAATTTGGAATGAAGTTTAGTTATACATGTTTCGATAGGCTGTAATAATTTACGATTTTCTTCATAATTTGATTATAACTCTTTTAAAAAAAATGTATACTACATAACACCTAAATATATATTTTGACTACTAAATACAACTAATAATGTACTTCTTGTCAAATTTTCAAGTATGTCTCTTTAATCTAATAATTTTATACACAGAGAAACTACCAAATAAAAACTGTGTAAAAAACTAGCAATATTAAAATATCTATAATTAACTCAAAAGTTTTGAATATTTTACTTTGTCTAGAAAAAGCAAATATATCAAAATGTTATTTCCACGAATATTTTTAACTGAAATACATTAGAAAAAACAAAATTTAAAATAAAAGAATTGCTCAATTATTAAAGTAGACCATTCATATTGATAAATTAATAGCTAAGTTAAAAAAAAGGTCTTTTATATTTTTAAAACACTTAAAAATATTCTATGCTGAAACAAATGGTATATGAAGCTCTAATACTAGCAAAATGATTATGATTAAATTAAAGACCACACAATAAGTAAAATTAACGGTAAGAAGTGGTATCAACCTATTCCTACTTAATAAGATTACACACATATATACTAAACATATTTTTAATCTTAAAAATAATACTTATGAAATAGTTTCAATAAAATATAATTTTTACTTTTCAGGAACTAAAGAAAAAAGAACTTCAACTAAAAATTGAACAAATTCTAGTTCTTTATTACACTTTGAAGCTACTAAATCCACAAAAGATACAGCCGCCTTAGTAATTTTTAATATTGACCAATTGGTTTTTAGTTTTGTAAACAATTCATTGCATTCATTCTCATCTAAAAAAAAAACAACATATAATAATAATTCAAATATGCAAACATTAAAATACTAAGTGTTCATTAAGTTAACTATGCATTTTCAATATTATTTAAATATAATTTATGTATCTAGTATATTATTAACTGAATTAAAAAAGCATAGCCAGTAATTTCCACAAAGTAGATTGTTAGGAAATATTTAGACTGACGGTTTTGTGCACTAAACTTACTTTTAAGTAAGTTAGGGTATAATATAAATGACAGAAAAAAAAAACTGTTGAAATACTAGTCTCACAAAAATGGTTACCTATTCAAAACAATTTTATTTTGTAATTTGAATTCTGAACGAATATTTGATAGATTGTAGTGGAAATTTATTTTTTGTTTTCAAATAATTTAAATATAATTAAAACAGAAATATCAAAATCAACCTTTCCTAATAATCAAGGAAAAAGGCAAATCAGCTCAAATCTTCAACAAAATTAGAATTAAATTAACATAAATAGGCCTTAATTTGTAAGGATTTTCAGTGATAATGATTAAATAATTGTTATTCTTCTATTAATATAAGATATGATTGGAAGGGTAATAAATTCCATATCCTTCTTTTGGATGACAACATTTTTTCTACTTTTCAGGTCTAAAAATAAATAAATAATAAATTAATCGAAATTGAATGATGAATATTCTAGTTTATGTAATCATTGTCTTGATTAATCACCAGGTCATAGACAACATTTAAACAATAGAAAGGGAAAATTTTAAGAAAATAAATATTTAATCTTTAATAAGGAAGTAATAATAAAAGGTAAATTGTTATTAAACTTCTTAGTTTTAAATTAACAAGCAGTTAACAATATATTATTATTTTATATTCTAATTGAAGATCAAAGTATAAGAGATAATAATATTAATTACAATAAAAATATAGAATACAAATTAGTTTTATAGATACAAATCAAGCAACAAATTTATCATGGTCAAAATATAATGTTTTTATTTATTTATTAAAACTTGTTTAAATAATAATAATAATTTCTAGATAAGCTGAGCATAATAATTTATATTCGAGATACTTTGACCGACTCTAAATTGGTTTCAATGAAAACACAAAAGGCTTAAATAGAATTCATCATACTAGTCTATTGTTGATGGTGTGAGTTTTTAGCTTGTTCTAATATACTATTTGCTGTTATTACTTAGTTTTATATTATTTAAAATTTATTACTATTACTATTTTTGATAGAAAATGGACCCTTTTCGAAGGTCAAGTGTTATTCCAAATAAAGTATGTTATTTATTTATTTTTATTTGTTAAAAAAAAAAATCAAATTTAAATACTTTTTAAGGATGAAAATCTAGACAACGCCCAGACATTCAATCGAACCTCAAAAATATTTGAGGAATTTTTACACAGTTTTGAACAATATGATAAGGAAGAACAACATAAAAGACAAAACTCGTCATCTTTCAGTGATTGTGTTAAGGTACCTAGGAGGAGAGTATATGTCAAACAAAGTTATTTTCCAGTTGATGCAACATATGTGAAGGCTAATCCAAATCATATTTACATAACCGACGTTAATGGACATTTGTATATAGTGAAGTATAAAGCAGTTAGATGGTGAAATTATGTTTAAATACTTTTTAATGTTTTAAATTTTATTATATGTAAATAAAACATAATATAACTTTAAATATTTATATTACTAACTATTTAATACCTATTTAAACTTACCAAACTCAATAGCATGCAGACCCAAAAATAAATCTTCATTTTCATTAAACCATTGTGGGCTGTCCACCAACATTTTATATGCATCTATTTTATTCTTTATAATTATAACTAATGTAGGATCACATATCATTAGTGGAATTCTTTGATAAAAAGCTGACATAAGGTATGCAAATTTTTCTATAGGTAAATGGCCTAAATTTAAATTGTAACCAATATCATGATGCCGTGATACCAAAAACAAAATCAAAGGATGTAATTTTTCTTCTGTGTTTGAGACAAGATGAATAAACAATCCTTTAAACAATGTATACACAAATAGATCAAAATTGTAATAATGTAGGAAGATGATAAATACTAATATTGTAAATTACTTTCTGGAATACATGATATTTGCTGAGGGTAGATCTCAAAATATTTTAAAACAAGATCCAATAGCTTAGTGGAGATAATATTTTCACAAATATACTCAACCAACTCTTCAAATGTTTGACTATCCATAAACTTTTTTTCTGTAATTAATTTGTTCAATTTCACATAATATTCATTCATGGTAACAATATACAATCTATAAACAAGCAAATAAAATAAAATAAAATAAAACATTATTCATGTTAACAATGTTAATTAGTTTAATAATATTTACTTGGTGTAAATTTAAAATTTATTAGAACTAAAATAAATGCACACAAAAATTGGTTGATTTTATCTTTACCAAGTAAAAAGAAAAAGGTATCTATAATAATCTATTATAATATTGAGCTTTCTTCACAATGAGTCTATTGGTTCAATATTAAGTTACATTAGCTATTTGTTTCATACTATGTATGAATAGTGTGTAATTAGTACATAACATTTTATTGATTTTTAATGCTTTTGATTGTTTTAATTAATAATGTTAATATGTATGTCCCCCTGATACAAAATTTGATTGGAAAAATTCAATGTTAAAAAAATGTGTTGAACACAGTGGGACAATATTTTTAAAAATAAGTTTTCTTTAATTTGTTAAAATCTTTACATTATTTATGACATATTTGAATTGTGTACTTTTTTGTATGGCTATATATTTAATACAGAAAAATTAATTTTATTTTCAACCAAATTTGTAAGAATTTTATAGGTTCATAAACAAAGCCTGTGGGGTTTTCAGATTTCTATAAAATAGTCATCTTCAAATTTTTTTTCGGCCTCACAAACCATTGATGTTCTATACCGCCAAAACTATCAACTCTCATTTCACTCTGTCATATGCTATTCACTAATCTATCCTATATTTTCGGGACAATATATTCTAATTCTATATTTCATTAACACTGTATCTATTTGCTTCGTGGTCTTCATTCTAAACAGTCTCCAGACTCTTTCCCTCCGAAGTCCAAGTTATTATTTCTTTTATAGACAACCATCTACTTGCCAAACATACCTAACCAATCACCATTGTATTCTTAATTTATTTTACAATATTTTCTTTTTTGTATAGGTTAGACAACTACGCATTCGTTCTTAGTTCACATTATTATGTTTTGGTACTAAACACTAGACAGTATATTTTTTTTTCAAATTTTTGCAGGTTTTCTTTATGACCTTTAGTTCTGCATATGATACATGCATAAGTTAGTACTGGTCTAATATAGCTTACATACAATTTTTCTTTGATGTGTTTTGATATTTTTTTGATTTAAAGAGGTTTTCTATTGCAACATAGCATCGATAGCCTCACTTTTATTTTGTTATACTTATAATTTTTGTTACCTATTTAATTTCAAGATACTTAAATTAATTATTTTTTAATTTAAGGCTGGACCTATTCTCAGATTTTCTTGTTACTACCGTGTATTTTGTTTTCTCTATATTTACAATTAGACCCATATTCTTTCCAACACCTACTCATTTCTACATATTCTCTTGAACTTCTGATTGGTATATCCATTGATTATGATGTAATCGGTGTATATCAGCAGTTCTCCTTTTTCCAGTTCCCATGTTTACTCGTTTGATATTTTTTGAATCACATCTTATAACGTTAAATAATATGAGTGATATGGCATCACCCTGTCATAGTCCAATTTTGTTTTTAAAAGTCATAGATATTTCATTTTCGAGTTTCACTCTATTATATGATTTGCTGTTGTATAGCTATATCATTTTGATAATTTTCATTAGGACACCAAATGTTCTGATCATCTCTGTGTTCACACTATCGCACGCTTTTTTATAACCAATAAAATACCTCAATTAAAATACCTTGTTAATGATAAAACCTTGTATCCTGTATTCAATAGTGTTATCCCTTTATAGTTTTTTTACTTTTTCGGGCACCCTTTTTTGAATATTAGGCGTATAAGTGTTTTTACTTCCTGGGAGCTGTTATTCTTCCCATAATTATAGAATCAATGAATACAGCTGCCTTCCCATAACTTCGCCTACCAACTTCCACTTTGTTTACATTTTACTTTTGAAGTTAACAAGCGTCAAGCACTAGATAATGATCAAAATCTACTTCTGCTCCTCTATAACTTTTAACATTCTTGATGGTTTGTGTATTATTTTATTAATAGATGGTTTATTTTACCGTTGTATTAACTTTCATGTGATATCCATGTATGTTTTACATATTCTACCTAAGAAGCCGCGTGCTTCATTCCTCTGCTTATGGAAAAATGTATTAGTTTTTTTCTATTATTGTTACTCTTTTCATGTAGGCTATAATGTCTTACTACAGGTTAATAAATTTCCTCTAAATATATTTGGTTATAGTTATTTTTTTTATTTAATTTTTATTAAAACATAAAAATGAATTCAAATATAAACATTTGTCGATCTTATCCCTGTGAGTAATAAAAAAAAAAAAAACAAAATTTGACTATATTTATTATTTCATTACTATGGGTAAATCTTAACAGGGCACCCTAGAACTCTACCAGATATATTTTTAAAACTGAACTGATATACATTATTGTACAATCATTAATTTTATTATAATAAAATATTTCTTACTATACCTATATATTATAATATAAATATATATATGTAACTTAATAATGTGTCTATAAATGCAATTTAGTCAATAATTTAGTACCTACCTACAAATGCGGATTAGTAAAATTAGTTTGTACAAGCTCATAGTGGTTCAATAGTATTTATTTAAGCCATACAAAATAATAAAAACAGTTTGATTCATATTTCCCAGGCAGAAAAAAATTAAACTATGTACAGAAATACAATTTTTTGGGTTGAAAATAAAATGTTTTTTTTCTTTGGTCATTTTCTGTGTTTTTTTTTTCCTAAACTTATTTTAAATAATTATTATTAAGCCATTATTTAGGTTTTAATGATAAATATTTTATTATATACCCATCTGTAATAATACATTTATTTACGATAGAATTGCGGTTTTTTATTTTAATTGTTAGTTTGTAACTTCAGTACATGTAATAGAATTAATTGTATAACAAAAGATTTATTAGATATACTAGTAATACATAATGTACACAGGCAAAGCCGTATGGTACGGCTAGTTTAAAACAAAAATAAAATAATTTCTCAATTATATTACATTTGTAACATTAGTAAAAGAAATGTAATAGTAATAATAGTGTAATTAAAATAAAATTTTGACATACCTTATAATCAGATTTAAAAAAAAAATTTTTTTTTTATTGTGTGAAATATTAAACAAAAATTGAATAAAAATATTAATTATATTAAATACTTTAAATCTGTTTTTAAATATTTAAGAACTTTGATCATTTGTCACACCGAACTAACTAAATTGGTAAAATAAGAACGAATTTAAAATAACATTAATAACAATAATCGGGATCAAAAAGTATACAATTTTGAATTTTGAAGTGTATCAAACTACAAAACCAAATTTATGTTTAAACATGATAAATGTAGGTTAAACCATATTAGACCACGGTCAAAGCAATTTATATTCGGCAGCAGCTGCCGGTGATTTTGATAAGACTTTGATAAGATATCGATTTTAATTTTTTTTTTTCGATATCGTTCGACGCCCAACGACCCAAGGTGTTAAGTTAACTGTACTGTTTAGCTGTTAATTCTTTTAGTAATTTCTGATCAGTATTCTTCTATATTATAATTTAAATTGATTAACCATTTAATAATTAGTACTATTATTGCTATTTCGTAGACAATTGTTTAGTCTACTTGTGTTGTGTTTTTTTCCAATGAAAACATTTTGAAAGTAAAACGTAAAACAAATTAAAATGAACTTTCTACCAAAAACAATTAGGTAAGGTAACTTTTTTCATCTTAAATTCATTTAAGTCATATTTCAATACTAATTTTAGCTGTAGTACAACATTGGCTTCAAGGAATTTAGCATTGTATTGTGCCAGTTCATCTTGTATTGATCGAACTAAATGCCGCAAATTCCATTTTTCATCACCTTCTCGTACACCTGGAGATATAATATGCCCTTCATTGGTTCAAGGAATTGATTATATACGTGATCCTCGATTAAACAAAGGTCTTGCTTTCACCCTGGAAGAACGACAAGCACTAGGTATTCATGGCTTGATGCCACCCAAATTTAAAACTCAAGAAGAACAAATTGAAGTTTGTCGATTCAGTGTCATGAAATATCAAGAAGATTTAAATAAGTTTTTATACTTGACTGAATTACAAGTAAGCACAAACCATTGAATTGACAACATGTTATTTTTATGCAAACATAAATTACAGGATCGAAATGAAAGACTATATTTTAGACTTTTATCTGAAAATATTCATATGTTATTACCAATTGTTTATACACCAACTGTTGGATTGGCATGCCAAAAATTTGGATTGATTTTCCGCCGCCCCAGAGGATTGTTTATTACCATAAATGACAAAGGACATATATATGACCTACTAAAAAATTGGTAATTGCAGTTTTTTTTTAATTTTATAAACCATAAATACCCTATTTTATTACTAAACATATTTATTCGTTTTGCACTTGCATAATTTATAGTTAGGTACTTTAAAACTGTCATAGATATATTTACCTAACTCCCATAAATTACTTTTTTTTAACAGTAGCCCACTAACAATATTATCGTTTTTTACTTCTGTTTGTTTTTAATTCTGTGAAATGGGTCAATAGAAGAAAGCTATTAAATAACTCATGCTATTGTGGTACATATATTGGCTGTTATCCAAGTTTTTTTCATGTAATATGGCAAAAAGATTATATTATTTTTAGTAAAAATGGTGTATGATTTTTATTAAGGCTTTATTAAAATAGACAAAATGCAATTATAATTATAATCTTCTATTGATTCAAAGGTTGAAATATCAACTATAATTTTTATGAAAGAAAAAAATATACAATATATATTTTAATGTTTTCAAGAATTATAGATTCTTGAAGGTTCAATATATATTAGCTTCATCGCGCTTCTTTGATTCAAAAACCATACCAACGATTTTTATATCATTTGTAAAAATTTTTAATTACTACATTTTCTTCTGTACAACCACCCAAACCCTACAAAATTAATTTTCTAACTGCAGATCCTGGCGTGCATTACGTAGGCACCCATAATTTTCAAATGTTTTTTTTGTTTTATGTATTTACTGGGTGTACAAATGAAAATCTTATGATTATAAACCTGGAATGATATAACAATCTTTGGTATAGCATTATGATCTATAAGTGTAATATTCAAAAATGTGGATGGTGACATTATTTTATATAGGCACCTGCAGTTAAAAAATTAATTTTATTGTTTAGGAGAGTGTAGAAATGAAAATGTTGTGATTACAATCTGTACTAAGGATATAAAAATTGTTGGTATAGTTTTAAAGTCATAATTCCAATATGCGGGTGCCAACGTGATGTAACTACACTTTTTTTTTATTTTTTAAATTCAAATTTAGGTATTAAAATACCTATTTTTACTGGCTTATATCTTAAATACTTATTATTTATGTTCTAACCTCTATAATTACAATATAAATAAATATATAAAAAAAAAAAAAAAAATAATAATAATAAATTTCTATGCATTTTTTTCAAAAGTTTTGCTCCCTTTTATGCAAGGTTTTACTTTGTTTATGAAATTTTAAATAATTATTTTGAACAAAACTAAATGAAAATATCTTATGTTACAACTTTACAAATATCAATAATACATTTTGTTTCCCAAGATATATTCATTGATAGTATTCATAATATAGAATTTCTCTGCTATTATTAAAATTTATTTGAGTTAATTATATTAACATTTTATGGAACTATAGTCTTATAAAATTAATGATAATAAAGTAATTATAATTTCTGTATTATTTCTAATGATGACACTATTTTGTTTTAAGAAACAATGGTAGGTATTTAAATATGATTAATAGTCAATAGTTATACGCAAATTGTTTTGTTAAAGATACGTTAAACATTGCCCCATGGCCTTCAATATTAATTCAACATTAGTCATTTTCACTAGTGTATTGTATCATTCTGTATAATTTAATTATTTTGGATGATATCATACTACAATTTTGTACTTGTTAATTATAGTGATATAATATCAATACAAAATTCTAATATACAAATGTATTTAATCAAATATTTATGTTCTTTAAAAGTTTTCTATTTTATGTTTAACTACATTATATTTATTCTCAATTTAATTTAGTTATTTTTAGTAAAATTTAAACACTTGTAGACTTTACTTAAATTAATGTTTATTGATACTGATTAACCTAAAATCGTCTTTATGCTTAACCATTGCATTTTAAGTTTTATATAACATGTGAATGTAGCTATATTGTTTCAAATTAAATAAGATATTTGTACTCATACATTATTACTAGAATTCAGTGTAGATAGTAAAACTTAAGCTCAAAGATATTAAATACTTTAAATTAATATATGAAAATGAATTAAAGTAGTTATCTATGTTTTTTTACTAAGATAAGATATAAATTAGAATTAATTAAATCCAATATAAGATAATATAAGTAGGTATTGTAATAGATTTATTTGTTTATAGGATTAAAAATAACTGTTAATAACATATTAGTATCTTACTTTTATTAATTTATTTTTATTTTTTTATTGGTAATATGCCTATTATAGGATCACTGTTAAGTATAGACCTATAATAGATTGCCATTGTATATTTCATTGTTTATTTTCTCCTTAACATTAAAATTGACATTAACTAATAAATAAATAGTTAAAATAATTGATCTATAACCCTTAATTAATTTATACCTAATATCAATAGTACAGATATTTTAACAATCAAATAGTATATAAGTATGCTCAATTGTTTTCAAAAGTGGCTGCTTCTGAATTTTATTGAGTAGGTGGGTGATTTTTGTGAAACTTGAATGATTAGGAAGAACAAATTGCTAAACATTTATGTATCTATTATAACGGCTATAAGTATTGTATAAATTGCTGGCTTAGGACGGGCAGTGGTTGTAAACAAATAATTTGCTTCTAGTATTATATATAATTAAAATTTAATCACATTTTATTTTATTATGTTATTTATACCAACTTATTGAAAATAAATTACATATTTTTGAAGTATTTATTAGATTTTTATTTTGCTGGTATTAATTGTAAATAGATATTCCTAAAATCCTTTTTTAATGTAAAACATAGAAATATTTAATTTTTTATAATTATAAATAATTTAATAGTTATGTACATAATTGTAATAATGTTATAGAAATGAAAAAAAAACATATAATACATTTTGTTCACCTAAAAAAAAAAATTCTTAAAATGTTAATTTGAGTTAACAGGATTGACTTTAGTAGTGTTTTTAAATTACCATTTATCCATTTAACATCTATTTATTTTTTTAAAATAAATAATTAATTTTAGTAGCCCTAAACAAAAATTAGTATGTAATATAGTTCAAACTGTATGATAGAAAGCAATTAAATACAATTTTTTATTAATATTAGTTGTATTTAGAATTCAATTTGAAAATTAACATTTGCACGGACATTTTTTTGGGTTAGGCCAGAGCCAAATGTTCGTGCAATAGTAGTAACTGATGGCGAGCGTATCCTTGGTCTAGGGGATCTTGGAGCATGTGGTATGGGCATTCCAGTTGGTAAATTATCATTGTATACTGCTTTAGCAGGCATCAAACCTCATCAATGTTTACCTATAACACTGGACGTGGGAACAAATAATGAAGTTAGCACTATATTAATATTTGTGTGTGGTATACTGATTATTTATCACCTACTTGTTTGTTTTATTTATTTCCAGCAACTTTTGGAAGATCCTTTGTATATTGGTCTAAGACAAAAGCGTATTTTAGGACCTTTGTATGATGAATTTATAAATGAATTTATGGAAGCTTTGGTTAAACGATATGGACAAAATGTGTTAATACAATTTGAAGATTTTGGAAACCATAATGCTTTTAGATTCTTGGATATGTTCCGTAACAAGTACTGTACATTTAATGATGATATTCAAGGTACAGCATCTGTAGCCGTCGGAGGTCTTCTTACTGCACGTCGCTTGACTAAAAAACGTATTAGGGATTCAACATTCCTATTTTTGGGAGCTGGAGAAGTAATTATGAATTTTGAAATGGTTTAAATTAATTTTAATAATTTGTATTAAATGATTTATACAATATTTAGGCAGCCATTGGTATTGCAAATTTGACAGTTCGAGCTATGCTGACTGAGGGCTGTTCATTAGAAGAAGCTCGTAGTAAAATATGGATGATGGATATTGACGGTCTTTTAGTAAAAAATCGACCTGAAGGAAACTTACAAGGTGATAAAGCATTTTATGCAAAAGATCACAAAGTTATGAAAAATCTTCTTGAGGTGGTAAAAGAAATAAAACCAACAACTCTAATTGGAGCTGCAGCAGCAGCAGGTGCTTTCAATAAAGATGTACTAGAACATGTTGCTTCTTATTGCGAAAAACCTATTATTTTTGCTCTTAGCAATCCAACAGCCAAAGCTGAGTGCACTGCTGATCAAGCATATACTTATACTCAAGTAAACTACAAAATATAATAATAATGCATAGAAATTAATCCAAAGTTATTAAATTTTAGGGTCGTTGTATTTTTGCAAGTGGTTCACCATTCCCACCAGTTACTATAAATGGACGTACTATTACTCCTGGTCAAGGAAATAATGCTTATATATTCCCTGGAGTAGCCCTTGGAGTTATTAGTACTGGAATACATCACATTATTGAAGATTTGTTTTTAATTGCTTCACAAGTATACAAACTAACTAATTAATTAAATTAAGTTCAAATTAGATGAAATGTATAAAATTTGTAGGAGTTGGCTAATTTTGTTACTGAAGAGGACCTGGAAAAGGGCAGCATTTATCCACCATTGAATTTGATTAAAGATTGTTCTTTGGAAATTGCAATAAAAATAGCCGAGTATGCTTATGAAACAGGTAAAAATAATGTTTTTATTTTGATTATTACAATTACTAATATTTAATTTTTGTACTGATTTCATTTACTAGGAATTGCATCTCATTATCCTGAACCAAAGGATAAAAAGAAATTTATTCAATCACAGATGTATGATTATAACTATGATAATCCACTTCCACCAAAATACACTTGGCCAGAAGAAACGGAACCCATTAAATCCAAATCGATTCATGATCTTACAGGAGATCATTTAAAAAAACATTAAGGTTATGTTTCAAGTTTAACAAAATAGTTTATATGAATAATAATTTAAATTCAGTATTTCTATTTATAGATTTTAACAGTATTTATGACATCTAGTCTTCAGTATTATTTAAACTACTATCTTTAAAGCTTTTATCCTCAAAATAAATATTTGGACATGTATACTAAAATATGTTACCACTTCTTTTGCAATCATTTTGTTCAAAATATAAAAAGTTTATTCACTTTAAAAAATTTTTAAACTATTTTAGATAATTTAAAATTTTACTAACTGTGAGTAATTATAGATACTTTAAGATGTTTTTAGTGGTAATTATTTAATGTAACTTAATCATTAGTTTTGAAGTGTCAAATATTATTATGTACACAACTCAATATTACTACCTACACATCAATAATAAAAACTATAATCATTTAAGAATAATTTATTTAAAAAATTACATATTTAATAATATTTAAGCGCAATAATAGAACTCTGGTATTATTTGAATGTATTAATATAGTAGAACATCTACATAGTATTTAACAAATCTTAATAGTTAATATTTAATATTTAGAATTAAGCAGAACAATTATATTCTGCATTTTATATTCATAATAATCCTACTCTTAGTTTTAAACTATTTTTGTCAAAATAAATAATCATGTTTATTCACATTACAAAAAAGTTTAGTTGTGAAAATATTGCATCATACATTTAGTTTATTTAAGAAAAAACCTAAGGACATCTTATTTGCCCAAGTTACCATTATGTATTAGTATACTTTTTAATTTCAATTTATAGGCATTGAATAAAAATATTGAGAGAAAATCTTGGTTACACACTGTTTTGGATACACAATTATTATGATTTAACTAATAAATCTTAATGTTTGCTTAGATACTTAAAGATGACACTTCTGTAACCTGTATAATTTATGTTATTTAACGCTCATGCTGATTTTATAATAACTTTGTAATGTACAAATTTATTTTTATTTGTTCCATAATATAGAAATGTATAGAAAACATTGGCAATTATATTTATCTATACTCTGATTTGCCAAATAGTGAAATTAAAAACTTTACCTACCCAGTTATTTAAAAATCTAAAGCATTTAATATTTAATGAAGCATATTCATACTTAATGCAACTTGAATTTTTATATTATATTTTTGATTACACTGTTTTTATTTTAAATGTAGATTGACCTATAAATTAATAATATACTGATAATTTATAATCAGATAGTTACATAGTAAATATCCGTGGTTCTACTTTTTTAATAACAGTACACATATTATGTACACCAAAATAAATATAACAAATTCTATTAAACAGCTAACAGGAGTATTATAAAATATAAATTTATGTACATAAATATAACCAAAGCTGAACATTAATGAGTTCATAAATTAAATTAATTTAACTTTTTAACTTAATACATTTTGTTTTATGAATTATTAACTTAAGGAGTAGAAAATAATTAATTTTTAATTAAATAGAGTTAATTTTACATTTAAACAAGTTAAGTTGGTTTTAATTTAATTTAATATTTTTATTTTCATAGGTATATTATAAAAATTTTAAATCATGAATATTATCAATGTCATTTATTTTCCACAGTTATAGGTTTTAGGTAGAGAGTATTATTATTATTGTAATTAAAAAATAAGTACAGGATACTGCATACTGCCTTATTATGAATAACAGTACAGTAGAAACCCTCTCATCCACCACTCCAGTTGATTCGACCATACTATTATAAATATGAATACTTTAAAAATATATTTTGATTTTCCAATTTATGGTAGATACATAAAATTAATTACCAATTTACTATGTCTCTTATCGCTTGTCCATATTAGCACTTGTATCTAATCTATAACCGACTTATTTTTCAATATGATTATATACAGTGTATCCCTGTATCCCACCATGTTAAATGGATTTTTCTAGAGCTGTTAATAATAAATATTTAATTACTAAATAGTAATTATTTCTAATTTCTGAACACTCTATGTCATTGAAATTTTGTCTACTATTTAGAGGGAGAAAGTGTCCGTTACTTATTATCCTGTATTTAGAGGCTTTCTTATAGATAAAGATCGGATTTAATTGATATTGCAACTTTTTTTGCAATAAAGATAAATCAGATCTGATTAAATATATAGCTGATATATACTAAAAATATTTTGCCTTTTTAATTTTATAATGCAATTTTTTTCAATTTTCCCACATGTTTAAATCATAGGCATTTATTGTTCGTCTGGAATTTTCTAGAAGCTTAGAGAGCTCAGCGAGCGATAAGCATTTATATATATATATATGGTGGTAATTAAATTTAACATAGTAGTACAGCGATTCGTGTATGTTTACCTGTTGGTACCTTAGTACCTATTTATTTGATCAGTTTAACCGCACAGTGAATGTATTTGACGTAATGTTTAAAATAAAATTAACTTTAAAAAGTAAAATTTCGTATTGGATTGCTCCTTACAATGGAAAAAAGTATTTTCATCAGATGGAAAGGTTATATATTGTCTTGAATGTAACAAACCTGGATCTACTGAAAAAAATATCAATTAGATCATCATTCCAAAACAAGTAAATTTTGTATTTTATGCTCATTCTACACGTATACTATATATTATTTCAATAAATGGATATTTTTTTTAGTTTAACACATAAATGCATTACAAAGGAATACATAAAAGAAACAGTTTTTGATTACTTCTCAAAATTTGAATAGTAAAAATGTATTTTTGAAGATTTACGTAGTGCATTTTATTGTTGAAAATATTCCTTTGCATAAGCTGAGCAATCATGTGTTAAAATCATTTTTGGAAAAACATACTAGGAAATTAATTCTGGACGATAACACTAAGAAAAAATTATTTATAAAAATATTTATAAAAGCGTTATGGACCAAATAATTAGTGATATTGGAAATAATTATACTTACATAATTACTGATGAAACAATCGATCCAAGAGGTTTGTATAAATAATTTTTTTAATTTCTCATATAGTAAAATATACTATTTTCATTTAGGTTTGGCTATTGCAAATTTATTAATTGGTAAATTAGATGGGACACCTATTAAATCATATTTAATTGCATGTAAAGAACTAGAATTCACCAATTGTGTAACTATTTGACAGTTTATTAATTCTTCGTTAAAAAAATTTCCTGGTATTGAACAAAAAGTATTCATTTTTATTAGCAATACTGGTACTTATATGATCAAAGCACTTAATTACAATCGCTGTAATATTATTAAAACCGACTTAAAAATAATATTCAGTTATAGAATCGTATTTTAATACTAAAGACTTAACTGGTGACTAAACTTGTCAGTTTTGGCTATTTTTCAGGCTAAAGTCAAGTTTATAATTACAGAATCACCCTACTGGACGATACAAATTGTTTCAATGCGCAGAATAATTCACTAAGCGTGCTCACCTCATTTTTTTTGGTTAAATTTTGCATGTATTCAAATTCTGATTTTTGAAATTTTCAATTATAGTTAAATCCAATATTTTCGAATACTTAGAATTTTCACAAAATTAAAGGAGTACCCTATGGTGATACCAACTTTGGTTTTTCAAATGAGAACCTATATTTAAAATTCCATAAATAGATTTAAACAATTTTGATTTCCGTCAACCGTTAACAAGATATTGCATTTTTAAATTTAAGTAGAGGGAGAGTAGGTTAGTATATATTGGCTATTGATATAAATCATTTTATATTTAAATATTTATTTGGTTATATATAAGTTGTCCCACATAGATATTATTCCCTTTAATTATCTCCGGAGATAATAAATAGATAATCAAATTCTGTTTTTTATATTAGTCACACGGATGATTTGAACCGCGTAATGCAATTATGTTATTCTTTAAATAATATCGGTTTTCACACGGATTAGTAGAATTTAAAACAGCATCTGTTATTATTAAAACCTATTCATTGGATACATTAAAATTTTCAGGAAAAAACTATAGAATGGCTATCTAAAAATTTTCTGAAAATAATAAAATAAAAATTTAATTCAAATATAAATATTTGTAGTCCTCATCCCTTTGAGTAATATAAAAAAAAAAAAAAACAGCTATATTCAAGGGGTATATCTTTGTGGGACAACCCAAATAAATATTTAAATATCAAAATGATTTATATCAGTAGCCAATATATACTAACCTGATCTATAGATAAATATACCTACTTCCTAATAATCTTTCTTCTTCTTTTTTTACTATGTCAATATTTCCCGGATTACATAAACAATTACATAAGTATATTATAATTAACAATAACGATAATCAAGTCTAATACGATCTAATATTTTATTATTATTATTATTATTATTCCATTATACAATCTAAACACCATGTCAAGGTGATAAGACATTTATTAATTAGGAATAGTAACTAGGTCTAGAATGCAACCTGTAGCATTTTCATTAAAACATACAATTTCGATTTTAGGTTGCATATTTAAGAATACTTACATTCATAAAGTGATGTGAAACTAAAAAAAAAATTGAGTGTACGCCAGTTATAAGTAAAATGGGTGGTTAGGGTCAATTCTCATCCCCTCTCCCCCCAATTTGTTTTATTTAAATTCAAAAATCTAAATATATATTAATTATTATCATATTAAAAGTATACTTAATCGTTTATTGTTACATATCACAATTTTAAGTAGGTAATATTTTATTATTACAAGTAATAATACAATTAAATACCTATAATATTATTATGTAGGTAGGTAACATTTGCACCAAACTTTTCAATTACTAGGTGCTTCGATAAATAACGACCGTTCTCAAACCATTTTAATTTATCACTACATTTTGTGAGGGTAAATCATTTACAAAGTTTGGTGACGATCAAAAAAATTTCAGACTAGTTCTCTTGGAAGGGATTTTATTGTATCAAACAATGGAGGGAACATATGTAGGGTACCAAGCCAAAGTTTGGCTTCAAAACCACTATCCTATCACCTATATCCTATTCTTCAGATATATTCTTGATCCAAAAATCAAAAGGGGGTACATCTAATATAAAATATCCCTAATAGATCTATGCATCATAGTGATAATCCCACCAACGTACGTTGAATAACAACGACGCTAGTTTTTAAACGAAAAAATGTCTCGCGGCGAATTGATGAGCATCTAGAGACAGCCCACGAGCAAATTCCTTATCAATTATAATATAATATTTTTTTATGAAATAACCTGCACACGAATTTGTGTACATTATTTTATTCTCATGTACATGTTACGACTACACAATATAAAAAAAAGGTAAGATATTGGAGGCGGGTGCAGCCACTGATGTCAGTGGGAAGTTAGGAAGGTAGGATATAAACGGAAACTTAATGTATATCTGTAAACAACATTAAACCATTACTTACGAAAAAACGATTCTGAGTGGAGTTCAGTTGATAGTTTGTCAACAATATATATGTTATTTCATAGTAAAAAAAATAATTAAATAAGCTCTGTATATTTTCTTTAATAAAATTTGTTTAATGTTGTACCAATTTTCCCAATTTTCCTACGTTTTTTCGGTTTTCCCATGTTTTGTCCCGGTTTTTTAATTTTGAAAAGAAAACTCTTGAGAAAATCGAAAAATGACTGTCTTAAAGTACCACCTCACGCCGATTTCCTTTCAAAAAAGATGTTATACGTAGATATCTAAGGAAGTCTTCTGGTAGAAAAGTTGCGCACAGATAAAAAAAAAAAAATATCTTTGTAAATCCACAAGCTTCTTCACTACACTCAGAATCTAAAATAATATGTGTATGCATATTCATGCTGTGGAAATTAATATGTCAGATGACAAAGATATTAACGCCAAAAATGATTATACTAACCCAATGGATGCAGATGAAATTTGTATTAACATGTCTGATGTCTGATATGCAGCAAATTATTGCTCCATCTGCAGTTATTGCAAACAAAATTGAGCAATTTCATAGCATGTTAGTGTCACAAGCAAATAAATTAAATGATGAGCAGCTACATAAAATTAATTTATCCTTAGACTCAAATTTAAAGATGCTATTTGAACGTTTATGTTTTATCAAATGAAAATGCAAGCCAATAAAAATGTTTATAAACAGTGCCATGTTTTCCAACTAAAAAACTTCGTTTTAAAATAGTGTTAATAATGTCAATTATGTAATGAATTTTACTATTTTTAGTTTCAAAATTATTTTTGATATTATCATCTTTTCTAAGGTCCTAAATTTTTTTACCGTATAGTAGGTATATCGATATTTTATCGCACGATACCGCATAGTTGAATTTATTTAACAAAACTTTTGATGTGTGGTTACCATAGAGTAATTTTTCTATGCTGATTACATAAATTATCCTCAGAAAAGCGATAACAAAAAAAAATGGTAAAATATTATCATCAAAGTACAATATTTATATAATTTTTATTTTCTACTGCAATATGAAAGATCTAGGTATTGCTATTTAAATATAGTTGGAATTTTAATAATTGAAGTTGAAAAGTAGTATTCAAAATGCTGTTAAGGTGGAACGGGGAGAGCAAAACCCCCACGGGTTTGTGTTAAGTAATTGTGCACTTAGAACGCAATTTTTAAATTATTGGATTGAGTTCCTCTTCTTGATTTTTCCCAATTCAAGCACTGTGTACAAATATTTTTTTTCCAGCCTATGCTGGATGTATATCTAATTTTCCACCACTTACTAGTCTAAATCATATGAAAATTAAATTTCATATTTTGTGCCGGCTCCAAAGATTCGAAATGTGCATGCACGTACGTCATCAGCAGCTGTTGGGTACGCAAGTACCTACGTGATCGCTGCTTACAATAAACTGATAGTAAAATCGGTAATGAAGTATAACTCAAAAAAAATAAGCAGACTGCCATATTCAAAAATAACTATTTAGCGACAATCATAAACATAATGTCACTATTTATATTCCATTCTATTTTTATTACATAAATTATTCCTTCTTTGTATGTTATAATATGTATTAATACGGAATTAGGTAAAACAATTTTATACCGAAAATATGAATCACTTATTCAACACTCCCTAGTCCCTAACCCTTACTTTTTATTGAAAGTTATGGCAGTTTTAACTGTTTAATCGTTTTATGTTGTGGTCTTGTGGGTATTTTTATTATAAAATGGATAAAGACTGACGTTTTGGTGGCTTAAATTAAGTGTACCAAGAAGAAAAAGAATACCTCTTGAAAAATGTAATGTCCAAAAAGAAAAAAAGTGTTATACATATCAATAATAAAGTAATATTCCTAATATTATTTAAAATATTTTACAAAATAATACGGCCACTGCTCTAGATTTTTTTGAATACAGACAATAAACAATATCGATTTTAGGAGGTTATTTTTTGATTTTACTTGTACTGTTTTTAATAGCGGAAGTAAACTAATCATTTTAAATACAAATCTAAAAACCGAAAACTTTTGAAGGATTTTTTCTCTCTTTTAGATTCTGAGCGTAGAATCTATTCATGTATTGATGTTAATTGATGCGTACAGATATATATTAAATTTCCGTCTATATGAAAATGTAAACCTAAATAATGTTAATATGTTATTTGTTTTGTTTTTTTATTGAAGTTATGTATCCATATTGTAATACTAATTAACTTTAAATTGTAAATGCTTTATGTTATACTAACTATATGATAAATTGTATACACCATACGATAAATAAATACAGTTTGATGTCGTCAACAAAAACAAAGAAATTGACAGTGATGTAATACATGATGGAGGTTGTTAATAAATAATGAGAACAAAATTAGCGACAAATTACTCCCTTGATGGACACCTGAAGAAACTAATTAGACTTAACATCAACAACTTTTACCTGTCACTAAGACTAAGAATCTAAACCACAACAAAAATGGATCGCAAAAACCAGATTTAGTGAGAATATGTATAACTATATGACTGTACTAGCACAAAGTACCATATGGATGACCGAGTCGAAAGAATTTTGAAAATCGATCTAGACACAGATCGCATGGGAGACGATAAAGGCGATCGCTTCTCCCATATTTTTTTTAAAATTATTACTAACTTTTATTATTTTATTAATAACGAAAAATACTTTTAAATAAGATGGGGATGGGTGCAGTCACTGGTGTAGATGAAAAGTTGAGAAGGTAGGATAAAGACGGGAATTTAATGTAAGCAACGATAAATTATTACTTACGAAAAAACGATTCTTAGCGGAGTGTGATGCCTTGTAAACAATATACATGCCATATTATAGTAAAAAAAAATAATTAAATAGGCTCTATATATTTTCTTTAATAATATTTGTTTAATGTTGTACCGATTTTCCCAGTTCTTCATATTTGTTAAGAAAATTCCAGGAAAAATGAAAAAACGACCTCTTAAAGTACCTGCCCCCCAGTGAATTTCCTTTCAGAATTATTGCTATCATTAAAAGTTGGAGCTAAATACTAGTAGAAAAGTTGTCCAGAGAAAAAAAAAATCGTAATATTATAATTCGTAAATTGTCCAGTTTTTTTTCGGTTTTTCACATTTTATGAGAAAACTCTTGGAAAATCAAAAAATTAACTCTTTAAGATATTTCCCTTCATCGATTTCCTTTCAAAAAAGTTGCTACACGTAAAAATTGAAGCAATTCATCTGGTAGAAAAGTTGTCCATAGTAAAAAAAAAAAATAAACTTCTTTGTAAAACTATAAGCTTTTTCGCTCCACTTAGAATCTAAAATATATTTTATATAAAACCAATCATTTCTGAATAAATAATTAGTCATTTTTAAATTTCAAACTTGTTTTAAATTTTTATCTGATTCTTATTGTTCTGATTATCTGGTTGCATATTGCGGGAAATTGTTCAATCTTTAATAATAAATTATTAATAGTCATAAAATATGTTGGGAAACAGCAGAACACACATTATTTTATCTGTATTTTATAAAACCAACGATTTTATATTTACGTACTTAGGTATGTCATATTAATAATATATTATACGACTCGTTCATTCATAAAGTCGTATAATTGTATCTATACCATTCATTTTATATGAATTTATAGAAATAATACAAATAATATTAGCCTCTGATACAGGTTAAATATAAAAAATGGTCATTTAATTTTTTTAAATGCGCCCCCTCCTTGGGTGACTTCTGGATCTGCTACTGAATAGACATTTACTTGTGCCCGACATTGAAAAGATTCGTAAACATAATTATTAAACACAAGATTCCATGTAGTAGTGGGACAGTCTTGGGCGAAAGCCATGCTGTTCCTAGATGAAGATAGAATTTACGGTTGGTTGAATGGTTAAAACGAAGGATTTAAATATTTTAGAAGTCAAAATGAATAGGTAATAATTGATCTAAATTCAAATAAGTAGAGGCATAAGAGGCTCATCTGGACCAATTGACCAAACGCCTTTTCCAACGTCGATAGGTAAGCTGCGAAAGACAGCATTATTAGGTAAATCAAAAGTGGAAATATCTAGTTTTTAAACATCTGATCCATGGATCCATATGATCAGTAGAGTTGGTATACTGAGAAAAAGTAATCAGAAAAAAAATTGGCAGTTTCCTACTAATTTGTGAAATTATTTGTAGGCATTGTTAGAATCGGATATTAACGCCAAAAATCTGGCGGCTGGACCAAGAATTAAACCCGAGTCCCCTCAAGCTTCATCACTAACCGAGTGATTGCTCTCCCGCTGAGCTTTCCAGGGCCTGACCTCCAACGTTATTTCCGACAATTTTGACCTGTTGCTAACAATATATTCAGTGATAGGCTAAGGGACTCACCCCGGACTCAGGTAGGATATAGAGGGGAAATTAATTTGTATCTGTAAGCAACAATAAATCATTGCTTACTAAAAATGATCTGAGCGGAGTTCAGTTGATATTAATGTTTTGTCAACAATATATACATCATTTTATGGTAAAATAATTAAATAGGCATTATATACTTTCTTTAATAATATTTGTTTAATATTGTACCGATTTTCCCGTTTTTTCAAATTTGTCATATTTGCTGACCACTGAAACGTTTATACCTATGTACTAAAATATTTTGAGTTTACCGGATGCTCTATTGCCATTATGTTACGTGATATCTTGACGCATTAATTTGCAGCTCAAATCTTATAAATACAAATCAATCTTTATTTTTAGAAGTTGATATATATTTTTTTTTTCATACATTTCCTAGCTAAGGATCAGTTAAAAAGTTTTAAATTTTTTGTATAGTATTTCGGTATCCGGATGCCCCCCAAACATCTGCTACCCGGGGCAATTATCCTTAAAACCCTTCATCAAATACAGCTCTGGTCGGAAAATAATTTTTACCCAATGACGATAACATGCAGTCACGGAGTGCTTATGATGAAATTATATTGAACAGTTCCGACAAAATACTTTCTGATGAATTATTTTTTTTACAAAATACTCTTTTACGATTTATTTATTTTTCCGACAAACTGCGGTTCCTACAAAATATTTTCCAACAAATTATAGACCTCCGGAAAAGTCAGTAAGTAAATATATACTATTATAGTATAAAGTGTCTACTTGGCCGTGAGTACGGAAGGAATCGTATAGGCAGAATATTAGGACGGCAGTGCATGTGGTAGTAGAGCGGTCTGGGCGGAAACTATATTGCTTGTCAATTAAAATGTTATTGATGGAGTCACGCATAGAATGAAGTACAATTAAGTATACCTAAAGATATACATACAACTTTTTTTGAACATTTATTGATCTTCCCGTTGGCGCGGCCGTTTTTACAAATCAAAGATTTAAAGATTTTAAACGGCCCTGCAGGCAGCGGCTCACGGCTGTACGGTGACGTCACTACTAACGATTTTACGTTTTTTACTGCGCAAGCGTGTCGGCAGCGGTAGCATGTGATCCGTGCCCCGTGGCTCGAATACACGACTGTACAGCCGGCCTGAATCGGCCGTGGTTGATGGGAGGTGGGTGGTAGTTAGGTGGGGATAACGCCGGTAAGGTGCACGATATTAATGTTTTTTCTTTCACCAATCTGCTTGGCAACCAAACTGCAGGCGACGTCGACGGTTTTGATTCAATCGACTACCATCGTCCGTTGAATTCACCACGTCGGGTAGATCATCAGGAACGCTACACACTCGATAACATCATCGCCATTTATAACTCAATCTGGGTTTTTCGATTTCTAAGAATCCCAATCCACCTTCTTCAACCGTCACTAGGGAAATGGCTTCGTTTGATCGTTTGGGACAGTTCCCGTTGGGGTCTTCTGTGACCGTATCCCCATCGCTTATAAGTGGACTCGATCAGATGAGAGATGGACGACTCAATAAGGTACCTAATTAATTAATGTTTTGACTGTTTGGGATTTTTCAAAAATACTTTTTTAGAATTATTCCCTTAATCGATGATCCATCCTGACGTGCATGCTGCTCTTTAATGAAAATTTAATTCCATTGTACTTAATTATATTATGTTGAAACTGAAAATAACCATAGAATATTTGTATACATGATCACACTATCATGATTATAAATTAGTAATAGGTATTAAACATAATATTAAATACCGAAACACCTCTTTGAATTAATTGTGTATATTTGGCCTTATATATTAATATTTTTAATTATTTTTAATTGGTAACAGATCTTTATAAATTATATAACCTATTTTATAGTTTATTCCGTTATTTATTTACTAATAAATTAAATTTAAAATCAATTTCTTTATTAATATATTTATTTTTTTCGAATAATTGTGTTTTAGGATCAAGATTTAAATTTCCTTTTCAAATACAAAATATGAGTAGGTACCTAAGTTCCAAGGAAATACCTAAAAAATAAATTTACTGTAACTTGTGAGTTATTAATAATTACCTAATAGGTACCTTCTACCTACATATTTAATTAAATTATATAATTTATTTATATCTTTATAACATGGCATGTATAAAGTAGGTATTATACATATTACATTGCATTATCTAACTAGGTTTAATGTTATATTTATTTAAAAATACTAATTGAAAAATAATTATAAACATTGGATACCTATGTTCATATAAATTAAAATTTTAATTTTGATATTGATCACTTAATTTTTTTTTATAGTTTAAGTTATGAATATATACAAACCTAACCTATGGTTTATGTTTAAGGTCATATATATAATTACAGTTATAAATATAGTAAGATTTAAGTACCACAAATATATAAGGAACCTATATACTTAATTTATTATTACATTTTTATTAAACAAAACAAATTATTTTAAAGATTTAATTTTAGTTACTATTTTCATTTTAATTTTTTTTTATTATGAACTATTATTAAATTTAATGCATTTGAACTTATAAGTTATAAGTCAACATAATGTTTTTATAGATCAATTAATGACTCAATTTACTTTATGATACCAAATTAATTAATACCTACCTATTTTTTAATTTTATTGAATGCTTAGTAGTTATTAGTTTATTACTTATTACAGTTAATATAATAATAATTGTAATATCTACAATAGTATAATATATAACACATATAGTATATAAATTTATTTTACAGAAATGATTAACACGGTCTAAATATTTTGGTTCTACAGTAGGTGCCTAGACTGTATTGCACATTTTAAAACAATTGTAGACAGTTTTTATTTTACAAAATTTAAATCAAATATTTAAAATAATGCATTTTATTTTTTTATCATAATAATAACAACATTACTTGTAATAATAATTTGATTACAATACTGGTTTGTTAGGAATAACTTAGACAACCTGTTATCATGAAGGTCATACTCTTAATATACCTAGCTTATACAAATTTTAAGGATAAAAACCACATAAAGCAAGTTTATTTATGTAGTTTTTTCTTTATGTGCTAGGTATATTGTAACCATAAATGTGACCTATTATATTTAACTACTTTTATAATTATGTTTATAAGTGTGACAGAATTCAAGTTTATTGCCACATTAAAAAAAAATATATAAAACTTATTCTTGTAGACTTAGTATTATAATAATATGAATTATCTTGAAATAAAAAATTACTCTTTATATCTACTTAAAAAATTGATTTTTATATATCTGATATCAATTTATTTAAAAATGATTATAAAACAAAACTTGACTCAACTTAAGTTCTTCATTTAAAATAAAATTATAACAATCAATTCCTTTCTGTTTAGGTAGCTAGTTCGTTTTAAATTTTTTTTTTCTACTCGCCATCTTCTGTATTTCTATAAATGTTTATCCATTTATAGTTGATTATACTCAATATTTCAAATAGTATAAAAAAAAATGTGGACCGTGCCGCCACACAAATTATGCTCCACTTTCTCTACCCAAATCTAAAAGTAGAATATCTGTCAACAGATGACAGAAATCAAAGATTTCAACTCCAGAATGTATTTAAATTATTACTTAATTTATGTAAACATTTTAATATAGGTGTTATATAAACATCAAAAGTAAATAATCTTTTCACCCTCAAAAATAATCATAAAAATAATATAAATGTAACTTTGTAATACCTTGTATATTTTAATATATTCTAATATGATAGGTACATCAAAATATTAATTTTAGAAGGTGCCACAATATCGTGTTCTTATTGGTACATATTATAATATACAAGATAATATCATAGAATTTAACCAAGCTAATTAGTTGATGGCAAGTTATTCATGATTCATGCACTTATAACAAAATACAATACCGTGGTAAATTGATTTTACAATACATTATACTTGTCAGGTACTTTGAAATAAAATATAAAACGCGTGTCCATATTATTTTATGTGTATAAAATATGAAAATACCTACCTACCTACTTAAATTAAACTAATTTATGGTTTTCCATTATAGTGAAACACATTTTAAGTCCATTGTAATAATATGTTGACATTTTAGCTATTTTATTTTATAATCGTGAAAAATGTATTTATTTATTTTATATCTATTTAATATACTATATGAAAATCAACTAATTTCTATTTGTATATGTAAATATACCTTACCAAGTAAACTAGTTTATATTGAAATCTCAGTTACTTATTCAAATGGCTTACAATATTTTTATTTTTTTATTGATAATAAGTAAGTTATAAGTTATAAAATATAATGCAGGTAGGTTAATTGTAATAACTAATAATTGAAACTATATGAGTCATGATAATGCAATTTCCTAGTGAACGTGGTAAAAAGTCATTGACAAAAATTACTAATGAGCATTTTTTTTTTCTACAAGGTTAATGATTCTTTGCGATATTATTGTAGGCGTGCATGAAGTCGGTTTTATCTTAATCCTGAATAATCAGTATATAATTCGTTTTTTTAAGTAGATATAAATACTAAAAAGAGCTGATACTGGGAACGCGTGGAACCACTATTGTTGGTGGGAAGTTGGGAAGGTAGGATATAAAAGGTTATTTCATTTATATAAACTATTGTTGACGAAAAACGATTTCGAGCGCAGTTCGGTAATACAAAATAAACGTTTTCCGTAATAATGTAAAATAATGATATTGTGAAATTGTACGTTTTTTCCCGATTATTATGAAAACTAATTAAAAAAAAATCTAAAAACGACTCGTATCTTCAAAAACAAGATTAATAATTCAACATAAAAGGTCTCTTGTCGTTTTTCAATTGGACCCATATTTGTGCTAAAAAACGTGGTAGGCATTTATTCAAAATAACGAAATCGTGAAAAAATCGTATTTTTTTCCCCAGTTGCTCGTTTTTATTTTAAATACAGTTTCGAAAATCAAAAAATGACCTACATATTTACTAAGTAGATAAAATTGACTTTCAGAAAAGATGCTACACCTAAACATCGGAGCAAGTTATCTAGGATAAAAATGGTCTACAGTATAAAAAAATAAATAAAGGAGGTTCCATTGTAAAAAAATTTAAAAAAGTCGTCCGATGATTTTGGAAATTTTACCACGTCTAATATAAGTATTATTGTCAAGTTTCAAGTCCTTACGTGTATTTATAACCGAATTACAGCAAAAAAATTCAAATTTCTTAAAAACTCAAAATTTTTGGTCATTATACCGTAAAACAATAAATCAAAAAGGAAACAAAAACAGGTATCTTGTGATTTTTCGATTAAATCATTTTTTCTCATAGAAAACGTCCGTGTTTTTCTAAAATAATGAAATTGAACATTTTCCTACGGTTTTTCCACTTCAGTGTTTTCATTTAAAAAAAAAGCGTCGAAAATCAAAAAATGACCTCTCTAAAGTACAATCTAGACAACATAAGCTTTCAGAAAAGTTGCGGTTCGTAAAGATCGGAGCAAGTTTACTAAGAAAAAAATACGTCCACAGACTAGAACAAAGAAAAAAATAAACAGCATTGTAAAACCAATAGCTCTCTCGCTACGCTCGGAATTTAAAATTATAATCATATATTTGTTTTTACGATTATTAATTAAATAGTAGCGTATTTTCTTAAAGAAATTACTATCGTTCAGATGCATTTATTAGACTGTATAAAAACCATTAAAAACTATGAGAACTGGTAGGACTACGTCCTCAATTTGTGTCTAACAGTCGCGTAACATAGAATAAGTAATGAAATTAGTTATAATACTTAGAGTGAGATCCTCGCTAATATATTATATTGAAAAAAAAATAGTTAACTTTTATATAAATACTTTAATTTGACTTAGAAATAAATATTGAAAAATGTCTATACTATCTTTTAAATAGGTAATATTAATCTATGATTCTTAGTTATTTTTTAAAAATAAAAAATAACATTCTCTTTTTTGCAATCATATAGGTATGTTTTTTTTTATATCGTATGAACTATGAGTAACGACTTTTTATTATAGTTGCATAATAGGAAAAGGAGAGCAAGTTTGTGAATGATCTCATAATACGTAACTGTGTGTGAATGTAAATAAACACAAAAGAACGGCAAAAAAAATTCAAAATATAATAAAATAAAAATAATGTAAATGTACTTATGCATAATAACGATAACTGCTTTTGTAATGATATTATTACCTTATATTTTCATGCCTAGTTGTTTGAATTTATGGTGGTATTTTGGCTTATGATTTATGAAATGTTCAGTAGGTACCTGTTACCACATAATGGTACTTATACAATTTTACATGTCCAATTGTTAAATTATGTAAGCATTGGTTTTACAGCAGCATATTTTTTGTATATGTCTGGGTTTATTTTGTATAAAGCACGACAATAATTGTTTTATAATATTTTACCGTTTGAGATTTTAAGAAAAAAATTAAGAATTCATATCGATAAATATTGTTTATGAGCATAAACATGATAATATGTATTAAAACCAATTTTTACCTTTTTTAATAAATATTGAGTGATTCAACTATATTTTCGGATTAAAGGATATTATATCCTAATACTTTAATATACATTAAAATTAATAATAATATTATTAGTATTTTATAAGTATTTGCTAGTTTCCGGTTATTGTTTATAAAACAAACCAAAAAACTGGTGGACACTCTAATGTTCTACAATGACCTTGTTAATTTTAAAAGTTTGATACTTTGTTATAGATATGCATACAATTATTTATGGTATTGTGTGTGTGTGTGTAAAATATAATACCCATTATATTATTTATGTAGGTATCGGCAATAGGTTTTATAGGTACTTACTACCTATCAATAGAATATTATATTATTTTTTTCTTTTATATACTGATCTGAATTCTGGATATAATTCCAACAGAAATGATAGTCTCATGCGGACTATGTCAATTTCATTATCGTAAATTGTATTAATATAATTATATACGTATAAATTGCATGATATATTTATATATAATTTGTTAAATTTCACATTATTACCGAACACCAAACTAATTGACTTTTTTCTAGTGTTAAATAACAATTATTTTATTTTTTTTACATTAATACCTATTTGTAGGTAATGTATAATATTGAGTACCTACATAGTTAGGTATTTCAAATACCTACAGTGTAGTAAATTACAGTTAGTCTCTTGGATAAAACAAACAAAAAACCGCAAAATTGTTTACTTCAAGTGTTAAAAATTAGCGAATTAGGCATGTTTTATTATTGTTGACCTTTATCGTAAAATGTATATGAGTATCTATATAAGAAAATATAAATACAAATTATATAGGTATTAGCTATTATATAGGTATAGAGGATAAGAAACTCTCAACTCGTCGGTAATTAAATTCAATAATAAATTAACCTGTCTGTAACCTAATCTACATTTTTTTCTCGTATCCGTGTAACACAGTAGGTATAGGTATCATAGTAACTATTCGTTCATACTCGTTTAATATTTTTTAAATTAAATACATATCTAAAATTACAATTACATAATTTTGTTTGCCGTTTCAATATGATTTAAATGATTTTTGTATTCTTATAATAATAATAATAATAATAATATGTTGAACGAACTATTTATATTATGCGTATTTAAATACATTTTGTATGTATCTATCCACCTTGTTGATATTCAAAACGCGTTGTCAAAAACATACTTGACAAATGTTATTATTTTTTACTAACCATACAAACAAATATTATCTACAAGTAAAAATTGTAGAAATTTTGTTTTATATTTAAATCAACTCCATTAATAATATCTGGCTGTTAAGTAAAAGTTCTAAAACTCCCATATAATTTTAAGGAAGCCAATTATTACCTTGGCTATATCTGTTTATATCTGTCGTACATAAAAAAAATATTTTTTATTAAATCAATTTGTGTTTTTTGAAAACTTAAATGAGGTAGGTATCTGCGGGTACATTAAATATTAGTATAGGTAGGTTTTATAGTATTATGGTAGTATAGGGTAATACTAATTTAATTATTGGTTTAGACAGGCGAATAAGGTTCAGAGGCCAGTGTCATTGCCACAAGGGCATTGCAAAGGCAAATGTGTACACAATGTCTTGTTCTGTTGATTTATTAAAAATGTTTTTTTTTTCATTGAAGAATCAATTCAACATTATTATATATATTTTCAATGTAGTTCACAATACTTAATCAATGTAGGTGTACATTTATTCAACATTATGTCTCTGTGTTCGATGTTGTTGCAGATACTAACAAATGTAATCAATCAATTACATTAATTAATAACAATAATATAAATAAACAAATATCACGGTCTTTTTAATTTTATAGTTTTGTATTCTAGATAACATAGGTACTAACAAAAATATGGTTGTAATATTAATAAATAATAAAAATAATAATACAGTAATTTGTATTATATAATAATGCAATAATAATAATTGTGTTGATTTTTAATATTTCATCACCATGTTGCATTATATATTAGTATCTACTTGTATATTGTATATGAGTAGAAAAATACTAAATAATATTCACACATCTATTTTTTTTTATATTAATTGGACATATGTTATGTTATTGATTTTGTACTGAATTTTTTAATAATATTATATACTTTCTAAGTATACATTATTTATTTATGAATAAATGTTAACTTTAAATATTTGTACTTTTTCTCTTGTCACTTTTTTCGTCTATTTGAGGTTGGACACCTTAGTCCTAAATATCTATTTTACTCTTTACAACTTAAACATTTTTGTATAAATTATAATAGTTTTAAAAAAAATTGTATTGTTGAGCATTATTAATTTCTTTTTGTACTTGAAAACTTTAAAAAATAAAAAATTATTTTGAATGTAGCTCAAAATTTAAATTTAAATGCTTGCTAACTATTATGACAGTTTTGTAGCTACTCACAAAATTGAAAAATTATCACACTAAGATAAGAATGCCATTGTTCAATCCACTATGAGACAAAAAATTTTAATAAATTTAATGCCCTGAAAATGTTAAACTAAAAAAATAAAAATAATTGCCTATCATTCTAAAACTACATTAATGTAAAACACTCCGTTCTGAATCTAAAAATAAGTTTACAACAAATATACATGATTAAACGTTTTAAAGCCCAGCTTACTAATATAGTTTTATATTTTATATAATTATTAATTACAAATTTATCATCTCTCGTTGGTTTAAAAACAAATTAATTGACCTTTTAGGTGTACTATATTACTGTACACCATCATTAAATGATAACAATTTTTAGTAAGTTTTATAAATATATTAATTTTTAAAACTTATAATTAATAACAAATTAAAAAAATGTAAAGAAAAAACACATCTTGGAGTATTATTATAGGTTGAGTGAATTTACTACCAGTTTCGATATATACATAAAATAATTGTTAGATAATGGAAAAGCAGAAAATATTTGTTAATAAAATAAAATTTATTTTATTTTTTCACCTTAGTTAAATTACTAATGACTTTAGATTTTGAGTGGAGCTTATTATTATTATTATTATTATAAGAAGCTTATTTTTTATATAGATATGTTTGTATATTTTTTTGTTCATCTGTGGCGCAACTTTTCTACCAGAAATCTTGCTGTAATTTTTAAATGTAGCACTTTTTCTGAAAAGAAATTGGTGTGGAGTTTTTTATTTTTCGATTTTCTTAAGAGTTCTCTCATCAAATGTGAAAAACCCTAAAAAAAAACTGAGGAAAAACAGAAAAATATAAGAAATTTAGGTACCTATTAATTAAAAATATTTTATTGAAATTGTATCAGTATCTGGAAGGAATTTGGACTCCCTCCTTTAAATCTGACACTGCATGAAACATACAATTTTGAACGATATTAAAGTAATTAAACAATTAAACAAAATTAAAAACAAGACATATAAAATTAAAATTATATTTGTCTTTTAAGTTTTTTTGTGTATTATTTTTTTAAACATATTTTTACAAAATTTAAATACTATTATGTAGTTCTTAGTTATCTATTTATTTATTATCATCATCAATATAAAAAAGTACTTAGTTTAAAGTAGTAAAAATGAAAAATATTATGTTTATTTAGCCTGAGTGAAGAAGCTTTTTATTAATAGGATACTTTTCATTAAAAATGATGTAAAATCTTATTTTTTACATTCAGTAATTCCAGATTAGGGTAACAATTTAACAATTGGCTAATAACTTCAATTTTAAGTGTAATTTTCACCGAGTTTGGTGTTATATATATGATAAAAATGTAGAGTATTGTCAATTTTTCATTATTATTATTATTATTATTATTGTTATAATTGTTTATTTCTTTGAAAAGATAATGGACCTACTGAACAAATTTGTGTGGGCACCCATGAGTTTACAATTTATTACAAGGAGAATATTACATTAAAATAATTTGAATTTAACTTTTTTTATAATTTTAGACTTATGAAACTAACATAAACATATACAATTTAGGAAATAATAATTAATATATGGAGACTTAATGTATAATACAGTTTGATAAAATACAAATGCAAGCAACTTACATATATACAAATATTTAAAATTTGGTTTATTTTGCAGTCAGTTAGTTATTTTTTTTTTTTTAAAGTATTAAACGATAGAGTTGTTTTGAAGTTCAATGGTGTACCATATTATATATTTTTGGTCCTATATATACGTAAGTAGATTGAGTTAATTTTCTGAGCATTAAGGGAACAGTAATGTTAATAATTGTCTTGTGTTATATCCATGATCAATACTAGGTGTTAGGTTATGTTTAATTATATAAATTACTGATACCTTATAGAAACATTTTTTTTTTTTAATGACCGAACATTTAATTCTTTTTACAGATATTCTGTGTGATACAAATGATTCTTTTTTAAAATAATTTGTATTATTTTTAATACTTAGATTTGTTTTTTGAATCCATTGATCGGTTTCAGTAATTAAAATAATAGGTACAGATTTTTCTCAAATGGTGGTGCACACAATGTGCAAAATATATCAATTTTTTAGGTATACATTTTAATTTTTATTAATTTCGCTATGAATGTATTTCTAAACCAATCATTTTTTTAAAAAGGTTATAAAAGAAAAGACTTCTCCTAATAGATGGGCCACTGTTGTAGGTTAGAAGTTGAAAAGGTAGAAATTGAATGTATACACTACCATTAATCATTGCTAATGAAAAACGATTCTGAGCGAAGTTCGGTTATACATTACATTTACAATTTTCGTCGAAATTTGATATTAAAATTCATAAACAAAAAGTACTTCATTAAACTTAACTTGTTAACCACTAAGTACAACTTGTCATGAACCAACTATAAATTTGCTAGTATTACTGTTTGGTCTAACATTTTTATCCACAGAGTGAGTATCTACTGAATAATAATTATGTAAAAAGCTCATAATTTTAAAATGTCTATTAATAACTCTAAAATGTTTTGAAAATTTTGTCTCATCTAGAAAAGACAAATATAAGTTTTCTACTTAAATTTCAAGTTTCTATAATTATTTTAAATTGATTAATAGCAAAAACCAAAACTGAACATAATAAATTATTTTTATACATTTTTCTGTTTTTTCCAATTTATTATGAAAACCACTTGGTAAAAAAATGACCTTCCTAACGTACCAATTTGACTTATTGGATGAAGATGTCTGGTAGTAATTTTTATAGTATAAAAAAAAAAATACAAAACTTGGGATATAATGAAAATATTGTAATATTATTCATTTTTTTGGATATTTATAATTTAGAAAAATTATAGATAAACCATTTTAATAGGTTACCACTAATAATTATGGAAAATTTTTAAATATTAAATTACTAATACATTTTTTAGGAAATGGCTTTTACGATCGAAGAAAGACAATCTTTGGGCATTCACGGATTGTTGCCACCTCGTGTTAAGACTCAAGATGAACAAGTTAAACATGCCTTGGCTAATCTTAAACGTTTTAATGATGACCTGAATAAATATATTTACCTGATGGGTTTACAAGTAAGCAAGTATGACGCTGACCTAATTCACGGGTTCTTATCAACTAACATATTGAATTGTAATTTTTATTTCAGGAGAGAAATGAAAAACTTTTCTACAGAGTGATGGCTGAGAATGTAGAAGCCTTTATGCCACTTGTTTACACTCCAACTGTTGGATTGGCATGTCAAAAGTATGGTCTTATTTTCCAGAAACCCAGAGGATTATTCATATCCATCCATGACGCAGGTCATGTATATGATGTATTGAAGAACTGGTAAAAATAATTGACCCATTCAAAAGTTGTAATAGTATTGCGTATTATAATGTTTTTATCAAGTCAGTGTACTTAAAAAAAAACAATTTGTTCTTTATCATTTTTTAAAAATTAGTTAATAATAAATCAATTTTCAAATTATTTAACATGTATGTACATCATGAATTTATATAATTAAATTAATATCATGTATAAAATGCTAAAAGAATTATAACTTACATACTAGTAACTGTATTACTCATCTATACCCGTGTATAGTATTGAATAAATAAGGGAGATGGACAATTGACTGACAATAATATATTATAAAGTAGTAATTTATAATGCCATGCATGCAATTCATATTTTTATTTTAAAAATCTAAAAAATAATTTTAAAAGACTGATATACTTTTCAAAATGAATGGGCCACTGTTGTAGGTGAGAATTTAAGAAGGTAGGATATAGAGGGGAATTTAATGTACGCAACAATTATTTTTACTTATTTTTTTTGTTATTATTTTTACTGAATTAGCAATCCACATTATCACAATAGTAGATTATTTCGGATTAAAAAAATTTTGTAAAAGTATAAAATATATAACATTATAATTCACTAATTTTATGTATTATTGTTGGTCAAATGGTTGTCGATTGATCCAGATCCAATAAATAAAAAGTATCCTTGCGGAATTGATTTTAATAAAAAAATAAAAATATTTTGTATTTGTGTTTATTTCTATATGAGTCTCGTTTTAAAGGTTGAATTTCTCATTTAACCATTCTCTAAATGCTCCTGAAATTAATAACCTTACTATTTTCAGTGAAATCAGTAGAGTAGTTTTTGAGTCTGTAAACTTCAACTATACAGGCATCATATCTTATAAAAAATAATAAAATATTATTGTCACTAAAATGTGCAAATATTGCACTCAATCTCTCATTCTTTATGTTGGTAATGGGAGTTATTGTGCATCCTAAAAGAGCTAAATAATATAAGAAGATACTACCATGCACTGTTTCAATCCAACTAATGGGATATTTAATAAAAACATGTTAACGCGATCAGAGAAGAACTCATTTAATTTTGGTTTAACCCTTTGAGGCATTGTGGTATAGTGAAACCACCTATTTTTTTGTTTCTTTTTATATGTAATATAAATGTTAAATTTTAATATTTTCCAAGAAAAAAATTTCAAAAAAAATGTGTACCTCAAAGGGTTAAAGTAAAAGCATTTATATTTCATAGGGCAAAACAATGGGTTTTTTTTTCCATGATTTCAAATAATTTTAAATTTAAAAATTATTTGTCTACTCAAACTGTGCTTATTTTTGAACTTTACCTTGTTAGTTGGACTGAAATACTAAATGCGGACGTGGTATCCTCCTAACTAATTGGTTTTAGATATTAGTTTATTAGTTATTATTATATCCATATCCAATGGGGTTTAATAATGATAATAATTATAAAAAATATATTTTATAGGCCTGAACAAGATGTCCGAGCTATTGTTGTTACTGATGGTGAAAGAATCCTAGGCCTTGGTGATCTTGGTGTTTACGGTATGGGTATCCCTGTTGGTAAACTGGCTTTGTATACAGCTTTAGCTGGAATTAAACCACATCAATGTCTTCCAGTAACACTGGACTGTGGAACTAATACTCAGGTAAGTTTTTGGAAAACATTTTAATATGTATTATTAATACTTAAGTACCAATTAACAGTAATAATTATATCTAAATGATTAAATGTCAATAGTTACTATTGGATGACCCAGATTATATTGGAACTAGACAAAAGCGGATTACCGGTCAAAAGTATGATGATTTTGTTGATGAATTCATGCAGGCTGCCGTAAAACGTTATGGACAAAATTGTTTGATACAAGTAAAATTTACAACATTTGCTTGAAGTTGACTCAACAGATTTTATTAACTTATTATTCATTTTAGTTTGAAGATTTTGGCAATTCTAATGCTTTCCGGTTCTTGGACAAATATCGTAACAGTTATTGTACATTCAATGATGACATTCAAGGAACTGCTTCTGTGGCATTAGCTGGTCTTTTTGCTTCTCTCAGAATTACTAAAACCAAATTGTCAGACAATGTGATTTTATTCCAAGGTGCTGGAGAGGTAAATGCATACATAAAATATATGAGTTTATATATTGGTCTCGTATTTCAATGCTTCGTGGATATAATTTAGATAATATTGCACTTTAATGTTTATTTAAATTTATTTAAATGTTGAGGTCAAACAAATGTATTTGGCTTTATTTAATAAGAATTATTAAAATATTTCAAACAAATTATCATCAATACTAGGGTTCATTAATAGGACCTGTAAAGATTTTACTAATGTGTTTCTTAATGTCAAATTAGATCTACAAAAATTATTCTTCATGTTCTATTTTAAAAAACAAATTATAATATCACCATTGATGGAATCATGAAATAAGCTGATAACTAGAGACTGGATTTTTAGGTTTTTAAAGTTTAAAATATGATGCTGATATGCTTTAAAATATTCTCTTAATATTCCTTAAACATGAAAATATGCTAAATATGATTTTTTTTTTTATTTAAAATAATTTATAGAGTTGTAAACACAAGTTACAATAACAAATATATATTATATATTTGTAAATATGCCTACATTAAATTTTAGAATATTTACATTTACCATTAATATAGTACCTCGTGTTATAATAATATAGATACTCAAATTTGATTATTATTATCAAAATATTCATTTAATTGTCTCATTTCTTTGGTAAATTATTTAAACTCAGCTATATTTAAAATATAATAGGTTTCATAATATTATTGTTATGTTTCAGCATTAAAAAAAATAAAATTGAATAGGTATAACAAAATTAAAATAAAAAATAAACAATCTTAATGGGTAATTAGAATTGTTGGTATCGCTATGTAGCATCCCACCATTGGTATTGAGCGAGCGCTTTTGTTTTTTCAACATTATTCATTATATAATAAACATAGAATATTGAAACCAACACTAAATAATTTATATTTTAATCGTTTACAAAAACAGTTCTTACAATTTTTCTGAATTATAAGTATTTTAAACAATAAAAAATTATTTTATATACATAGTAATATAATAAATTATTACGTCAATATCATTAAGTGAGCGCAACGCTCACTATATGGATATTAATATGATTGCATGTTGATATCCTATTAAGAAATATTTATACAATTATTACATATACAAAAGTATATTTAGCCACGAGTCCATTGAAGGTATAAATAGTATCAGATGAATCAAGTAATAAATAAACAAGTGTTTCTGAAAATACTAACTAGGTGAGCGCCGTGCTCACCACGATACTAATGACTGATTAAAACATTTGGTCACATATAATTCATGGATAATAAATATTATTACTCGCCAAAATCTCTTAATGATTTTGTTCACAATTCAAGAGAAATAGGTGACCAACTTTACCAATTTGACTATAAACCAGAAATTAAATGATTTTTATCATTCTTCAATAAAATAAATAATAATCATTATTTTCTACAATGAAAATATCACAACTTAAGAAAAGAGTTAAATGTATGATTTTTTTGGTGACTAATAATACAATATTCCAATTCTCCAAATTCCAAAATATGCTCAAATATGCCAAATAAATTTTTCATCCTTGTTGCACTTATATAAAGTGAATAAATATATGTAAAAACCTAAAAAAACCTCCTTTTGGTTGTGTCCCTAAAAATGTATTGGCTTTTTAAAAATATTTGAAGATTTGATACGATTCACCATCATGAAGTTATTTTTTTAAAAAAAGCGTTGATAGTTAAATTTTGAATAAATACTTCATATAACCCCAATTATTGTAGAATAATTATGTGGAAAAAAACTTTTTTAGCAACAAAAATGTTTAAAAATTTGGATAATTGTATATTATTTTGTAGTTCCTTATATATTCAATTTTCAATTTATTTAATTAACTTTCCATTTATTATTATAATGGTGCACTTGTTGACTGAAATATGTGTTTTTTAATTTACAAACTATTGAATTTTTTATAATTATTATTATTAGTATTTATTCATAATTTATTATATTGTTATTGTTATTTTTTTCAGAATTTAAATACATGGAGAATATCTAAAATTATAAAATAGTAATTTTAAATGTTGTTCTATAGAAAATATTTTAATTTTAATGACAATTCAACATATTTGAATTAAATAAAATTATATTGTAAATATAATTGTTACAGGCTGCTTTAGGAATTGCAGAGCTATGTGTGATGGCAATGCTTAAAGAAGGTACATCATTGGAAGATGCTAGATCAAAAATTTGGCTGTTTGATTCTAAAGGTCTTGTAGTCAAAAATCGTCCTGAGGGTGGTGTCACTGGACACAAAGTAGAATATGCCAAAACTGTAGCCCCTGTTAAAGTACTTGCTGAAGCTATCAAAAAAGTTAAACCAACAGTACTTATTGGTGCTGCTGCTATTGGTGGAGTGTTTACAAAAGAAATTATACAAGAAATATCGTCTTACAATGATCATCCAGTAATTTTTGCCCTGAGTAACCCAACTAGCAAAGCTGAATGTACTGCTGAACAAGCATACACTTATTCAGATGTATGTATTATATATTCCCATAGATAATACTCATTTAAATAATTGTATTAATATTATAATATATTTAGGGCAAAGCTGTATTTGCTAGTGGTTCACCATTTAATCCATTCACTTACAAGTCAAAAACTTACTATCCAGGCCAAGGAAACAATTCATACATATTCCCTGGAGTAGCTCTTGGAGTTATTTGTGCCGGAATTAAGACAATATCAGAAGAAATTTTCATCATTGCTGCTCAAGTATAGTCTTTGGCACTTCAAATTTATTATATTTACATGTTAATGATTTTTGAACTAATTCACAGATTTTAGCTGAACTTGTGACTGAAGAAGATTTGGATAATGGTAGCCTATACCCTCCACTTCAATCTATTCAAGAGTGTTCTTTAAAAATTGCTTCCAAAGTAATTGATTATGCATACAAAATTGGTGTAGCCAGCACATTCCCAGAACCTGAGGACAAGATTGAATTCATTAAGGCCCAGCTGTACGATTATAGTTATAGTTCAGCATTGCCACCCTCCTATACTTGGCCAAAACTGTGATTATATAATTTCTTGAAATGGACATATATTTTTAAAAGCCAAACTAGACAGGTTATTGTCAATAAGGCAATAATCGTTTCATATATATTTACACTCAATATACAAACTTAGTAATTTCAATAATATTAAAAATCATGTTTAATTTTTTTGACCTTTTTTAATTGGGTGTAGGTGAATAACTTTTATATTTTCTTGGTCACTTTATTCTTTTATTTTAAGTTATGTACTTCTTTTGTGTGCGTTGGAGTTGTAATCAGCAGTAGAATTATATTTGTTTTTATTTGTATAACTTAGTGTGTAATTTTATTTGTTAAATAAATCAATCAAATTTATAAATTAATTGTTGTGATTAATAATACAACAATCCTTTACATAAAATAAAAATATTTGTTAAAGTGGTTTAAGGTAGATTTTTAAGATTATCAATTGTAATTTTTATTTCATTGGTTTTGTGTTTCTACATTATTGATAAAAGGTTATAACCTACCAAGGTTAAGTTATTATTAATTAGTGATACCCAGACAGGTCTAGAACTTTAGATGCTAAAAGCCACATACTGTAAGGGAAATATATCTTTAGCCATTTATGTATGTTTCAATAAATTTGGTAAAATTACCTATTGTTGATAATATAATAAAATGTGAGACAGTAGGAATGTTTGTTTTTAAACAAAAAAATATATAAATACTACACATTAACAATTATAAAATAATTAAAATATGCCTATCAGGAAAAGGGGGAATTCACCTTTCCCTATTAAAACACATATACACACACTAAATTAATATACTATAGACTATTATATTTTAAGTGTAATATACAATTTTAAATGGCCAACAATTTTTATTAAAATTATTTCATAGAATATTATCTGATGGAACTGTGACAAAATGTTATTAGACATTATATTTTAAGTCAACGGAATGTTTATATTGTATAGAATATTAAATTTTTTCTAGAAAGTGTACAATTGCACTAAATAAATCATGGGTTATTGTTTTAAAAATTGGAGTACTTTAACTAAAAATATAAAATATTATATAAAGCATTTGATACATATCACTTATTTATTCTTCACTCGCACTTGAAATTTTCAATGTCATATAAATAATAGTAAAAAGGAACATTATAATGAAATAAATTAAAGGAACTTCCAGTATAACAAACTTACTTAGTAAAAATGTATTTAAGAATTTAAACACAAATAATTTGTAGAAGTCCATTTTATGTAATTAATATAATATATACATACATTATTTATACAGAAAAAAAAACCAACAAAATACATGGTACAAAATTACAATAGTTGTAAGTTTTTCAAGTTATTAAAAAAAAATAAACGATAATTAAACAAAATGATCGCGCCACATCCCACATTAACAGTCATAGTTAAATTATTATATTTATTAGAATAATTAAATGCTATTATGTGCTTAAACACACAATTCATTTTTAAGTAATATAATTTTTCTATATTACATGAACGTAAAATTAGAACAGTAGATGCTGTGTATGTTTTTAAAAAATATTTAAAAATAATTTTATAGATTGGAGGTGATCATTTAAATAGGTATGTAGTGAGATCCTGTTGGTAATGTTTGGTGATCATACAATAGGTTAAACGATCAATGGAATATTTGGAGCACAAAGAATATGAAAAATGTATTGAGTGTTCTTAGTAGTTCAACGTTTTAAATTATTTTTGGCATAATGAATACATCTTTTCACTTAAAAGGAAAACCTGGTATAATTGTAACTCCTGTTGGTTGAACTGCTTCAGTGAATGGTTTTTCATTTATTTGGTGCTAAATGGTATAACTCCATGTGTTTAAAAAATTCATCATTATTGGCATGTGTAATGGTACACAGATAACAAGTGAATCTCTTTGGCATTAATATGTGTGCATATTTGATGTGCGATTGGAGCGATTCATCTGTACTAAACCATGAATTGCATTCTTTACAACAGAATTTTTTATTGAGATTTTGCTTTTCGAAATAATGTCTGTGTTCAGCATTCTTATGTCTTTCAATGTCTCCGATACGGACAAACTTTTTTTCACACAAGCTGCACTTATAATTGTGCACTTTCAACAAATGATAACCAAGATCATAAATATTTTTAAACTGACTGTCACAAAAATCACATATTAATTGAGTTTCTGTTGACAGTTTCTCTGGTTTACTTTGTTTAGTATTGTGTGTATTAGTCATTTTAGTGCGAGATATTTTAATTTTTTGTTTGTGCTCAGCCCATAAATGATTTTCTAAGTCAATATTACGAACAAATTTTTTTTCACATTGGAGACATTTGAATTTGTGATCTATTGCTAAGTGTTGTTTGAGTTGAGTTTTGTTTTTTAATATTACATTACAAATATTGCAAAAGTATTGAGCATATTTGCTGACCTGCTCCTTATCATCTACTTCTTGTTGGCACAGCTGAAGCTTTTGGTTTTTACATGGTTTAACAAATTTTGATAAGTTATTGCTATACATGTTTACATCATTCGGCACAGTTGGCAAAACACTTTTGGTTTCTTTGCAGTTAAATTGTTTTCTGTCTGGCAAGTTTTCCATATTAATATCAACTAACATTTCAATATGGGAATTTTTTTTATAGTTACCATGCATGCTCTGTGTATGTTTTTTTAACGTATTTTTCCGAATAAATTTTTTATTACAAAACAAACATTTATTTTTGTGCTCAGTTTCTACATGTCGGTAGAATTTATTTAGATTTGTATACTGGCCATTACAAATACTGCAAATGTACCTTTTATGTTCATTATAATTGGATTGAGCAGCAACTTCCTCTGGCAGTTGATAATTGTGCAACTTAAGATTTTTCGCTTCTTTCAATTGACTATGTTTTAGTACGTTATTGATATCGCTGCAATTGGTCTGGGATATGGTTGGCAAAATATTCTCAAAATCAGATAATTTATCAATTTTATTAATATGCATTTCATTTGAGATATTAACCACAGTCTCTCCAGAAACAATGTTTTCCTGCCAAACATCTTGTGTTTGATTCTGTTGATCATATTCCAGCACATCATTGATATATGTATCATTTTGTACGATTGGCAAAACACTTTTATCTTTGCTACAGTTAATTTGGTGTTCATGTGAATCTTTTTTAATAAAATCCGACTGAAGCTTTAGCATTTCATCTTGTTGACTTAATGCGACAGCACCTGTTTTTTTCACGCAGACATTTTCATTATGCTGAATATGCATAACCTGTATATGTTTCTGTAAAGTGACATTACGAATAAATTTTTTTTGACATTCTGAACATTTATACTTATGGTCATTTCCTTTGTGGCTATTGAATTCACTTTTGGTTCTAAACTGCCCTCCACAAATATTACACATAAACCCTTTAAGTTTGTTGACGTGCATCTTTTCATCATATGGATAAGGTACTGTTTCTTGCAATTGATTGTTGTAAGACTTTTCATGTTCTTGTACATTATTTTCATGTGTATGCTCATCATTCGGCACAATTGAAAAGATGTCTATATTATTACTACAATTAATCTGGCGTATTTTATCACAATCCAACTTTATCATTTTATCCAGTTGATTTGTTGGTAAACCAACATGTTCTTTTAGAATGCAGGAATTTTGGTTATCATTATCATGAGTGCTAATATGTCTCTTCAAAGTTAATTTACGAATAAATTTTTTTTCACAGTGAGGACAGTTAAGGTTGTGAACAGTAGCAGAGTGATTTTGGAGTACTTTATTGCCACTAAACTGGCCACCACAAATGTGACATTCAAATTCTGTCTGTTTTATAACTATCTTCTTTTCATCATATGGATTAGCCGTTACATTTTTAGGCATTTGCTTATTATTAGAAACAAGATGTGATGTCCTATTATTACTGCGGTTCATCTGATATACTGCTGTTTGATTAGCTGAATCATCATTTTTAATATTACCCGGCTGAAGTTGTAGCATTTCATCTGGTTGACTGGATGTGTTAATATGCCCATTTTGAATGTAGGAATTTGCGATATCATGAAGATGAATACTTTCACAATGTTTCTTCAGGGCACAATTACGAGCAAATTTTTTTTCGCAATAACGACAATTAATATTGTGAATAAGAAGAGAGTGTCTTTTCAATGAACTTTGACCACTAAAACGGCCGTCACATAAATCGCACACATGTTCTGTATATCTAATGACCGGTTTCTTATCATCGCACGGATAAGTAACATTATTTGAGATAACTGACAAAATGCCTATATTTTTATTGCAATTAATCTGAGATATTGCTGCTTGATTAGGTAAATGATCTTTTTTAATATTACCCGGCTGAAGTTGTAGCATTTCATTCTGTTGACTGGATGTGTCAATATGCCTTTTTTGAATGCAGGAAATTGCGGTATCATTAGCATGAATACTTTCACAGTGTTTCTTCAGGGCACAATTACGAGCAAATTTTTTTTTGCAATAAAGACAGTTAATATTGTGATTAAGAAAAGAATGTCGTTTTAATGAACTTTGACTACTAAAATGGCCGTCACATAAATCACACACATGTTCTGTATGTTTAATGACCGGCTTCTTTTCATCGCACGGATAAACAACTGTATCTTGTGATTGTATGTTGTGATGCAAAAGATTTAGGTTTTCATTCTGTTGATCATGTTCATGTATGTTATTTTTATGTGTTTGCTTATCATTTGGCACAATTGGTAAACCACCTTTATTTTTACTGCAGTTAATCTGGTCTTTACCAGCTTGCATATCCTCAAATTTAACATGTTCATTAACTTTTTTCTGTACAGTAGTAGATTTATTGACCAGAGTGATATTGCTTTGTATTTGGGCATTGGGTTTGAAATATGGATGACTCTGTGTATTAGTGCAAATTGACTTGGGTATGTTTGTAGATTGTTTGTGCAAAACTTGCATATGTGATATCATGGTTCTTCTATTTACAAAACTTTTGGCACATATATTACATGTATATGAATATTTAAAATTTGAATGATTATTAGTGTTTAGTGTGGTTGCAAAATTGGTATATTCATCACACATAATGTTCATTGATGAAGTACAATTTACAGATCCGACACTATTTATTTTCATTCCAGTTTGTTTAAAAACAGGAATGACATTAGATACATTGTTCTTTGCATTTACTTGCAAGCTTGTTGTTTTATTTATATTAGTTTTATCACAGTTTATTTGTGATTCGTAAGGTTTGAGCATTGTTGTTTTATTTAAATGATGATTGGGCTCATTGACAGAAATTTCTGTATTGCTATTTTTGTTTTTTAGTTTGTGTACATTATTTATATGGTTGTGCTTTTTCTCTATATGCTTATTGTATTCATGTTGGTACATGAATTGGAGGTCACATGTAAAGCATATGAATGTATGTGTTAGCTGTGTATTCTTTTTAATATTCTTGAGATTTTTCGTTTGGCCCATAATGTCTTTATTAATTTCTATATTGGTCTGTGGCTTGTTTACTTTAAAAAATTGACTACACTTTTCAGCAAGACTTTTATTTCTATTGGTTTGAGGTTTATTCAAATGACTAACCCCAATATTTTGTATTCCTATACTGGTCATTTCCAAATCCGTCGGTAGTTCATGCACTTCAATAAATTTATCTAATTCATCAAAGAGAATGTTATTAAGGTGGGTTTGTGACTTGTTCACACCCTCAGTGTTTTTCATTCCTATGTTGTTTACTGGAAGGATATGAACATCATTAATGTGTTCTGCCAAGTTTCTAGAGCCACTGAGTGTTTGGGACTCATTAATATGAATTGACATATTTTTAACTATTTGAAATTGGTTTGTTTGAAAAGACAGAACATTAGTAGTTTGATTAGTATTGACATCCATTTCGTTTTTATGCATAATATCTTTATGGTTCTGCATGGTTTTCATGCGGACAAATATTTTGTCACAAAAATTACATTTGTGGCTGTGTATTCTTTCTATGTGCAGTGAATATTCAGATTTCAATAATTGGAGATCACATTTATGGCATGTTTTCTTTGACATATTTACCTCAGTATCTGACACACTCGCCTTATGATATTTCCTGAAACATGATTAAGCATAAGAATAAAAAAAAAAACAAGAAAACTAAATTGCAGCTTCATAATAAATTATTAATCACTTAGCATAGAAAAATGTTACAGTAAAAATAAGTGAAAATGTGAAAACTATAACAATTTATCTATTGTATCTATTATAACTACTTGTACTTACAATGAATTAGTAATGTCATTTTTCTTTTTAATGTCAACTTTTATGTTCAAATCTTGAATTTTCTCTATAAAAAAATGATCAATAGTTTATAAATTATTTATGTAATATACAAAGTAATGTATTAAATATACTGATAATATATAAATGTTATGAATATCTAAATTGATCAAACATAAAAATACAACTATTAATCATTTACTAATATTTAATTATTATGTTATTTTTATTTTAAATAATAATTTTATTTAGGCAATTATGCCCATTTTTGAAAAATTTCAATATAGGGGTATTTAAAATTAAAATACCACAAGCGTGCTAAATACTAACCACATTTTTTTAATTAATAGGAATTTTTTTTTTAAAAAATAATTATTTCCAATACATTGTAAAAAATATTGCCTCATCTAACCTAACTTAAAACCAAATTAGACAGTCTATACAATGTATTATTTTTCAAAAATTTGTATAAATTCTACTTATGGTCACTTTCCCCAGCATAAACAAAGTTTATCTGTTTTTTAAACTGATAGTATTATTTATTTATCAACGGGCTTAGAGCTCAATAAAATAATACTATTTCAGTAATAAACAAATTAAAAAAATAAAGCATAAACATTAAATTAAACAATAGAATCAATTTAAATAACTGGAAAAAAAAAATATATACTAAACAAAACAATTTAAGAAAAACTTAAGTGCTCATTACCCATGAATATCTTTTACAGTGAATGGGATTATTTCTACTATTGGTGTTGTGGAATGAAACAACAAAGAAAGAATTAGACCCAGTTTGGTGAGAAGGAACTTTACTCCTGTTACTGGAGAGAAATACAGTCACTGTTGTAGGTGGGTAGTGGGGAAGGTAGGTTACATAAAGTTATTTAATTTTTACCTGTAAACAACAATAAACCAAAGATAAAAAATCAATTCAAAGCGAAATTTGGTAATACATGTTTTGAAAGGCAGTAATATAAATGATTTTCATCAACATTTGATTTTAAAACTTATACAAAACAAAAAAAAGGTTAATATTCGGAGATTAATTGTTGACACGGATTAGTGGATTTGCTACCAGTAGTTTATGGTTGTTTTATTAATTTGTTTTGCTCATTGCTAAATTTTACTGGCCCTCTCCCTATAAATTAATGTACACCTCTCCAGTCCCCAAAAAAGGTCTGGCTACCCCTATAATCACTGATATATAAAGACACAAGTTTAATGAAAATCAATTTTAAAAAAAAAATTGTTTTGTTGCCCTACCAGTAACATTTAACAGCCCCCTAGGCTGCATCCTTTTAAACCTATTGGTTAATCAGGCTCAATCATTAACAAAATATCATCCACTTGAAAAAACGCTCAAGTATCTCCATCAAAATTACTGATGGAAATGGCATGTGTAGAATCACTGAAATATCATTCAAAAATTGCTTTCAGTAGGGCCTTAACTTAAATTTGTCAGTCGCGATTTTCATTGAAGTAATATTTTTGGTAGAAAACTTAAGTATAACACATAGAAAATAAAAAAAAACTGTAAGGCATGCCGCAAATATATATTATAATCTTCTTTTGGGTTATCTCAATTATTTCAAAAACTCCTTGGAAAATCAAAAAATTACCTCCCAATGCACCAACCAGAGAAAATTACCTTCTAGAAAACGCGCTATAAGTCTATACTTCAGAGAAAGTTTTCGGAAAAAAAAAGTAAAACCAATAGATCCCTTGCTATGCTCCGAATCTAAAGACTAAACATCATTGTAAAACCAATACATTCCTCCACTCAGAATCTAAAATGTAAATTTTTCAACTGATTACTTTATTGAAACATTTAAGTAAATTTTCAAGTTTCTTTTGTTTTTAAAAAAGGTTAAAATAGCACATATATAAATAAATACTTGCGTACTTGCCTAATTATATTAAAAATTATGTGAACAATCAATATTATAATTTCTTTTTATAGATTGTTAATCTGAATACTCTTTAGGTTAGGTTATTTACATCATTCATTTGATATTTGAGATCATAAAGTAAACCATTTATAACATTCATTATAATTAATATTTTAGTTTATTTAGCCTCTATGGCCACTCTAGCGCACAACTATTTCAGCTTGATGATTGCCAAATTCTCCAACTTAATCCACCTTCTAAAGCAGCGTTTCTCGACCAGGGGTACATATACCAGGGACTATGTGAAAAAATGAAATTTGGTGTATTTGAAATTGGTTTATTTGTGAAATATTTAATAATTTAAAAATTTTTAATGCTAAGGTTCAATAGTTATCACGAAGCAAAGTCCTTACTCGTTTGTTTGAACTGACATGAAGTGTCAACCTATCTGATGTTATTTTTTAAAATAAAATGATTTAAATTTGGCTCTTCAAATCAATGCAGTGAAAATATTTCAAATTATTGACAAAATAGAATTTTTTATTAAAAAGTTAGAGTTTTAGAAGTCATGTATTAAGAATAATCAACCAGAAGTTTTTGAAACATTGCACGATTTTCCGTCTGAAAATTATATGAACCTATCACAAGACATCAAAAATCAAGTTGTTCAACATTTTAATGGATTCAAGGTAGCTTTTAATATTATTAAATAAAGACCACTAGATTGCGATTCTTTTCAATGAAAACTATTTTGAATCTGCATTTTTTTTCAGAGTACGAGAAAAAAAAAACTGATAGAACTGAAAACAACTTTTTCACTTGAGGTAGCATTTGAAAAGAAATCCATCATGTCTTTTGGACTGACATAAAATAAGAATATCCTAAGCTTTCATATAAAGTATCTAAGTATATAAAGTTCTGCTACTGTTCATTTACACAGTATTGATAGATAGGACTTGTTTGTCATACACATACATTAAAATTAAGTATTGTAATAAACTCTTCGTGAGTTCAGATTTCCGAGTTTAGGAGCCCGATTTTAAAAAATTCAGTGCAAGCAAACAAGCCAAAGAATCTCATTAAATTAAACTGTAACATTAAAATTTTTTTAGATACCTATTCAGTTTTCCTCAAGTTATATTCCCTATTGGGTTCTTTTCTAGCGCAATAGTCTATAGTAGTGAGTTTTAGTATTTGGATATTCCCCTGTATAACAATATTAGCAGATATTTTTTTTTTTCAAACATATTATAATAATACTTTGAACAGGAATTGTCAATACTGGACAATTTCTACGATAATATTGTTTAATATATTTGTTTTAGCTTACCACATATTCTTATTGTACATATTAAGTATAACATTTAAACATTAAAAAAATAAAAGTATTTTTACAAAATTGAATTAAATTATATTGAAGTATAAAATAAAGATAATGACCGTCACAGAAAAATTAAAAATGCTAGGAAAATAATAGGTATTAGATAATACATACTTTAATATAATAAAATTAAATTTTGTAAAATTATGAATGCATTGATTATTACATTTTTTTACAACATTAAATTATTAAAACTATTATTATTATGGACTTTAAAAAGCGCTAATATAAAAGAAATAGAAACATTTGAAATGTGGTGCTTTAGAAAAATCTTGAGTATATCTAGAGTAGATTGAATTACAAATTTAAAAACGATGGGGAGAATGGAGAAAGATAAGGAAGTAATACGAACAATCAAAACAAGAAAGTTGTGATATTTTGAGCTACATGGTGAAAAAATCAGAGGGATGCCTAGAACAATTGGTTACAAAATCTGAAGCAATGGTTAAATCGCAACAAATAAATATTCAAATTAGCCCAAGATAAAAATGTAGTCACGATGTATTCCAACATCCAATTGGGCAGGAATGTCAAGAATAAGATTATTATCATGATATACTACCTTTTTTTTTCAGAGAGGGAAAATCTACTAGATTCATTGGTTTTAACTTTTCCATTCAAGCAATCACTGTCCAGTAAATCCTTAATTTTTTTTTATGAACTCTAATATATTTTTTTCTCCCAACATTATCTGTAACTATCTGTTTTCCCTATTTCAAGCAAGATAAATGTATATGTACCTAACAATAGAAGCCAACTAATGAAATTAGTTACTCTTAGTTATGCATGCTCACTTGTATAACAACAATAATAATAAAAGAATTTGTTATCAAATGCCAACCAATAAAAAATGTTTAGTGTCTTCTACTTTTCTTCAATTTTCATAATTACAATACTGAAAAGAACCATTTAATGTGCATAAAATGAGCAATGATTGGTATAAACAAAGTAGATAAAATTTGATCTTTACTCCATTAGAGGGTGAGGCATCAATTTCATATTTTTCCTATTACCACAGGAATAAAGATTGTATGAAAAAGTGATAACTAAACCTATAGATTAAATTGATTAGGACATTACCACTAGTGCTCTTAGTAGATTGCTCATTTATTATGTCCGTCGAGGTATAAAAAGTATATTCGACTGCATAAATTTATATTTTAATTAATTTTGTAATAATACATTAAAAATTAAAGTTTTAACACTTGCTAGTGTCATTTTACCTGATTCCACACAAACGTCATCTGATTCAGAGCTGATTGATACAGATTTTTTTTCTTTTGGTTTATGTTTATGATTCTGTACACACATAGAATAAATATGGTCACTACAATTTGGCATGACAGAATCAGATGTTGATTCATTACCCGACTGATTATCTTGAACCTAATTTTAATTACATAAAATAAAACATTAATTAAATAACATGAAAAACAAAACTTATTAAAAGCATAAGAACTTAATACTACAATCAAGGGCATTAATGAAATTCACTGCATTTAAACCACTAACTAATTACTAAGATAATAACATTGATTTTATAATACACAGGTACAAATAAGTCGTGCTGGAGAAGAGACCGGTAACACATAAATGCTAGCCACCACTATGAAGCGCTGGCGGTAGTCGCTAGCAACTGGAATGTTAGCCCCACCATAGGTAGGTAAAGGTGGAAGAGGTGGCTAGCGACCACGGCTGAGCAGTGTGACCACAGTATTAATAATAAATTATGCGTCACCATAAGCCTGTTCACGTCGTATGGAGTTTTCCATGTAATTTGGTATTAAAAATGGAAGATAAAGAAACTTCAGATACTAGTTCAGAATCCAGATACAGTATGGAAACAGAAAATATATTAGTTTACACAACATAAGTCACATTAAAAGATTGTTCTGTGACTTATTTCGCTAGATATCTAGCATATAAATGCATATAAAAATTTAATTGTGAACATTTTAAAGATCAATTGGTTGTAGAAAAAATTTTAAATGACAAAAATCAAATCCTTATTAAACATACAAATGATTATTCATCATTTAACTTAGAACTTAAAGTATATTATAAAATCAATAATACTATGGTCTTTAAAACAAAAGTGATAACATCATGGACATCAAAGACATAATAAATATGTTCTATGATTTATGACACCCTCCTCCCTAGCAAGAAGGAACTATCTCTTTTTAATTAAATCTCTGTATTTCCCCCTCTGTGAAAACTAAGCTTCAAAATTCAATCAAAAGAGTTGGTTCAGTTACCACTTGCCAGTCTATATTATTTAAAATCATGATAACACACATTTTGAGAAAAAAAAAAATTAACTCTAAAAACAAGCAATGATGCTAAATTGCATTTGTTCTCAATCAGGTAATATTTAATAGTAAATGGTTATTGTATACAAGTGGTAGTCATCAATACTCAATAGAAATTAAGTTAATATTTTTTTTTTTTTAAAAAGAATAAGAATAGTATTTACTTTAGGAGTGTTTTAACGATGCAGTTTTGATGAACCTACATACTAGTTTAGCAAATAATTTTCTTTAGCATTAAGTTTACTGCAAATATTTAATAATTGAATGTACTACGTGTTCAGCAGCCAGATTACAAGAATAACAAACAATTAAAAACTATATTAACTGTCTTCGATTACTCGTTAAAAATTAGTTAAGTATTGTATAGTAAACAAAACGTTTAGTGATAATGCAACCATCTAACCAAACTGAAAACTAAATTACCAAAACATATATTTTGATTAAATAAACAAAAACCCACATCTAAAAAGTTATATAATATACAATTACTTTAATTACCTTACCACCTATTTTGTGAATTTTTGCATTGTAATTATTAAATACCTACTATAATTCCTTACATTAAATAGGTTAAACATAAAATACAACATTAAATACATTAAACTTACCTACTTATTATAAATTATTATTAAATAGAATATCAAGGTAAATTATTTATTATATGTACATTTAAAAATAAAGCTTACCATATTATTTCCCAAGTCATCATGAGTACTTGATAAACTAACTCCGTCATTTGTGTCTTCAGCTATAAATGATATTAAATCATAATACCATAGGAGTGGTACGTAAAAGTCTTGTGTAGATGAATTTTTACATTTAGATTTTTGAACTTTGTCCCGCTCTCTTAAAAAAGAATTTCGTAAATTCTTTATTTTTTTTTTTACAAATGCTTTATCTACTCTAGTATGTTTTTTTTTTGAGAATTCAATTAGAGCTGCTATGCCTTTTTCGCGTAAATGTTTGTCTTGGGATATTGGGCTTTTGAAGTTCCATAAAGCCGGATGGCTCTTGTATATTATAATGAAATCTTTTATAAAATCTTTATCTGGAAAACTCATAATGTATTTGTATAAATTGGTTACACATACAGATACAAATTATACTATTTAATGAAAAAAACAACACTTTTTAAATGAAGAGACAATCACTGAAACAGATGACAATATGAGATGACGCCTGTGAAGATTGCTCCGACGAGCGTTAGACATAGAAATAACAATTAATCGAAGCACGAGTCAGAACAGAAGGGCATCCGACAAATAACCACCCGAACAAAGGCATCCGACAAATAACCACCCGAACAAAGGCCTCCATACAATTCTACCAACCTAACCAATCATATATTACAGTAGGATAATTTTATTGTGTTTATGTCGACAAAGAGTCACTGAAATTAAATATCAAAATAAATTATACTTGTAAAATGTATACATCGATGTTGTAAATTCATGGCATTTGTTTCAACTGCATTTTATGTTGTTTTTGTAAGTTATACAGCGTGTCTCAAGAGGATACGACAAATACAATAACTTTTGTTCGATTCAATATTTATGATTTTTTTTTTAAATAATTGGTATGCCTTAGCGCTATATTTTATATACGGATTTTTTTTGGGGGAGGGGGACTTAAAATAAATAATTTAAAATTATACTATACTTTTTTTTAAAAATTCAAAATAGCCATTTTGTAAAATAGATTTCTAGATAAATTTTGGTGGTTGAAACTTTTGTTAAAGTATAGTCTTTAATTTTCTATGATTTTTTTGAAAATTTTCTTTTCAATAACAATATTGTTTATCAACATAAATTACCATTATTGATTGATTTAAAACTACCCCATCACCAAGGTCTTAGAATATAACTATAACATAATATTATTGCATGATATTAACTCATGGAAAAGAAAATTCTGACTAATAACTGAATAGCCACAATAGGTAATATTCACATTACCAAAAACTTCAATAAATCCTAGAAAATAAAAGACCATACATAAACAAAAGTTTCAACCACCAAAAATTTTCTAAAAATCTATTTTAAAAAATGGCTATTTTGAATTTTTTAAAAAAAATTAAAGTAAGTTTTAAATTTTAAGTCCCCCTCCCTTAAAAAAAAAAAATCATATATAAACTGTAGGCCTGAGACTTACTAATTACTTAAAAAAAATGTATGTCAAAATTATTGAATAGAATAAAAGTTAATGCATTTATTGAATCCTCGTGAGACACTCTGTAAAGCAAGTACCAATGTAGGTACTATTGCGAACCAAGAAACAATTTTGAGAGTTCAGTTGATAGTATTACTTCGACAACAATATTACCTAATACCTGCTATATTATGGTAAAATAATTACATAGGTATTATAAATTTTTTTGAATAATATTTGTTTAATATTGTATCCATTTTCCCGTTTTTCCATTTATTGGAAAAACTCCTGGGAAAATAAATAAATGATCTTAAAGTACCTCCCCAGTCAGATTTCCTTTAGGAAAAAGCACTATCATTGTAGATTGGAGCAAAATTACTAGTACAAATATTGTTCACAAGAAAAAAAGTTTTTATGCTATTCAGTATTATTTTTTAATGTATATAAATAGAGTAAATAAATATATAAATATATTTTTATATTTACATTTTTTATTTATATATTTCTTTACGAGTATTAACCATTTTGATAATTTTGTTTTTAATTTATTATTTTATTATTTATTATGGCAGGCCAAGCCAATGTTCCAACTCAGTTAATGAACAAGTTTGAATATTTAAGTAAGAAATTAATGAATATCTACTTAAATAAAAATTGTAAGAAATCAAAATTCGTTCCAAAATACATCAATATACATATCAAATATATACCTGAAGCTGCAATTAAAGTCAAGAAAGTTGCAGAGACAATATAATTGAACTCTGAAATACAATTTTTATTCAGCAAAAAACACGTAATAGTAGGAGAGATTAATAATTTAGAAACAATTTTATCCCAAAATTTAAACCACTTACAGATTTCACACTTTAAAAATCACTAAATAGGAAAAATAAAAAATGGCGTAGGGTTAATGATCAAATTAATATTTTAATAGCACAAAATACACAAAAATTACTACCTAAAAACTATCATTCTTTTCAACCATGAGTAACTAATTTAATTTCCATAATTTTCTAAAAGCTGAAAACAATCTATTAAATAAAGGTAATAAATTCAATACATATCAAACACATTAAACTTTCAATCAATTAAAAAACAATTAATACAATGTGAATCCTTTATAAATTATATATAATTTCAAAATCAAAATCAAACAAGATATAATTTAATAAACAGCACCAATAAAAACTATAAAAAAAGGCCCAATAAATATTAAAAATAAATAGTGTAGTTAAATAACAAAATACAATTATTAACAACATAGTAAATAAATTAAAAACAAATAATTCAAAAATAGTTCCAGTAGATAAATCAAATCCTTTTTCATTTAAATTAATGAAATATATTAAAAAACTTTGGATTCTATAAATAATAATAATATTCAAAACTTAACATATGACCCAACTATAATTTACTTACATTAATTAAATAAATAAACCGATAACAAATTCGAAAGAAATCATACCTAAAGTCTAAAAGAAAATATTAATAAAATCTGATTACAAAATAGATGCTCCACACTTACTTCATAAAATTACATAAACAAGATAATCCAATTCATAATATTATTTATCTAATTATTTTATAAACAATTTTAAAAACACAAAAATTACTGTTATGTTTTGCGTACAATTTTTAAATTTGAATAACAAATGATTAAAAAGTTATGATAACTTTTTTTAATTCTCAAATCAAAACTTAAAAAAAAAACCCAGGACAATGTTAACTATTAATAATAATAACCAAAATATAATAGATAATTAATTAAATACTAATGAAAGAGTAGAATGGAATGGCTGTTAATATTAATTATTATTTTACACTGTAAAATTAGGTATATATATGTATATGAATAATACGTAGTTTATCCAAAATATTCACAAGCTGAGTGTCTTTAGTGGTTCAAAATGTAGATAATAATTTATCTATACCTATTAGTACTATTAGTTAGTAATAGCTAACTAGTTGACTGCCGAGCTATTAACACAGATAAAGTTATATTCAGTTTTGTTTTACTTTTTTTCCTGCCTTTTGCAAAAGTGGTAACTAATGAATAAATGGAACAATCAATGAATGATTATCAAATTTTTGATGAAATTTAAAAAAACATCATAGGAATTTAATAAAATATTAATTACTATTAATAGAGATAATGTCTTAAAAACAGCTATTTTTAAGTGTATTAAGTATTTTATCGATGATGTGAAGACTTTAAACACAATGTAAGATCAGGATGTCCTTCCACTTTACACAAAGACCAAAACATGGAACATGTGCAGTCTTTTGTGCTTGCTGACTAACAAATGACTGTTCAGATGATAGTTGATAAGCTAAATATGGGAAAATTATTAATACATAGAATTTTGACTGATAATTTGGAATTTAGAAAGTTATGTTCATTTGTAATCCTGGCTCAAAATTCTATAATAATACTTCACCACTGCTCTCCAAGACTTAATTCCCAGTGATTTATTTTTATTCTCAAATTGCAAAATGGTTATGAGGGAGCGGTACAGGGATGATGGGAATACCATCAAACATATAACAATGAAGCAACTGAAAAGCCTAAAGATGTTTTGAGCAATGAGATCGGCGATGGGACAAGTGTATTCTAATCAATGAGAAGTATTTAAAAGGATACAGTTAATTTGCAATAAACAATTTATTATATAAATTAGGTTATTTTTTAGACACTACGTGTTAAATACTAAATAAATAATTAATAACATTGAAAAATATATTATGTAGTAGCAAATAAATATAACAAAGATTTAGCAAATTCTATTATTTCTGATCCCCCTAGTTTAGACTCTCCGTAAACTCTATCTACAAATGTTATTGGGACTTCACCAATACTATAATTAAGTTCCCTAGCACGTATCATCATCTCCATTTGAAATACATAACCTTTTGATACACATGATTCTATCAATTTTTCCAAAACTGGCTTTTTATATAATCTGAAATAAGAAAAAAATTTGGTATAATAAAATGGTATTTAATCTGAATAAAAATATTAATTTACCTAAAACTCCCAGTGAGATCAGAAACTTTGGGTCTCAATAATAATTGGGTGACAAAATTAGCACCACGACTTACTAATTTTCTTTTTAAATCCCAACCATTAACTCCACCATTGCCTATATATCGTGATCCAGTCACAATATCAAAATTCTGTTCATCTTGTTTTTTAATAAAATCTGGTATAAATTTTGGCTAAACAATATTATAATAATAATTTAATTAAAATTAATAATTTGCTTAGTAATCAAATTGTAACTAACATGATGAGATAAATCAGCATCCATTATTATAACGAAGTCCCCAGTGGCATGTTTCATACCATGAATATACGCAGTGCCCAATCCAAGTTTTTTTCCTCGGGGTCTTAATAACTGAAACGTAAATTAATATCAACAAGAACTTAAAAAATATAAATATATTATTTCTTACTATTTTATTTTTTCCATATATGGTTTCAAGTTGTTTGGCAACTTCCAAAGTTCCATCTGGGCTTCCATCATCTATTATAATTATTTCATACTCTATTCCACTATAATCAATAGTTAAATGAATAAATTATTGTTCATAAGCCAATGATGATTTATCCTAAAATTTACTATTTATTTATTTGTTTAAATTCATATAAATATATATACAGGGTGATTTTTTTATCATGAACCAGCAATTATCTCGGAGGATTTTAAGTGAATTTGATTTCTGTTTTTTTCTAATCATTATAGAATCATTTAAACTTTATTTTAAAATCATTTTTAATTTTTATTCCAACTCCATATACCTTAAGTACATACTTTTGATTTTCCATTTGTGAAATATAACAGTTTACAATTTAGACCAGAGGAGTAGAGAATGGTAATAAATCTGATATTAGTATTATGTATAATAAAATTTCTAGAAAAATATTCTCTATTCTAATCTGTGTTCAAAAAGGGAGGAGGTTCCTATTTGAAAATCAAATGTATGTACTAACTTATGGTATATGGAGTTGGAATATAAAATTAAAAATGGTTTTAAAATAAAGCTTAAACAATTCTTTAATGATTAGAAAAAAACAGAAATCAGATTCATTTAAAATTTTCCGATATAATTGCTGGTTCATGATAAAAAAATCTCCCTGTATATATATTTATATATATATATAAAGTTACGAAAACCAGATGTAGTATTTTAACAGAAATTAATATAAATATTATAGGCACAATTTAGCCAAAAACACATTTTATGTACAATTATACTAGTTTTCTGTGTCCATAAGGTACTTATTATTAATTGTATTGCAAAAGTTATTGTATTATTAGCCTCTATCGGTTATATATTAATATAAAATTAAGAACAATACACAAGTAAAATTAAATATTTACCCCCAAACATACATTTTATAATGCCTAAGTTTTCGAAAATATAACATAGCAGTAATTAAATTTTTCAATAGTCACACATAGATTTTAAACATTTAAAATTTGCAATGAAAATAATTTATGTTAGCTACCTAAACTGAACACATAGACACTTAAACTCAGTACATAGGTCATTAACATGAAAATAAGAAATAACATAAAAAAAAAAATAAGAAAACGCATGAGCAGTAAAGCTTTGTCACTAGTCTAATTTTTCCCCAACTAATTTGTTACCATAATAATATTACATAAGTTTGTAAGGAAATTTAACTAGGTATTTCTTGTGAAAACATGAAATCTGAGCATAAAAATGGTTGAGGAGAGTTAAAAGTTAAAACCACCAAACACTTTGCATATACAAAACTCCATAACCCTGGTAATTTGTTTTATTTGAGGGTCTCTAGTGGTGTACTAAAAAAATTAGGGGAAGAAGATATTGGAGGAATAAAAATTAATGGTAGGTATTATAATACAAATGTTGCGTTTAGCAGACAACATAGCAGTGACAATAGACAGTGAAGAAAAATTAGGCAAAATGTTAACAAAAAGTAATGATAGCTGTAAAGAGTACAAAATTAATAAACAAGAATAAAACAAAAATACTAATATGTAGCAAGCAAGCATTGATTTTGAACATAACAACTTAAAATAATAAAAGCTGGAAACTGTTCAATGTTTTACAAAGGAAGCAAAATAACATATGATGGAAAAGGCAAGATGGACATAAAGATTAAAATAGCACAAGCAAAATAGTATTTTATAAGAAGAAACACCTATTCATGGCAAACAATGTTAGTCTGGAGACAAGAAAAACTGTAATAAAGAGTTTTGTATGGAGTATAGCTCTCTATGAGGCAGAACCATGGATAATACTCAAAGCGAAAAGAAAAAACATTGAAACTTTTGAAACATGGTGCTGGAGAAGAATGCTTGGACAGAGAAAATTAAAAATGGAGAAATATACCTAATAATGAACAAACGGAAAACAAAATGGAAAACGATCAAACGAAAAAAATAGATTGGACACACAATAAGAAACAATGAATGGATAATAACAATAATAAAAGAAAAAGCTGGAAGAGGTAGATCAAGAACATCATTTATTATGAAACAGATTATAGAAAACATAGGAAAAGTTAATTACAAAGAACTAAAAGTAACTGTAATGGAGAGACAAATGGAGATCCATCAATCTTTGAACTAATCTAAGGATTGTAAAAAAAAAAGGTGGTGTACAAAGCTAAAAAAACAAATTTTTCCTGCAATAATATGGTGAAGTTCTTATTGAAATACAACCAACATTTAATCACTTTAATTCGCTTATAAAAAAAAAACTAAAATTCGCAAGTTTGAGCCCTTTTGGTCATATATAAGTGTCCTAATGTACAGAGAAAAAGAAATATATATATACCTTTTTATAACACACATAATACAGTGCAATAGTTTTTAATTGCATGGAAAGTTCAACAAAAACACTCAAAACATGTATAAACAAATATGAGGAAATATTCAACATTTTTTTTAAACTTTAATTCCAATATTATTAATATTATACTTATAATGGGAAATGAGTACCTAGATGCATAATTACATACATTTATAAATTAGTACCCACATTATATGTATATATCTACTTAGCAAACAATTGATTTTAATACTTCGTAGATTTATTTTATTTTTAAGTACATTAAATTACATTTTAATTAAATAACCAAAATAAATTACCTAGGTTCCAAGTATTTATGTATTAGATAAACTATGACGGGTAAATTTTCTTTTTCATTGTACGTAGGTAGTAAAATTGAATATTTTGAGGACATCTCTGAGGGTCAGTTCTACAACTTAAAAAATAAATATCAGTCAGTATTTAACTTTGGGAGATCAAAAATCAACTTTTTATCTGTTCTTTTAACTGTGATTAAAACCTGTTAACTGAGGGTTGTTCAAAGACCAGCGTGTCAGTTAGAAATTGAAGTAATTGACTGTAATCAAAATAAAATACGGGTCATCAATGGATCGGGGCAGTTGTCCAAGATGATAAGAGCCAAACACGAAAAATAGTAGCGTCAAACGAGTTATACAACCTAAATTTATCCAGTATTTCATCAAAATAGTTTTTATTAATGTATGGGTACCAACTGTTTAATTATAACTATTATATTATAATAATATTATAGAGTAATCAAAGAATATTACTCGATGAAAAATATAATCATAAACTTAAAATATACAGACCGCATATTAGTGAAATATATTGAAACCGTGTGAAATATGTGAGAGAGACAAACTCTAGTGTTACTTTTTCAAGGAGGTTATAAGCAATTTTATAATAATCCTTAGTAATATTTAATTGGTTATTAATAACACAGACGGGATCGGGCCTATATTTGTTCTACAAAATTTGTGGAAAAAGTATTTTGTGGAACAAATGATTTTGGAAGAAGTGTTCAAAAACAGTATACTTGTGCCACAAACTATTTGTTAACTTAAACATTTAGTTCGATATACATTTCTTCCAAAATCTTTTGTCCAATGACCATTTGTTTCATAATATGTTTCTTCCATATTATGTTTTGTGGAACAAAAGTCCGTTTAAAAAAACATTTGCAAAACCAAAGTGTATTGGAATAAATTTTTTTGGTAGAAATGTCCACTAACCACAAAATATTTATTCCAACGTATTTATGTTCCACAAACATTTGTGTAACTGAAAATTGGGTTCCGTGTATTTTTTGAACGAGCAAGCCTATCGAGCAAATTCTTAAATTTTCAGTTTCAGTATTATACTGACGAAATTTGCATTTGTGTGTATGTATGTGTGCATGTGTCAAGGTTCACTATTGTATCCTCCAAATGGCGCCTCTGTCCTAGGTTCGCATATAGGTGTATCTTTAGTCGTGAATGGTTGTATGATTTTTAATTAAACATAATAATTTCATATGTATATTATTGATTGTAATATAACATTATTATTACAAAGAGCACATTAAGTTAATTGAGCAGCTGTTCCTGAGAGCAATATTAATAGTCGTGTGATAACGCTTATAACAGCCCGTTAGACAACCAGTATTATCTTAAATCGAGTTTACTGGTACTGTTTAATATGATAACAGTAGTCGTGGACCGCAGAGATATATATATTTATATATATACCTATATTAAATAATAAATATATTATGTACTATTTGAACACCTACCTTTTAAATTTTGACAGTCTTTTATTAAATGCGACTTTTATAGTGAAGTTAATTATTTAAAAATTAAACTATTTGGTTAATCATTGTACGGTACATGTAGAATTACTAATATTTAATTTGTTTTTTTGATATACTCTAATGATTTCAAAAAAGAACATCTTCTCTATGATGTACTGCCAGTCATTAATTTTAACTAATAAAAACTATAGTTTACAAACCTTAAATTTAAATAAAAGTTACTCAACATTTCACAAATGGATATTAGATTTTTTCAAAAACCATCCGAAATATAACGAGTTTGTATTAAAAAAACCTACACTTGAAGTCAATATGTCAGATTACAAATATGTTCAATTAAAAACAATTCCTACTGACGAATTACTCAATAAATTTTCATTTGGATGTTCAAAGCCTTTTCACTATAAAATTGATCAAGAACTGTTAAATCGAATAAATGATATGTCAATTAATCAAATACTTGTTTTAATGGACACTTGTTTATCTGAAAAAAACAAACTGTCTACAAAATCTGTGTCATTTAAAAAATGTCTTGATTTAATGGATGAGTTATGGTTTCGGAGACCTGATTTAACTGCATCTCAAACGATACAATTATTATATTATGTTAGCATATATAAAAAAAAAGCAAAGCCTACTGTTGAATTTGGATTACAGAAATTAATGAATGAAATCAACTACTTAAAACAATCAAGTGATGAAGAATTAAGTGTTTTAGCCCTGACAACATTTAAAAGTAATGCCAAAGTTTATGATAAAATGTTGAGAATATTTGCTTACAGGTTAGAAAAAAACTTATCAAAGCTCATTCAAAACCCTATGCATTTTGTGTCCCTTATTAAACCATTAAAGAAAGCCAAATATCACGATCAAATATTATTAACCAAATTGACAACTACTTTTAGTAATAATATTAATAAAGCCTCGCACGGTGTAATTAGTAGCGTTCATCTTCTTACATATTTAGCAGATGCAAATTATGGTGATGTGATATTTTTGCAACAATTGATTGATTCTATTGGGAATTGTATGGTAATTAATTTAATTAAACAATATTATTTTATGTCATGTTTTTTTGAAAACAGTTTTTTGCCTCCAGATTAAAGATAACTTAAAAAATTATCGAATTAAAGATGTATCCAACTATCTTTTCTCGGTCAGTTATTTGGGTTTAACTCCAAAGGATCCTAATGTGGGTAAAATAATTAATGACTTCATGAACCAATTATTCTACACTAAAGAAAAATGTCAATCGCAGTCTAAATTATTAATTGGCATGTGTTTATCCATGTGGATGTTAGATTATAAACCAATACAATTAATGAAATTTATGTTTTCTGAAATATCTATTGCAGCATTAAGAAGTAAATATTAAATAATATCTTATTATATAAATGTATGATTTAATTAATTAATTTTTTTTCTTTTATGTATACAGTGCCCAATGCTCATAAGCTACATAATAGGCTTGATCTTCTGTTAACATGTGCTTCTATAGAACAACCAAATTTAATAATACAATATCAATTGGTTAAAAATGCATTAAATGTAATGCCCGAATCTTTTAAGCATTTAGGTGAACGTCCATTTTTGGTAAAAGTTTTTCAGACACTTAAAAAACTGAATTTGTCAAAAGTAGAATATAATTTCAGTATACCATATTTGAAAATATTAGGAATACAAATTATAAATAACACTGGGTAAATATTTTATCATAAGATAAATTGGGTATGATATTTTTATTTTGATTTTCATTAATACGTTTTAAAAATATAGTAATTGTATCTACTATTAAAATGTATTATCATCAATTAATTTGTAATGTTATCTATACTAAATAAGAGTACATTAAGTAGCGGACAAAAACACATCCGTTTCCTCACAAGTTCATGCAATTATCCACATCCTAATAATTGACACTGTTACCTCTACTCATCTCTCTATCATTTAGCACCATAGTAAAGGTAGTTTTGCAATGTGCTAAATTAAATATATTGAATTACTAACCTACTAATATGTTTTCGTTTTTTTTGCAATTTTATATATTTATTTTAAACTATTAAACATATATAAAATTTGTAGATAATTATTTTAATTGAATTGTGCCAATAGTTTTCAAATGAAGAAAATAATTAAGTAGTAAACAATAACTATTATTAATTAAAATTATATTCTTGTATAAATAATACCATTTATTTACAATTTAAGTTAAATAATATCTAGTGTCCTATTTTGTGTAAATGATTTTTAAGATATTATTAAGATATAAAAAAAAGTATAAATAAATTTGGTTTATAAACTAAATTTTATATAAAAGGTAATTTAACATAAATTTAATGAAAATATTAAATGAAACAATTGCTTATTATTTTCTATTAATTCACAATTATAATATAGACAATATAGACAATATAATATAAATATCTAGATATATTTAACAAAATATGTACATTTTTTTTTTCAGCGAAGTCATATATATAGAAGTTTTGGACAATAGTACATGTCTTTATAATACAGAAATTCCAAATGGTATGATGAAACTAAAATATCGCCTTGAATCAAAGTTAAACTATAATGTTATTACTGTAAGAAATGTGTTTTTCATTTAATTAATTTATAATATGCATTTTAAATAATATGTTTTATATAGATCAAAGAAAGTTCCTTGAATAATTCAACATCATTAGAAAGTCACTTAAAGGTGTTATTGTCTTAATATATATGTATTAAAAATTATACAATATACAGAATAAACAGAACACCTGAAATAACTTTTGATCTATTCATATTTTTAAGATTTTTTTTCTTGTAATAATTACCAAAACCTTGCACAATTATTCCTGTATTTTATAAATTTCTTTATACAATAACAAATTGTGTTTCAAAAATCCAAGATATAAATAATAAGATAATAAAGTAAAAATAAATTATTAAATGGTTAATACTTATAAATAAATAAATGCGTCGCCTGGAGTATTATGATATATGCAGATAGGCGAAGAATTGCTAACTAACTGTTTTTAAGGAAGCTTACCAAGGGAATGAACTGTCTTACGTTACTTAGCTAGATTCATTTTAGAACACCTTACCTCTGGTCGTGATCACCATATTCTTTCGCCATTAAACACTGCACCACTAACTACTTGCCTAACCAACTGATGTTTAGGATGATGTGCGTTGCCAAAAAGAACCTGTCATTTCTGTTTAATTAGTATTGTAATCATGTAATACTGTTAATCCTCTTATGTAATTATGTATCTATCTGTAAGTTAGCATGTGAGTTTTTCTGTACTTGGGACACAGCCAGTCAAAATGTCGCGTTTTACTTTTTAACTTTGTGATTTTACATAACAATGAATTTTTAATTTGAAACTGGTCGTACAATACATATATCATAATACTGCAGGTGACACATTATTTTGTTTATTTATTTGTACATTAATAATTAAATATTTAGAAATAAAATTTTGAAGGTTACAAATTTGTATTAATGTTGAGTCATTAAATTTGTAGAATTGATAGAAGTGTACAATAATTTAAACTGTTTTCATTTTCACTACTAAATAATATCAATTGATCACTAATTTTTCCATAATAAAAACTATTGTAGGTAAGAAGTTGGGAAGGCAGAGAGGGGATTCAATATATATATATAATCAAAGATTAATCATTGCTAATGAAAAATGATTCTGAGTTGAGTTCGGTAATACATTTTCCTTTTTTCTCAGTTTATTATGAAAACTCCTAGAAAAATACCAGGATCTCAACTTCCCACCTACAACAGTAATTGCACCTGTCCTTAGTATCAGTTCTTTTTTTTAAAAAATTGTGTTAATTACTATTAAAAATTAGGTCTGTCAGCAAGTGTCCTAAATTCAAATTTCTAGTAAAAATTTTTTATGCAGTGAAAAAAGAAATAAACATCAAAGTAAAAAATGTAAAACGGGTCCACACTATGCTGAATGGTGTCAATATAATAAAGAAGTACTTCGTATAGATTATTTTAATCATACCTTAACGGCCAGGTACAAAGAGTAAAAATAGATAATGAGTATAGTAACAAACAAGAAATTGATTACTCTGTACTAAGTCCAATATTATTTATAATATACATTAACAAACTTCTTAATCAAGAAACTCCTGGAAAGATTATTTATTTTGCTGATAATACAGTTATCTTATTAAAAAGTCCATGTTTGGATAATTTATATACAATGATTGAGGATAGTTTTAATATTGTTAAAAATTGGCTAGATAATAGCCACTTGGTTCACTTGAGATAAACAGAGAAAAAACTAATTATATTCACTCTGGTATTCAATAATCTATACATTTAGATAAGTATAAAATCATTCCTCATACTAATAGTTGTATAAGCAGTAATTTAAAAAATAATGTATACAAATGCAGTGAACTGAATAGAGTTAGTTTTATTAAATACCTTGATTTATTTATTGTTGAGAAATTAATATGGGATGTACACATAAATTACATTAATAATTTACTGAGAAAATTGATCTATGTATATAAATCTCTTAAATCTATATATAACTACAAATTAAAAAAATTGATGAATGTTTCAATAATAACAATTTATTCTTTCTATAGAATTTCTTTTTGGGGGGAACATATCATACTCACTATTGTAATCTTGAAACCACTTTAAACTTACTATTTAGATTCATTTTCAATATGCCCACATTTCCTATAATTAAATTATTTAAAGAATTAGATATATTACATTAATTTAGAGTGATGTAGAGATATTAAATTAAAACAAATAAAAATTAGATTTTAGGATTTTAGATTCAGGATTTTGTTAGACGTGGTGACATTTTGTAAACGTTTAAGCTAGATAATTATAGATAGTTTTATTTTGCTAGATTTTATGTAATTTGTATTCGTTAGGTACTCCAGGGAAAATCGAAAAACGGCCAGTTTAAAGTACCTCCCAGGGAAATTTATTTTCAAAAACATTGCTATCATTAAAAGTTGGAACAAAATTGCTGGTATAAAAATTGTCCACAGAAAAAAACAATTAATATTAATTATTATTAATTTATATTAAAACCATTTATTCATAACACTAAAACCATAGACATATTAATAAATGGACTGATTGTAGAAAGAGATGCCATACAACTTAAGACGGTCATAGAAGAACAATTAGATTTAAAAAATTAAAAATTAACAATATATAATATAATATTCATATTACCTTAATATTTTATATTATCATACCTCAAAATTTCTTTTATGATTTTCTTAAACTATACTCTATCTCTTTTATATATATGTCTAATTTCTTTGAATTGACATTGCATTTCTACTTTTTTAATCCATCTGTTCGATTTTGTTCAAACTGATTATCCTCAAAATGAATCTATTCAAATAACAATTTAGTGTAGATGATGAATAAATAAATGAAACAAATAAATGTGTTTGGCTATATGGCAAAGTCGTGCTGAATTGGCTGGAATCCATTCATTCCGTCTACTATTTATAATCTAATTTTTTTTACGTTTTGGGTCTTTAAGAAACCGACATATTCGATACCTCTGAGTGCTTCGATTAGTAGATTTATTATATCAGTATTATAACAGCTATACATATCATACATTTGTCATAAGCTATACGCCATGGATAAAAATAACGTATTGAATATACGCCGCGTACTCACGTATACCCACCATACACCATTGAGTTTTAGTAGTTTAATTAAACTTCAAAGTTTAAATTTCTGTAATTCAGTAATCAGTATAGCTATCATAGTTAATCAGTTTTCATTTATTAGTTTTGTTGCAAACAAAATGGCAGATGCACATACTCATACTTATAGTACCTTAATAAAAGTGGTCACCTTATCTTCTCTACATCGTGGTTCGACCTTATCTTATAAGACCGTGGTTTTTAGGTGTTATGTTCATTATTATAACTTGATATAAATTATAAACAGTCAATTTTGTTTATACAATTCCATTGTATTCATGAACTGTAAACAAAAAAAAATAACCTATGAGTCTATGAATTACACCAATAACCCATCGGTGATGTATATTGTATATTATAAATTATATTATGTATATTTTAATATAATATTAAAATGTAAAATATATTTCAGGATACTATGAAACAAGAAGTTAAAAATCAAGATTTAAATTTGAAAAATGAAATTATTAAAATAATGAATAAGGAACTTCAATGTCCCATTTGTAATGAATGGCTGTATAAAGTAATTTTGTTTTATAAAGAATTTTCAACTCATATTTCTGGAGTAAAATACAATTTTTACAAACCCACTTGCCATTAAAACAAACAATTAGATGTTTTTAATATTATAAATAATATGTTAAAATATTAAAGCATTTGTCCACTCTAAAAGTGCTGGGGGATTTATTCAAGTAATATCTTAAGATCGGCGCCACTAATAGCAATGCAAAAGTATTTATAGTATTTAATGGTTTTTACTGATAATTTGTTACTACTTTTTTGAAAAATATGAAATAAATTTGTTAGAAATTTTCATTTAAAAACACCTGTTTCCCATTATTGACCCTGTATTATTGGATATTTAATTAAAGCAATCAAATATAATTTAGGCAACTTCTGCAAACTGTAATCATACATTTTGTGAAGTATGTATTAGAAAATGGATTCAAATTAATAAAGCATGCCCTATTTGCCGTACTGCAATTCAATACACTACAACTTCTATAGCAGTTGATAATTTCATCTCAAATTTATGTCAATTATTTGGTGGTTCTGTTAAAGAACAGCGAGAATCTATAGAGAATGCTCGAATAGGTGTGATATATACATAGCATTAAATTATTTTACTAATAAAATACATTTTTAATGTTATATTTAAATTCACAGATGATGCAGATCAAACAGTTGATGAAAGAATAAGTGATTTAAATCAATCAATCGAAGAAGACACCTTTTTAAGTCAATTTGAAACTACTATGCCACCAATGAGACATCCAAATATGGTTCCTTTAATACCCTTACCTCGAGTAACTGAAGTGCCTGTATTTACAGTGAATTCAAGAGAACCATTAAATTTGCATCATTCCAACAGAGGTCAATTATCATCCTTTATACCTATAGTATTGGTAGATAATCTGCGTGTTAATGATCTTCAACCAACATCTAATGTTGACTTACATGTCAGTTCAAGTATTAATCAATCAATTGAAGAAGATACAATGATTAGCCAACTTGAAACTACTATGCCACCAATGAGACATCCAAATATGGTTCCTTTAACACCTTTCCCTCGTGTATCTGAAATACATGTATCATCTTCCCTTCAATCGTCTATGGAATTGGTAACAAGTCTACATAATATTAATCATCTTCAGCCAACATCTTCAATGTCTGAAGTTAGCTCATGTGTCAGTTCAAATTTTGATCAGTCAGTTGAAGAAGATATATAATAAAATTAACTTTAAACTACTATGCCAATGACACGTCCAAATACGGTTTCTTTAATACTGTCATAACTATCTAAAAGACTTTAATACTAAACTTCAGCATATTAATACAACTATTGATCAATCAAATGTACCTTTGGCTAACTTCAACATGTAGTAACCATATACTACTGAATACCCATGCAAATAAATTCATACTGTTATAATATTCAAGTGCCTTTATTATTTTTATTTATATTTTATTATTATTATTATTTTATTGTCTTCTACATTGAAATTCATTATGAAATCAGACATTTTTTGTTATAAAAGTTTGATATTAAAAATAAAGTATTTTTGTATTTAATCTATTGTGTATTTTCAATAACAAAATTGAAAATAGTCCATAGGCATTTATCGCTTGTGGATTTTTAATAAGTAGGTATATAAATACTAAAGATTGAAAGATGAATAAATATAATTTTCTTACTAAGTATTATACAAATTAATTCTGAAATATACTCAGTTTTGTAAAAGTCATGCAATCTATAATTATTTTTAATTATACATTTTTAACCCTAATAACATTAATTCAAATATAAAAAAAAGCCACAAAATAAAAAGTCTCAAGAAAAATAATCCACGAAAAAAAAGCCAATTTATTTATTTTATTATAATTAGGTACATTAAGTTTTATTTATTATACTATTAATTCTATAATAATAGCAATAACATTTTATACTTTTATATAGTAATGAATGTATTATTATTATTATTATTGTTTACTGATGTCTTATATAGAACAATTTTAGATCCCAATAAGGTCAAGGCACTAAATATTTGCTGTTTTACCTACCCATTTTTAGATTTCGGGCGTAGTGAGGGAGCTATTGCTTTTACAATGCTGTTATTATTATTTTTTTTATTATTCTAGTTTGTGGGCAAGTTTTTTACTAGTAAACTTGCTCCAATTATTAAGTTTAGCCAATTTTATGAAAGTTCAAGTTGTCTAAATTGTACTTTAGAGATATCATTTTTTAATTTTTAATGGTATTTTTTAAATAAAAGTACATATGTGGGAAAAAAACTTAAGAAATCGTACAATTTCACGATTTTATTATTTTATAAAAACACAGATGACGTTTTCTATACAAGATACCTTTTTTTTTGTCTTTTTGATTTACTTTCTTAAGGTATTATGGCCAAAACTTTTGAGCTACTTATGAGCTTTTAAGGAATTTTAATTTTTGGGAGTTTTTTGCTGCAATTCGGCTATAAATACACGTACAGACTTAAAACTTGGTAATAATGGTTATGTTGGACTTACCTAGATGTGGTCAAATTTTAAAAATCTTCTGATGACTTTTTTTTTTTAATAAGCATATTGAGATTAAATATAAACGAAAAAAAGAACTTCAAATTATGTATTATCGAACTGTGCTCGGAATCGTCTTTCGTCAGCAAGGTTTATCGTTGTTTACAGAAATAAACGAAACGACCTTATGTATCACAACTTCCCAACTTCCCACCTGCAATAGAAGCTGTCAAACAGCCAACACCGTTTCCACTATCAGTTCTTAGATTCTGAGTGTAATGAAGAATGTATTGGTTTTACTAAAATGTATTTTTTTTATATACTATGTACGAAAATTCGATCATAAATCTTGTTCAGATATATAAACTTTGTACTATTTCTAAAAGGGAATGTTGTCCAGATGGTAGATTTAGAAGGACATTTTTTGATTTTTCAAGCAGTTTTCATTATATCTGGGAAAAACCAGGATAAAATGTAAGAAAAATGGGAAATGTACGAAATAAATGCTTTTATTATTTATTTTATTTCGGTTAAAAATATTCGTTGAGACTTGAAATTAGGTACTCTGTGGTAAAATTGTTAGATTTAACAGAAATGCTTGAAAATTTAACTGGAGGTATTAAATCTTACTATGTGGTAAAAAAAAAAAAAAAAAAAATTGATTTTTATGTAGTATTTGTTTTTATAAAGGAATTTTGATACCACATTTTGACAAAAATTATTTGAGTAAAAATTATGTGGAACAAATCTAATTTTTCAATTTTTTTTTTTTGAACATATATGTATTGCCGATTAAAGAAGAATGGTGAATTGAACGGACTGACTAAGTTTCGAATATATAGCTTTTTGAAGTTCAGATAGTATGCAGATATTACATGTTTATGTTAATATTTCTATATTGCCATTCTATTAAACGTTTATTGTGGTCATGAATATGTATTGTCATACTTATGGTCGCGGGTGCAAACCCGGGGTTCGAAAAGAAATTCTTTGCACTTTTTTTTACCTTTTACCTAAATAGGGAAAAAATAAATGCATTTTAAATGTACATAGAGACCTAGCTACCGCTCACTCGGATAATTTTAATCGAAAAATACCCCTCGATTTGTTGTGCAAACTTTTCTACCAAAAATTTTGCTGCTATGTATAGAAGTGTAGCTTATTTTTTGAAAGGAAATTTTATCTCTATGATTTAGGGAGGTTAATTTTGTGGTTTTTCAATAGGTTTTCATAATAATTTGGAAAACCGGGATAAAATGTTGGAAAAACGGAAAATGTACGAAATGTAGGTATTAGTAAAAACATATTATGGACTATTTTTTCTGTGTACAACTTTGCTACCAGCAATTTTTCCCCGATTTACAATGATAACACTTTTTCTGAAAGTAAATCTGACTGGGAAAGTACTTTAAGATCATTTTTCGATTTTTCCAAGATTTTTTTTAAAAAATGTGATAATACGGGAAAAAAACATGGGAAAACCGTGAAAATTGATACAATATTAAACAAATATTTTTAAAGAAAATATATAACGACTATTTAATTATTTTTCCATAATATGACATACATATTGTTGTCAAAGCATCACTATCAACTGAACTGCTCTCAAAATCGTTTTTTTCATATGCAATGGTTTATTGTTGCTTACAGATATACATTAAATTACCTATAACAGTGGCTGCACCCGTCTTCATTATCCTATGACGTCTCTTTTTTTTTTCATTGACTGTATAATATGTATTTTTTTATTTTATTTTTCTAAAAACTTTATTCAACTAATTTTTAATATTTGTTACTTTTCAGGTAAGAAAATTAATAGTTGATCATGGAAAAACAAAAAAAAACATTAAAAGTACTAAGTTTACACATTGTCTTTTTTTCCGTAGATTACTCATTAATTCATAGTACAAACTACAAATTAATGAAAATACATATATAGCACTCGCTATTTTACTTTATTTTTATTTAGCTCTCTAAGGGATATTAGCAGTTGTCAAAAAATGCATAATAGATTTTTTTTTGACTCAGTTTGAAATATTTCCAACGTTGAACAAAATATTTGTGTATGCATTTTCATTGTCAAAAAAACAAAAAAAAAAAAAAGTATCAGTAACATATTTATTTTTTAGTGCACCGATATTCTTTTTTATATAATTTATACACACATATATTATAATCATTTTTTGTATAATGGAGCATTTGATTGATCACTATTACATGTTGTGATGTTTAGGATTTATAGAGCCAAAATATCTAGTAATGTTTTTCTCATCAGCTATCCGAGCAATTACAAAGACATTAATTTATGAGTAATAATCAATTCACTTTTTTAAAGCAAGTAATTGATGATATTATTGAACATATTGCTCGCTTCATTGTTCGTAAACTAACAACTAAATTAATTTGTGATGATTGCACTACAGTTTTAACTCTAACCTATTCTGAATCTGGATCATTAATAACTATAAATAACCGAAGTGCTTTAAGAATTCATTAGTGAATAAATAATTTGTTATACAAGGGTTACGAGCATTAAGCGTTAAATTATTGAATAGGCAAATTAATTTTTTTTTTACTTTTTTGACACCCCTAATACAAAAATGATTGTATCCTTATCAATTTTTTGACAACTAATATGTACCAAATGACTACGTGCACCATAGAGTAAGAAATATAATAAGATATAATCATAGACTATAGCAGCTATGATCAGCTGCTGATAATCTTTATCTATATTATTTGTAACCGTGGTCATAATATAGAAAACGTTTTTAATCAATTCATTGTTATCTATATTGTTATCACAGTTTTAACTGTTTTTAACTTAACCTTAAAAATTAAATTAATTTTTAAATATTGAAAACTGAAGTACTGTTTTCCGTTTACTGTGTAGGTAGACGTTGATAGCAAATTTCAATGTTTGCCAGATTTTATTTATTATTAAAAAGTTAATTTTGTTTAAGTTTAATTTATAATTTGAAAAGTATGTATTTATTATATTATTTGTTTTTCTTTAATTTCATTTTGATGGACATTAGGTCAATATAAGTATTTAGTAGTTTTAAAATTTGATATTTCGTGTATGTACTTGCTACCAATTGCTGCAACAATTATTATTTCTAATAATCTTTTATGAAAGAAGTTTTTTTTATCCAATGAATGATGGTCAATATACCCACATAGTCATTTAATATTTTGTGTTGTAAATGTATAATCTTTACTTATGAAATTAAATTACTGCTATTGGTTAAATTTTTTTTGCTTCATGATAATTATATAATTGATATCTCATGTACCTATTTTAAACAGACAATTGAACAGTCCCTACTATAAGAACTATGGATGACTTCGGTGATGATTTATTTGATGAGTTTGAAAAGCCTTCTGCCAGTTCTTTTTTTGTTGGAGTTCAAAAATCAGATGACAGTCAACAAAATTCTGAAGAAAAGTATGTTAAAGATAAAAAAAAAAAAATTTAGTATTTTAGTGTATTTCACATGTTTACAAGATAGCTATTTGATTAAGTACCTATTTTACAATGTTAATAGCAATTTAAAAATTTATCAGGACTCTTGTGACAATTTAAATAATTGTAGACAACATTGAGTTCTAGTCAGGATTGTAAGAAAATAATAGGTTTTTATTTTTGTAAATACTATGTTATATTAATAGTTATAGTTGTGGACATGAAAAATGAGTGTTGTCTGTCATGTGGCAAGCAGCAGTTATTGGAAGTTGTAGTGATTTTAGTAGTTTTTTTGTTATCAAATTATAAAATGACAACACAGATTGTAATGAAAATGTACAACAGTATATATTGAATACCACCTGTTGGCTACCTGGTCAAAGTTGTTTTATTCTTGCTGTAAATACTATTTTAGTTTCGTAACGGCAGCGTGCCAGTAAATAGTTAAGAACCAGTTGTTCCAACAGTGTGTATGCATAATGGGGCGTGGGAGCCAGCGCTAAGTTTTTATGTACGCAAAGCGATTATAATTATAAATTAATATAAACTTAAGTTATTTATAAATAAAATTTCATCATAATTATTTAAGAACAAAATATCAATTGAAAAAAACGTCTTTATCCTAAAATAATAGGAATTGTTTATTTTGATTTATATTTTAATAATGAATAGGAACTATAAATATGTCAACTCTTCAAAATACATTACTTATTTTAATTTAATTTTTTAACGTTTTTGAACATAAATGTATACAACTTTTTAAGCAGGAATTTAAATAAAACCTTTTTAACAAGTGTTTTCAATGTTTCACAACCCTGGTTCTAGTTGTGGAAGAATACAATTTCAAATCTTATTATGTTAATATTATTTTTATTTCATTTTAGATCCATAAAACGATCATTACAGTTGTCTAACGCTGAAGATTATAATAAAAAAAGGCCAAAAAATTCAGATAAGCTTTCTGTTTTAGAAGAGTAAGTGTAATTTATTAATGCTTGTTTTAGATGTTTATTTAAAGGTTTGTAATATTCTATTTAAAAGAATATAATACATATATATATATGGTGTCCCATGGAGATTTTGCGAATGCAATAACTTTTGTTTATTATTTTTTTTATATAATTACTAAAGCTTTCTGTAATTTTTCTAAGTTATTAATGATTATTGTAAACTTCAAAAATTTTTTAGAAACTTGACGATTCTTAAATATCATTAGCAAAAACTTGTAATATAAAAATTCTGTTTTAAAATATATGTATTTTTAAAATAGTTATTTTGGATTCTGTAAAAACAGTCATACAAATATAAGCCTTTTATTTTTAGTTTTAAAAAATATAAAATTATAGTTCACGGCTTTATTGATTAAAAATTATTACATATATATTTAAAAAAAAATTAAATACATTGAACAGAACAAAAGTTATGGCATTTGTCAAATTTTCGTGTGAGACCCTAAATTAATTAAATTATGTACTGATAAATAGATAATAAAAATTTGTTAAGTTTAAGTGTATATATATATATATATATATATATATATATATATATACAAGGTAACCTACAAAAAAGTCTTTAAAAAACTATTGGTAATATCATTACTTTCTTTGTCTTAATTATAATTATTTAAATATTATTTCTAAAAATAAAACAACCGTGGTAATTGCATTAAAATGTTTAATTTTAGACCCATAATTCAATCATTACAACTATCGGAAGATGAAGCTGATGTTTTAAATAAAAAGTCAAAAAATCTAGATAAATTTTCTGCAGTAGAGTAAGTAGAGTAAATACTATTTACTATTTATTAGAAATATATACTATAGAAATCATAGGAAAAGTGAATAATGATTGCTTAAAAAAATAAATTATACAAATACAAATCTGTTTAATGGTTAAAATACTGTTTATATTGTAGGTAAAAAAAGTTTTTTATATTCAATTTAAAAGTAAAATTTTATGTAATTAATAATTTAGTGTCATTCTTGTTATTTGTTTTTGGATTTTTAAAATGCATATGTTTATTGAATATTTTGTTGTATATAGGTTTTGAAACTTATAGCATTTTTTTATTTTAGATTCGGAGTGGAGCGAAGGATTTGTTGGTTTTACCATGCATGTTTTTTCCGTCTGTAATTAACTTAATAGAAAACTTGTTGATACTGATGTACCTTTTTCTTAAAAGGAAATATTATTAAGTTTATGCATTTTCAAGGTCATTTTTTGATTTTCCAAGAGGTTCTCATTATATTTGGGAAAACCAAATTATAGGAATGGAAAATGTTAATGATGTTACCTATTTCTTTGTTTTACATTTTTACACACTATGTTTTCTACTAGAAATATTGTTTTAATCAACAAATATCAAAAGACTTGTTGCATTTTGAATCTACTTGCTTATGAACTGGATCATTTTTTGATTTTTCAAGCAGTTTTCATAATAGTTGGGAAAGCCATAAAAAAAACTTGATTTTGCTTTGTGTAATATTTGTATGTGCTCATTTTAGCATTTAAAGGTTAGATTAAACTATTTAAGTGCCTATACGTTTTTTAGTCCTTTTTTGTTAGCTTTAAATGCTATAAGTTCGAAACCCTGATCATATGTATTGTTTATAGTACATAATAAATTGTATCTTCTTCATGTCTTTAATCCCGAGATTGGTTTGTAGCAATGATCCATTATTCTCCATATTTTATCTATACAATTTAAATTATTTCAGTCTTGAGATAGCAGCTCCCAGGATAAAAATTTGTGCTGTAGAATCTCTTGATGGGGAATCATGTATACACGAAGTAGCTCTTCCATTTAATTTTGATTATACATCATTAAATCGAGTATTTACTAAAAAACCAGCCAAAGTCTACGATTTTGAGTTAGATCCTTTTCAGAAAGAAGCAGTTATTTGTATTGAAAATAATCAAACTGTTCTTGTATCAGCCCATACATCTGCTGGCAAAACTGTAGTTGCTGAGTAAGTTTATACAACAATGTTACTTATTAGTTATTAATATTTCTAGGTTAACTTAACCAAATTATTATTTGTATTATTATTATTATAGATATGCCATAGCTCTGTCTTTAAGGGATTCAAAACGTGTGATTTATACAACTCCTATAAAAGCTTTGAGCAATCAAAAATACAGAGAATTCCACGAAGAGTTTGGCGATGTTGGACTTATTACGGGTGATGTTACTATTAACCCATCAGCTAGTTGTCTTATTATGACAACTGAAGTAAATAATTTTTACTTATTTAAATTAAATATTATAATACATTTTTATAGATTTTAGCATATTTAATATAGTGTATACTTTGTTGGTATATGTATTTAAAATTTTTGAAAACTAAATTTGTAATGAAGGTTACTGATGATAACATACAAATTAAATTAAAAACTATCAAATGTTTTTATTATGGTATATTCTGGTTTCTCTCTGCAACTAAAATTGACAAATTCAATAATTTGATCTATTCAATGTTTATTTTGTTATCGCCCCTCCGAGCCACATACAAAATATATCACTCCTTCATCCTTTATTATTATTGTAAGAAATAAAAAACCTGCTAAAATGGTTGAAAATTTAACTAAGTTACTACTTAAAATTAACTACTTACTGTAGAGATAATTTGATATTGTGATATTCTGAAATATTCTGGGTGCCCAGTCACTGATTAATAACAAAATACTCAATACCCTATCTAGTATCCAACCAATATTCAGTATGTATGTAAATTATTACTTGGCTAATACTAAGTACCCAACCTAATAATATATTGTATTATATTGTACAATATATTAAATTAATTTATTTTAAATTTGATTAGATTCTTCGTTCTATGTTATATCGAGGTTCGGAGATCCTAAAAGAAGTAGGATGGGTGATATTTGATGAAATACATTACATGCGTGACAAAGAACGTGGTTATGTTTGGGAAGAGACATTAATATTGCTGCCAGACAATGTGCGATTAGTCTTTTTGTCTGCTACTATACCAAATGCTAGACAGTTTGCTGAATGGGTAGCTCATTTACATAACCAGCCATGCCATGTAGTATATACTGAATTCAGACCTACTCCATTACAACATTATATATATCCTGCTGGTGGTGATGGTTTACATCTTATTGTTGATGAAAATGTATGTTGATCAGGTAATATTTCTAAGTGTTAAATTTGATTCTTCAATTTAAAATAATTTTTAGAACAAATTTCGAGAGGAAAATTTTGCAACAGCCATGAATGTTTTATCTAATGTTACTCAACCAACCAAAAATTGGGGACAATCAAGTAAACCTACAGCTAATAATCCTGAAAATGAATCACATTGTTTCAAGTTAGTTAAAATGATCATGGAACGAAATTTTGCCCCAGTTATTGTATTTTCATTCAGTAAGAAAGAATGTGAAAATTATGCTATGCAAATAGCTAAATTAGATTTTACTTCAGGTAAATACAATTATTTAAATAAAATTATATGTACATATTTTTTTGGTTATAAACTTTTTCCATAATGTATGAAAGTCTTAAACTTTGCATTTGTATTGATGAACTTGATTAAACTTATAGTTTCATTTATATCTTTTATTCCAGTTTTCTAGTTCTATGAGCTCAGTTATTCATTTCTGTGTTGTATATCATGTTCCTTATATATTTTTGGTTTTAATATCTAAAAATAATTGTATATTTTCCGCCTTTCATTTTTATAGTTTGTAGGACCTACCAGCCATATTAGTCTAGCATTGTTCTTTCTTACTAGTTCTTCCTAGTTCACTGTATTAAATCAGGATTTTATTTTGGACCTGTTTTGTTTCCCAATCACTGCTTCTAACATTTCTTTAGTAATATTTTATATTTTTTCATTAGGTTTTAATTGTTCAAATATTCAAATCTATTTCATGAACCAATCTTTTCATTTTGGTTTGGAATTCTTTACATTATCCTTCGTCCATGAGATTAGAAACCTCATATCTAAGAAAACTGTTTATCTTCCAGATGTTTCTCTTTTAGTTTTAATATTAAGTTAACAAATTACTATTAAGTGATCCGAGTCACAATCTGCTCCTCTATATTTCCTATAATTTCTTATACTATTTACAAATAAACCATTCACTAATACATGATCAATTTGATTAACATATTGTTTCCATGTGTGTGTCTTTATTAAGGAAACAGTACCCTAAATTCTAAACCCTTTTTCAGTGGCTAAATTTATTAGTCTCATATCATTGTAATTGATTGTTTCACAAAAATTATGGCTTCTCATTTTGACTTAATTGCATGTTTCTTTTTCACCCTGTTTGATTTGTATATTTTTATTAGACATACCCTTCAAGATACTCTCCATGTCAGAATAAAATTCACCTTTTTCCTTTTGTAACTTCTCTTAGGTTTCATAAATATTACATCAAATTACTTGGCCTCAATTGTTAGAATAGCCATTTTGTGGTTTATTAATTTGCATGTATTATGCATTTGTAAACTGCAAATTTTACCCCAAACTGTTATTTTTGTTTGCATTTGTCAAATAACATTATGGTTCCTTCATCCCTCCAAGCTAACTTCTTGTAGTACTAATATACAAATTATATTTCATTCTTAAAAATTGTTAGTATAATTATTTATTTTTTCTTTAATTAAATAAAATTAATAGTTATGTAGGTCTAAATATTATTTCATTGAAAAATAAATAATATATAATTTGCCTTGAATTTATGAGTAATTTAAAAGAAGTATAATTTTGTTTATAATATAATATCCTGTGTGTTTAAGATGTTGAAAAAGGGTTAATTGATAAATTATTTGAAAATGCAACAAAAGTATTAACAGAAGAGGATCGTAAGTTACCAGCAGTACTTAATATTGTACCATTAATACGGCGAGGCATTGGTATTCATCATGGAGGTAAATTAGTGTTGTTACTTTAATGGTCACAAAAATAATTTGTTGTTATTTATATTTTAGGCCTTTTACCTATTTTAAAAGAAACTATTGAAATTTTATTTGGTGAAGGTTTATTAAAAGTTTTATATGCTACTGAAACATTTGCTATGGGGCTAAATATGCCTGCTAGAACTGTATTGTTTACTGCTTGTCGAAAATTTGATGGTAAAGAAAGGCGTTTTGTAAGTAATCTGCTTATTATTTAGATATAATTTTTCGTGAATCTCATCTATTCCAAATAATTTCTATAGATAACATCAGGCGAGTACATACAGATGTCTGGTCGAGCTGGTAGACGAGGTTTAGATGATAAAGGGATTGTTATGTTAATTATTGATGAAAAAGTTAGTCCAGACACTGTTAGAAACATTGTACAAGGAAAACCTGATTCACTTAATTCAGCATTTCATTTAACATATAATATGGTATTAAATTTAATGCGTGTAGAAGAAATCGATCCAGAATATATGTTAGAAAGGAGCTTTTTCCAATTTCAAAATCAAGCAGCTATACCAGAATTAGTGGAAAGTCAGTTATCAATAACATTAATTTTTTTTAAATTTTTAATATCTTATAAAATAATTTTATATATATATACAGTGTGTCCCACAATGTTCGACAGATTTTTCTAGTTGCTAATTAATTTACTTCAAATAACATTGACTTTAACATTTGGAAGAATCTACTAAAAATGTACATCTGAAGCATTATGTTGCGAAACATGGACTATTGCAAGAGAAGAAATGAGAAGAATACAAGTTTTCAAAATGTGGTACTACAGGAAGATGAAATAGATAAGTTAGACTGATAGAATTATTGGAAAAGGTTTCTGAAAGGAAATCAATATGTAAAAGTATACAGAAAAGACAAAATGAATTAATAGGTCATATTTTAAGATACGATGGGTTGCTATTACAAATCTTAGAAGGAATAATTAATGGAAAATTGTAGAGGAAGATCAAGATTGCAATACATAAGTCAGATATAATAGAAGATCAAGGATTTAATTCTTACCAAGAGTTGAAGAGGAAGGCTAGTAATAGAGAAACATGGAAGTTGCCATAAACCAATCATTAGATCGGATACTGCAGAAGAAGAATTAATTTCGAGCTGATAATATTAAATATTTGTTTACTTTTTTATTTTCAATCAGTTAGTTTTCAAGGGGGATATTGATTTGTAAAAAAATCAAAATTTTTATATTCATCCCCTATGTACAAAAATAAAACTTAATTTATTCACTTTACAAAATTTTTAAAATAGCCATTTTGTAAAAAATATTTTAAACATTATAATGTATCACACATTCATATTCGATGAATAGTTTCATAGTAATAGCCTTTCAATTTCTAGAAAAAAAGTGTGGAAATAATTAATATTCAATAAGTTACTGAATTATGATTATTATTGAATATTGATTATTTTCAATAAATACAATTTTTTTTTTTTTTTGTATTTAGGGGATGAAAATAAACATTTAATTTTTTTCCAAATTGATATCCCTCTCAAAAGACAAAATGACCAGAAAAAAAAATTAAAAAATATTTAATAATAACTGTTCTAGAAAAATGCATCGAACATAGTGGGATACTCTGTATATAAGTATATATATACTGTATTTATAAATAGAACACTGTGTTAATTTGTAAACCAATTAATTTTTTTAAATTTTTGTAGAAGTAAAAGCGTTATCAGCTGAAAAAACCAAAATAAAAATACATAATGAATTTGACATCAGATCGTATTTTCTAATTCGTCAACAATTGGAAGATTTAGCTAAGCGATATCGTACATTTATAACAAAACCAAACATTTTGATTCCTTTTTGTAATCCTGGAAGACTTATTAAGGTTAGTGAATAATAAAATAATGAAATATTTCCTTTTTTTTAAATTTATTCGTTGTAGTTTGGTAATTTCTGTGTAATAATTGTTTTTAGATATTTGTTTATGACTGATTATTTCCTGCATAATAGTTATTTTGACCTCAGACGTGAAACTATACTTTTTCACATCCTATCTCCTGATTGGTTATTATATTGCTAATGTTAGTGTACTAACATATTGATAATATAATTAAGATATTTTTATTCTTCTTCTTTTTTTCTCTTACTTTCATTTCAACTATTTAGAGTTGTCAGCTCTTGTTTTAAATTTCCACTTGATCCGATCCCCCATCTCTTGTACATCAGCTATCCTTTTATCATTCTCAATTACATACAACAACCTCCTTTTCAGTCTTCCTCTCTACATTTCTCCTATGGTTTTTCTTATTTTCTCCTTGACATGCCTAAACCATCCAGGTCTATTTTCTCCCATTTTGTCGACTATTAAAGCCACACTTAAGCTACCTATTATGTACTCATCCCTTATCATATCTCTCTTGTCACCTCATTTTTCTACCTAAATATTCTCATCTATGCTATATTCATTCTCTGTGCTATTTTTCTGTTTACTGTCCAGCACTCCAAACCATATAACATAGTTAGTATTACTATACTTCGGTAGAACATAACTTTAAGTTTCATTGGAATTATCTTGTCACTTAAAACTGTATTCCTCCAAACTCATATTCTGTTTTACTTCTAATTACCCTTAGTTTCTTTCTTTTATGTGCTACTCCATTTCTCAAGCTTATTGTTAACTTATTCCAGATTTTTTTTTATTAAAGTTATATTATCTGTAAACATACACTTAGTTACTTCCTTTCACCTGTTATCTCCATGTATATTTGTGATAGGACAATCCGCCAATTTCAATTACCACCTTAAATATAGGATTTTGCAAATAATGTACTATCCATATAGGGGGAACGGCCATTTTTACTGACAAAAATGACTTTACAGAAATAGTGATAACTCATTGCCAATTCAATATTTCCATTAAAAAAATTTTTTTATGATAACAACGTTCTACAAGCTTTTTCTGAAGTAATAACCTAGAGTCCCTATTTGTCTTACAATTGTTGTACTACCAGATAAATATTTATTTTTGTCATTGCAGTGTAACATTTAAAATGTCAGATTAAGTAATATCTGATACTTAATACTCTAAATAGCCAGTGCATATTATTTCTTAATAACCAACATCTCAATACACTATGTATGATCCTATTGTTATTTATTTATTTTTATGAAATATAGTGTAAATATTCCCATTTTTACCCTATAATTAAGGAAACTACAAGAAAAATCAAAAAATGACCTCATTGGTGCAGAAACTAGATAAAATTTGCTACCATAAATCTCCTGAAAAAGAGCAACATATCTGGTAGAATTGCGGTTTTTAATGATAAAAACCGCATTTTCATTTATATAAAAATGTACATATGCATTGTGTTAATGACATTTTAACAATTTATTACATTGAATAATAGAAGGTTGGATCGATATTTAAACTTGAGGATTTATTCAGGATCTCTTCTGGTTAATAAAATATATATATATATATTTATATATAATAATTTAATCATCTCTTCGTTGGCTTCATTCAGTATAATAATATTGACTTACAGTGATAGCAGTTCCTTGTTTATTCTCTACTTTCAGTAGATCAATACATAGAAATGGGTTTATTGAAATAAGTTAAATAGACTTTATAGTGTTATGTGTTAAATATGTATTACTTAATTTTTTATGCTGAAGCCATATGCCATAAAAAAAAAAAATAAATATGTTATTTTATTTTCATGTCTCAGTTTTAATAATTATAAGAAATTAATAATGATGGCTTAATTTACCAATCATAAATACTCACTTACCCATCAGGAAAAATAATACACTAGAAGTGATGCTTGGGAGATTAAAAACAAGGAAATTTAAAACTTAAAAATTTAAATTTGGGAAAAATATTTTATAAAAAATACTGGGAAAATAATTACAAATAAAAATTAAAAGCTTGAATGTAATTCGAGTAATTTGCATTCTTTAGATTCAGAGTGTAGCTAGGGAATCGCCTTTTTTATTTGTAGTCAGATAATCAATTTTTTACTGTATTATATTTTTCTATCAGAAATCTGTGTCCAAATTTCAAGTATTCAAGTAATGCATATATTTTCTGGAAGAACATTTTGTCTAGTTTATAAAAAAAAACGTAGATAAAGTTATGACAAAAGGGTTTTTTTTAATTTTTTTTTTCAGTTAAAACTATTGTAGAGACCTGTTTTTACAAAGCACTTATATTGACCTTTTTTAGGCATGGTAAAATGTTCAAAACATTCAATTTTTTTTAGACTATTTATAGGTATTTTATATTTGGTAGGTATCTGTTATTGAAATTGTATGCTTTAAGAGAAATGCTTAAAAATTTAACACAATAGTGATTTAAAAAACAAAATGTAGTAATTTTTTTTTTATTATTGTGAGGCGTTTTAAGACCAAATTTTTCACAAATATCTTAATAAATTACAGTATTTCTAAGTATGTCTTACCAGACTTCTTTCTAAATTGTTTTTTGTTAGCAATGGTTTATATTTGGGCACAGATAAATTAAATAACTTTATATATCCTACTTTTCCAACTTCTTATCTATAACAGTGGCTGTATCCGTCCCCAGTATCAGCTCTTTTTTTATTTTACCTACTACCTAATAGTTGGTCAGTTTTTGTTTTCTAATATAATATTTTTCCTGAGTATAATTTTTCTAGTAGAAATGTATGCTTAAATATCAAATTCCTGTGTTTTGCACACCAACCTCATAAAAATTACTGTATTTCTCATACCTACAACTGTGGGGTCATAAATTATTGTGTTTGATAATTTTTAAAAACCAACTATCCTTACTTAGTGATTTAAAATGCTCGAGAATAATATTTTAAAGAATATTCTCAGTGCACAGACTTTTTTGAGCGTTTGAATTTCTTTTTTTTGCTTATTCATATATCATTGAAAATGTAACTGCAATCTGCAAACTATTGCATTAATTGTAATGTAATTTTTATGTTAATATGCATAACTTTAGTTTATAATTATTAAGTAGTAAAAAGAATAATAAGATAAATAAAATATTTATATTACAGTAACATATATTAAATGATGTATCTAGATCCTACCAGTCCTAGTTATATACAAATACTGGGATACATAGACGACTCGTTTGTTTGGTATGGTAGGTATAAAATATTATGTACTATTATAATGTAGTATACACACTATTCAATATTAAAAGCAACTTTATGTTAATAAACCTAATGTATTTTTGAATAATATTATATTATTAATTATTTTAGAAACGGCCTATCAATATATGGTATCATAACATCTTATTACCATTCAATATATTTACAAATTTACAATAATGTTTGTTGATTAAATTAAAATATGTTCATTACAAAATATTATTGCTGTTAAAATGTCAAATAGTATTTTAATATCACAATACACAATAAAACAGTATTGTTATTTAGAAGGTATAAAATACTTTTTTATGCAAAAAAAAAAAAAAATTTCAAGAATTGCTAACAATACACTTGTACTCAATAATTTTTGAAACATATTGTTGTGCTCCGAAATTTTTTCAAGAGAATATTCTCCACTCACAACAGTATTAGTTTTTTTCCAGAATATCAGTTAAAGTTTTACCTTAACCTACATTTTATAATAGTTAGAATATTACCTCTTTAAAAACTCTTATTATTATTATTAAAACTCTTATTATTCTTAAAAGTCTAAGTTATAATAATTCAGATTTACCTGTTATGAGATAATTTATCAGTTATTTGACTTATCAGAGGACAGGAAGTGAAAATGGATAGTTTCACATGGTTCTGTAATGGTAAAAACTGACTATTTTTATATTAAATGCTATTTTTTTTTTTGGTATTTAGCAAATATGATCAATAATTATGGTTGTATTGTCATTACTATAGTATCATTTAAATACTTCCAAGTTTTACACTTATATTTTTAAATTTATATAATTTTTATATCTTATAGAAAATATTCTTTTTTACTCCCTTTTTAAACAATTTTTTATACTTTTTCATCCCAACATGAATTACAAAGCAAATAAATGTTATAATTTTATTTATTTTAATTATAAATAAATATTAAACATTTTATTTTTTTTTTAAATATGTTTACCTACAATTATAGGTAAATTATAGGAATTATTAGTATTGAGCTATTAGTTTTACGTTAATGTTACGTTATCCCCATAACATTGTACTACCCTAAGTCCAGCAGAAATAGTGTTAAAAGTCAGGTACCATGTAACTTAGTAAAGTTATCTCTCAGCAAGCAAGAAATTCTGGATTTATTCTTTGTCTGATGGCCTAAATTTTAGCACTATTTTATGGACGAGAACAATCATGTCAACCTGATAATATATATACATTTATTTAAAATGAATTATCTTATATAGTTTATATTTGTTTACATTTGATACATATTGTTATTTTTCATGCATAGGTTAAGAAGAATGATGTCGATTTTGGCTGGGGTGTTATTGTGAATTTTAAATCGGTTTCTAAAAGTAAATATGAAGGTGGAGGCCTAGGTGAAGTATTATTGAATGTGCTATTGAATTTAAAAAGTTCTGTTGAAAAATCTGGCGAAGAACCAACACCTTGTCCTTCTATAACAATAGGAGAACCTGAAATTGTTAATATTAAACATAATATGGTTGAATGTTTGAGTTCTTTACGATTAAATAGTATGCCTTCTGATATGAAATCCCGTGATTCACGAATGTTATTATACAAAAATGTTCAAGTAAGTTAATAATACTTAAAAAAAATAACAACAACTTATATTTTAATTTAACTTATGTTAACAACTTAACTGTTGTCATGCTTTAAAATAAATATACATTTTTTGAACTTCTCAGGAAGTTATAGAAAGATGTTCAACTGATATTCCATTATTGGATCCAATTAATGACATGAATATTAAAGATCATGAGTTTGATAAAATAGTTGAACAAATTGAAAAATTTGAAGGTAGATTATTTGCTCATCCATTGAACGAAAAAGAAGATATTGATAATCTTTATGAAGAATATCTGAAGAAAGATAAAGTATAATAATATTATTTCTTTTAATATATTTGTATTAAATGATTCTTAAAAAAATTTATATCAGATAGATCAAGAGCTTTTAAAATTTAAAAATGAATTAAAGAAAGCTAAATCACTTATGCAAATGGATGATCTTAAGTGCCGTAAACGTATACTGAGACGAATGGGCTATTGTACTGCGGGAGAAGTTATAGAAACTAAAGGTCGTATAGCATGTGAATTAAGCAGGTAAATTTTATTCGTAATATATATTTTATTTATATAGTTATTTTCTTACATTTTATTTATTAGTGCTGATGAATTATTAATGACTGAATTAATGTTCAATGGAGTTTTTAATGATTTATCAGTACCCCAGACAGTGGCTTTGCTTAGTTGTTTCGTATGTGATGAAAAAAGTAATGAAATGCCTGCTAAGACTGCTGAATTAGCAGGACCTTTAAGAAAAATGCAGGTATATTTTTACTCAAGACTATTATTGATTCTCTAGTCCTAATATTTTACAAGTAATTACATTTTCTTATCAATAAATTAATTTTAAGGAACTTGCAAGAAAAATAGCTAAAGTTTGTAAAGAAGCTAAATTAGATATTGATGAAGATTCTTATGTTGAGGGCTTCAAGCCATTTTTAATGGATGTTTGTTACGAATGGTGTCGTGGTGCCTCATTTTATCAAATATGTCAAATGACTGATATATTTGAAGGTAAATATTAGTGAAATATTTTGAATTATTTGTATTTATTTGTGTGAGATGTATTTATTAATATTATTAATATTATTGATTAATATGAATAATTATTAAACAATTTTAGGAAGTATTATTAGAGCAATGAGACGTTTAGAAGAAATATTGAGACAGTTAATCCAAGCATCAAAAAGTATTGGTAATACTGACCTTGAAAATAAATTTAGTGAAGCAATTAAAATAGTTAAACGAGATATTGTATTTGCAGCTAGTCTTTATTTATAACTATTAGTTGCAAATATTTTGAGACAACATTATTTATCTATGTTAATGACCACTTGTAATAAATTATTACACTAATATTTTGTATAAGCTTGTTTTTTTTCCCAATAGTATGTTTTTAATTACCAATAGTGTGGTAGGTAATGGAAAAATGTATGGCGATTATATAAATTTAAAAATTCCTATTTATGGTAGTACAGTATTATAATGAGTAAGAATTTTGTTGAGATAGTATGGGTATATTATATAATATTATGTTATTATATGGGTACATTATGAGTAGAGGACAGATGTAGGAAAATATATAATAACTGCCCAAAAATGTAATTATTTCTATACCTATATTTATATTTAACCATTGAGTTACGATTATATTTAATTGTAAAATTGTTTCGTATGGGGCCTTCACTGTTCGGGAGTATTATTAACGTTTCCATAAGTAATTTTACTGGTGTGTGGTCTAAGGAATGATCCAGAATTAGAAAGGGATCAGTCCTCTAACCCCCCCCCCATGTCCGCATGTTCGCCTAGCTTCTTGGACTATTTCTTTGTGTACTTAACCTGCAAGCTGAGCTGATTAGCAGCTGATCAATAATATAATACACTATTTATAGTCTATAGTAGAGTTGCTTATTACACGTGTACACGTGAAATTAAAAATATCGTGCTGGAGAACGTGTAATCCGGAATTTACGAAATTTACGAATGCGAAAATGTGAAAAGATAAATACGCTGTTACTGTTTTGAAACAGGTTTATTGAATTTCACTCAATTTATTATTAGCGAAATTAATATTACATCGTTAGTTGATTCAGTATTGATTAAAAATAATCAATAAATAATCATATTTATTAAATTAGTTTTATTTATATCAAACCTCAAAATTTCATAAATTGCTTTTCATTTTATCGTAGAACGTTTATGTGTTTACTGGTACTTGAATGCTCTTCTTCATTTGTTCTATTCAACTGTTATACGTTTACCTATTGTAATGGGCAACAAAAAGTCAAGTTGGTTTTGGCAATATGCAAAAATAAAATGATATTGCATACTGCCTTTTATATGATGAAAGTGAAAACAACGAGTTTGTTTGCAATGGAGGTACAACTGGATCCATAGGATGGCATCTTATGTCGGTTCATTCAATGAGTTACTGTAGAACAGGAAAAAAGAAGGTAAGTTGTTAAATACAGCTTGTTTTTGCACGCCCGTTTTTAGATTGAAGTTATAATTGAAAAAATATTCTGATACGTGAATTATTAATTTTTCTCAAAATTTGAACTGTTTGTAGGTAAAATTTTAATAAATTAACGTTCCAGATGTCCGGTGAACTTTTTTAGATTCTAAGTGAAGCGAGGAATGTATTGGTTATTCTATGATGTTTATTTGAAGTTCATGAAGTTGAAGAACTACACACAGCTGCAAATCTAGCACATCATTTAGAAAAATCAATTACAGAATAAGAAATCGAAAATAAAATTAATGCAATCGTAACAGATAACGCTGCAAATATCATCAACGCTGTTTCGCAATTAAACTTAAATGAAGAAATGAAAAAATCTGGCTTAACGTGTGCAGCACATACTTTGCAGCTGGCTGTCAATAAGGCTCTATCAGACGATCACATTCAAAGTACAGTAATGAAATCGAGTAAAATTGTTGGTCATTTTAAGCATTCATCTATAGCAAATAATGCTCTGGAGAATATGCAACAACAATTAAATAAACCCAAATTAACTCTTATTACAATTTTATAAAACGAGATGGAATCCTACTTTTTTAATGTTAGAAAGACTGTATAGCAAAAGAACACCTATTATGAATGTTTTCGCAGATCGTACCGTAACAGCCGTCAGTGTTACTCGTAAACTAGAGATTTCAGAATGTGAATGGTCAATAATTGAACAATTAATAGTACTTCTGAAACCACTTCAAGCACTTACTAAATTATTTTGCGGAGAATTAGGGTCTTCTTTTTCAATGGTACGACCATTAGTGCAAACAATTTTAACTTCTCATTATCAATATAATGTTGAAGACGATAATTTGTCAAAAAATTTAAGGATACAATTGCATATCAATTAACTACCCGTATTGAACTGCAATGGAAGGATATTGTAATTGCAAGACACATTGCTTCCTTTCTTGATCCCAAGTATAAAAACATAGATCATGAACCTTCACAGGTTAGAGAGATAATTCGATCACATGTCTTGCGGTTTATTGAATCAATAGCTCTAAACATTTCTCAAAATATGTATGAAGAAGAATAAAACAATTCGGAAATGAGTAATGCATTAGCATTTATTTACAAAGACCATGTTAGTAGTAAGAATGATGCCTCAACACAGTGTATGGGATATCTTTCAGAACCTCAACTGCGATTTGATTTAAATCCCTTAGAATGGTGGAGAACACGAGAAGAAAAATATCCAACAGTGGCAGCTATTGCCAAAAAATATTTAGGAATTCCATCTACATCAACAAGTTCGGAGAGGTGCTTTTCAATGGCAGGTAACATTGTGACATCGAAAAGAAGCTGCCTTCATCCTGATAATGTTGACATGTTGGTGTTTTTATACCAAAACCGAAATTTTTTTTGCTAAAACTGTATATAGTTATGTTTATTTAAAAAAACATTTTTCTGTTTTCAGTTATTATTTATGTTTATTTATCATTGTCCTTTTCAAATTATTATTCGATTTTTCGTCTATATCATAGGTTTCATTAAAAATTGTATATCAACAAATCTTCAAAGTTTTTTGTTACAACTTCAATGTATTACAGTAGTTAATATTCATATAAATCATATTAAATAAATAAATATATTAATATTATAATATAATATATATATAATTAATAATAAATCATATAGGTTAAAAAACGATCGGGGCGATTTTTTGCACGTTAAAACGCGTAAAATTCGTTTATTGTTTATTTTAAAGGTTATATTCACGCGTATTTATCTTTTTACGTTTTCGCATTCGTGAATTTCGTGTCATGTGAATTATAAATTACGCAATTCACGTGTCACGTGAATATAAATCACGGAATTCACGTGTCACGTGAAATACGTGAATTTACAACATAAATATTCGTGTACCCGTAACACGGGTTCACGTATGTAATGAAACACGTATTGTTATAAGACTTCTAGTCTATAGCTAATCATTTACCTTACTAAGGGATCGTTTATTATAAAGTTGGACTTTGAAGTGGAAAGGAGTTATGGCTCTTGTGATCAAGTATGTATGGACATTTGGTACTCGTAAACTTATGCATTCAAGGAGTCGGGACATATTAACCTTCTCACGAAGTAGGTTGAGCAAAAATAATTGGTTTGTTTTTTCCTGTCTATTTTGTAGTGAAAAGAAATTTTATATTTTATGACTGGCAAGTAATAATGCTGAAGGTGGTTAATGTTTAATAAAAATCCAGCAAGATTGAACTCTTTCGACAAGTTTGTTCTCGATCTGAAGATTCCAAACAATTGATCAATTATCTAATATAGTACAGTATGGAGTGAATATACAAGGCGCAGTGTTGAATTGAGTAGTATGACGCCATTATAATCTATGGGGTAGGGTTAAAAATGTTTGTATCAGAGATGAAAAAGATTGATTACCTTTTTTTCATGATCTTTTACTCGTCTTGCATATTAAAAAAAAAAAAAGTCATGAAAATGGAACGGGTGCAGTCACTGTTATAGATAATTTAATATATACCTGAAAGCAACGATTAACCATTGCTTAGGAAAAAAAATGATTTTAAGCGGAGTTCAGTTAATAGTGATGTTTTGTCAACAATATATATATCATTTTATAGTAAAATAATTAAATAGGCTTTATATAGTTTCTTTAATTATTTTTTTTTTAAAGTTTTACCGATTTTAACCTAACCGATACTTATATGTTATGAATTGGATTATTTCTATAAATATAACGTATACAGAGCTGACAAAAACATTAATCCTTGTGTCTTTTCAAGACGAGATCTAATAGCTGGGAATAAGTACTATCTTCTAGATTACTTTTTTCAATTATTAATCAAGAACAAATTTTTAGTAATTTAGTTTATGGATGTATAATAGTTATTGGTGTTGTTTGTTTATCTATAAAATGTAATAAATAATTATTCTTAGATCACTTTTCCACTGTCGGAAATGGACTTGTTGAAAATCCTAATTTCAATATTATTTTACTGAATGATTATAATCTATCATATGCCTAATTTTATGTCTCTGTAATTTTACACAGTAAACACATATTATTTTGTGTAAATAGTAAAAATAGTTTATTATTCTAGAATTTTATATTTTGAATTAATCTATATAAGGCAGGTAATATAGCTCTAATTGAATTTTTCATTTATAATAATATTACTGAAGAGGTTTTATGATTGTGTATAATTTCATATTCTGAAATACTTTATAAATCACTAAATACTATATTATATTGTAATATACTGTTATTTAATATTATTTGAATATGAAGTCGTGGTTGAAAAAAATTAAATAATTTGTAGGTCTGGATATTAAGGGTTGTTGATACAAAAAAAAATGCAATGCACTGTATTAAATAATATATTTATACAATTAATAGTTTATGCTAAACAATAGTCAGTAAAGCTCATCAAAATAAAGTTCTCAAATTATTTCCCATTGTGATTACATTAACTCGAATGATTAATCGATTGGGGGGGAGGGTGCCAGGGAAATGGACCTTGGTAAGAAAATTGTCCATAGAAAAAAAAAAAGTTGATAATGGGGATGGGAGTGGCCACTGTTGTAGGTGAGAAGTTAGGATACATAAGGTTATTTCATTTATAACTGTCAGTAACGATAAACCCCATTGCTTGACAAAAGACAATTCCAAGCGCAGTTCAGTAATACATAATTTGAAATACTGTAATTTATTTTTGCTATTTCTATTTAAATTTGATTTCAAAACGCTTATTAAAAAAAAATCGTCTGATGATTTTGGAATGTTCACCACGTTTAGGTAAGTCCAATATTAGTATTATTACTAAGTTTCAAATCTCTACGTGTATTTATAACCAAATTACAGTGAAAAACTACCAAAAATTAAAATTCCTTAAAAGCTCAAATGTTTTGGCGATGATACCATAAGAAAGTGAATCAAAAAGGCAGCAAAATAGGTATCTTGTGATTTTTCGATAAAATCATTTTTTCTAGTAGAAAACGTCTATGTTTTTATAAAATAATTAAGTCGTGAAATTGTATGTTTTTCTACGTTTTTCTCCTACTCAAGTGCTTTTATTTAAAAAATGGCGTCGAAAATCAAAAAATGACTTATTTAAAGTACAACCCAGATAACTTGAGTTTTCAGAAAAGTTGCTACACGTAACTATCGGAGCAAGTTTACTAGAATAAAACGTATCCACAGACTAGAACAAAGAAAGAAAAAATAAACATCTTAGTAAAACTAGTAGTTCCTCACTACACTCGGAATCTAAAAATCACAATTTATATTTATTAAATTTCGTAAATTTTCCCGTTTTTTTTTTTCGGTTTTTCGCATTTGATGAGACAACTTTTGAAAAAATCGAAAATTGACCTTCCTAAAGTACCTCCCCACACCGATTTCCGATTTTCTCTAGAAATCTGAGTAAGTCTTCTGATAGAAAAGTTGTAAACAGATTAAAAAAAAAATAAAAATAAACATCTTTGAAAGACTATATGCTTCTTCACTCCACTCAGAATCTAAAAGTCTGTCATACTTCGCATGAAAGAAGGGCTGCTGTTGTAGGTGAGAAGTTGGGAAGATAAGATGTAGAGGGAAATATATTTTATATATTTACAGAACGATAAGTAAACTATTCTATTGTTAATGGAAAACGATTCGGAGTGAAGTTTCTTTTATCCATGTACATACATTTTTCCGTTTTTCCTATGTTTTTCCCAAATGTTATGAAAACTGCTTGGCAATCAAAAGTAAACTTTTTTAAAGTATCAACTAAATAAAATTTCTTTTTAGAAAAGGTACTTTATTTGATACATCAAAGCAAGATTTTTGGTAGAAAAGTTGAACACAGAAAATAAAAATTTAAAACTAATACGTTTTTTATTACGCTTCGGATCTAAAATAATATTATACTATATGAAAGTATTATAATATGTATTTACAATCTTTGTTTATATTACAAGAATGTTAGAAGTCTCAATAAAAATTATTTAACTTACATTATAACTTTATTATTTTATTCTACGATATTTTCTTAATCACGGAAATGCGGTTCTCTAAAGATGTAAGCAATGGTGAATTAAACATAATTGAATATACTATATATTTAGATGTGATTGTGAAGCTTATTCTCTAGTACTCGCTCCCGTGGTGGAGTTCTAATCACGTATAAGGATTTTCTTCATTCTATTTATATTTCTTCATTTATTAAAAAAATATAAAACCGGGATCTGTTCAAGATTAAAATGTTTTATTTTGTTTGTGTGAACAATGTAAAGGTGAATCTAAACTATATCAAAGGGCTAATGCCAGTTATTCCCAAACTCTTCTTACTTCCAATTTCCGCGAATTTTGGTCTTTCATTAATAATAATAGGTGATTCATTATCGGGAACTATTTTATAACACTCGAATCGTAAATTTTTTTTATCATGGTATTTTTGTTCAATATTGTTTGACATATTATCATGTGTTTATTGTATGTATTATCATGACTTATCCCAGTATAGCGTCTACAAATTATTCAGCTTTGCTACGAAAATCAGCGATCTCATATACGAAGGAAAACTTCGTATGCTTAGGGCAACTTATGGTTCACATAATTAGTCTACATACTGAACGCACAATTTGCTATACTATTGAACAATTTGAAACTTAATGTTCATTATTGGATAATATGCGACAAAATAGACTAAATACAGCACGTAATGAAGAAAACATAGCGGCGATAGCAGAGTGTATGCGATGATTGTGATGAATCGATTCGGCGCCGTTATCTCAACAGCTTTTATATGCAAAAACCTGACGTATTTTACGTAAGAATATTGGTTTGAAAGCATACAAAATTCAACTAGTGCAAGAATTGAAGTCGGCAGACTTTCGAATAGTCATCGTTTCTATATTTAGAATCTTGAAAAGCTTGAAGAAGATCCACTGTTTTTGACTAAAATTGTATTCAGTGATAATGTCCACTTTTAGCTTGATAGCCTATGTCAATAAGCAAAATTGCCGTATGTGGGTTGAAGAGCAACCTGAAGAGGTTCAAGAGGTGCCGTTACATCTAGATAAAACAACCGTGTTTGGTGTGCTTTATGGGTTGATGGAATCATTGGTCCATATTTTTCTCAAAAATGAAACTGAACAAAACGTAACTGTAAATGACGCTCGTTGTCACGCCATGATTAGGTACCTATGGACTATTTGATACTTGAAGTTGAAGCCCTTGATCTCGTCAACATTTGGTTCTAACAAGACGGTGTTACTTGCCACACAGCCCGTGAAACAATGGCTTTATTGCGAGAACAGTTCACTCTTCGGACCAGTGAATTGGCTACCTAGATTGTGTGATATCACACTTCTGTATTTTTTCCTTTGGAGTTATGTGAAGTTCCAAGTCTATAAAGATAAACCCACTACAATTAGGGCATAGGCACATTGACTATACCAACTTTGGGGATTCTAAAATTATGGACACATCAAAAACTCCATGGGGGTTATGGTTCCGAAATCCCCTTTACATGATTCTTATAATAAGCAACTAGGTACACATTTCGTTTGCAATTTTGTATTTACAAATTTATTATAATTATTTTAATATTATTTTCCATATATATATACATTATATATAAAATAATTACATAGGTATGCATTAAACATTATCTTTGATAATAATTATTTAATATTGTACCTATTTTCCGTTCTTCCAGTTTTCCCAGGTTTTTCCCATTTATTGGGAAAATTAAAACATTACTCCTCTAAAGTACCACCCCCGTCAGATTTTCTTTCATGAAAAGGGCTACACTTGTAAATTGGAGCAAGATTTCTGGTAGAAAAGTTGTCCACAGAAAAAAATGATTTTTGATTTAAAAAAAAGTAAAAGTAAATGAATTACCCGATAGTAAACGTATTGCCTCCTCTTCTATTCCAGACCAAGTTTATTTAAATGACTGTACTGCTTCGGGTCCCCAAATTAATTTCCTTCTTTGTCACCACTTACAAAGCACCTTCGTCAATACTAAATGGTTTCCCTTAATAATATACAAATTCAAGAGTTTTCTTCCATGCTTTTACAATTCTCCTCTAATGTGATAGTTGAAGCTTTTAACACTTTATTTAATGTTGAAAACATTCGATACATTCGATAACATACGATAGTAAAGAACCCCCCAAAAAAGCTCATACTGGGGACGGGTGCTGCTATTGTTGTGGGTAGTTAGTTAGAAAGGTGGGCTACATAATGTTATTTAATTTCATACCTGATCAACTATTACTAACGAAAAACGATTCGGAGAGAAGTTCGGTTTTAC